ATGATTTAATAGCATATCATCCAAATGACATGGATGAATTTACTCCGAGATATTTTGATGTCAGAGCTAAATGACAATTCAACTTTCGTCATGAAACGCGTAAAAAATAGAGACGGAACGAAGAACAAAAGCTTATAATGCGGATGACGTAGATAGGGAAATTGTGAAAACGGTCTCGGAATATATGAAATGCCAGCAGATGAGGTACAAGAAACTCCACAGGAAGAACTAGTTCAGATACAACCAGACATGGAAGAAATAGTTCAGCAACAACAGCTAGAAGAGCCCTGAAGGAAACGAACAAGTCACTCCTTTGGAAACTAACTTCACAGAACTAGATGAAGATTTGGAACAGCCGAAAATCTTGACCCTCAACAAGAGTATGCGGAGAATATGGAATATTTCCAAGAGTCTAAAAAAAATTCGGCTGACATAGTAGAAGAATATCGAAAAATGTTTGCCGACATACAAAAGACTCCAGCACCAGATGAAAATATTCAGCATAGAATGGAAGTACTGAAAGAAAATGTACACAAATACAACAACCCTTTTTACTTACGAGCATTTAACGTTCAATCTTCGGATGAACTCGGTGAAAATAAAAGGTTAAATTTCAAGAAAAACATATAGAAATGAAACATTGTTTAAAGTTCATTCAGAACCTAACCAAGATGGAAAACAAACCTACTTTTGTTTCTGCAGACGATGGAACTACAATGAGATGGGGTCATAAAGCTAATCCGGATAGGTGGTTCATAAACTTACAACCACAATTCCAAGAAGTTGTAGACGCATGGAAGTGAATGGTGAACCAGATATAGCTGGTATTTTAAGCGCGGCTTTAATGCCATTGAAAGATATGAAAGATGCAGATATTTTGGACCAGTATGAAATGAACATGGCTGATGGAAATATAACACCTGACGTTCTAGAACATTTATCTCAAAGAACTACACAGAACCATAGAGATGGTATATTTGGTGAAGAGTTTAGAAAGAAAGTTAGGGAGGGAGAAGGAAGAGAACCTATTGTACATGACCTTGCAAACGAAAGTTTACAAAATGTCATAAAAACTTACTTTGCAGGCGATGAATCGAGAAGGGATGAATATTTAAGAAAACTCAAATGGACAGTACCAAATGAAATGTTAGTATTGAAAAACATGTTCCTTGACAAAATAAAACCAACTACAGAAATAAACGACGCAAGACTGAAAGATTGGGTAAAAGCTTTCCCATTCACAAAAGATATAGTTGGTAACATGGAAAGAAAACCAGAATGGCTACAAAAACATATATTTGGAAACGAGCTTATTCCATATGGACAAGCTCTGTTTGAAGAGCTTGAACCAGAAACTCAGGAAAGAGTCATGCAAACAATACGCAAAGACTCAAATACAGACTATGACAAACTCTTTCTAGGATATAGGTTACCTGAGATGGGCGACCAGAGCCAAAAGGCAAAAAGGACATGGGAAATTTGCAACATACTAGATGAACATAATGCAAAGATGCAACAACTTCAAGCAGAGGGCAATGAAGGAAAAAGAAGAGTTAAAAACTCAGTCAGGAAGAAAGTAAAGCTTGGTCGGAGTGGGTTCTATTATGACATATAAATCCAACTATTCTATATTTTTACTCATATGAAATGTACGCCGCTCAGAATATAACGCCAACAGTTTTGGATGCTATGAATGGAAATGTTTCCGAATGGTATAACGAATGCGACAATGCCATTAGAAGGTCAGAAATAGTTCCTGGAACTTACGAATATACAACTGCTGTTTCTTATGGAAATGTAGGTGAGTTTGGAGAAGGTTCTTCAACAACAGTAGATATTGCTTGCGACAGGTTTCATATTATTTCTATTGACAACTCATTCTTATACGTGGAACAAGACATTGAAATAAAAACCTTCTGCCAAGTTGTCTGACAAGAAAGGTTGCAATGGAATTTTCTATGTCGGATACCAATATGCTCCAGAAGTTTTCATGGGATATAAGATATATTCTAACTCTGACTTAGTTCAAACAGTAACATGGGCAAACTATGAATGGTTCGCTTTGAGAAACTCAGTACAACCACAAGCTAGAGAACAAACAGACCAGTATGCAACTATTGAGAAAATAAGAAGACTTGACCCTAACGTTCCAGGAGTTTATGTTGACCTTTCTGGACAAACTGCAGCAGCAGTAACCAAAGTAAAACTGAAACTTAGAGTTCCTTTGTCATCTTTCCTCATCTTCAGGTTTTTAAGATACTTGCCAAACTGGGCAGGAAAAATTTCTATCGAACTTACTCCAAGCAAAAATAACTTAGTCATTGCACCAACACAAGACCCATTCACTCTTACAGAAGTAGTGGGAACAAATAAAATGTCATTCGCCGACTTTTGCAAAACAAAGTTGACTTAGACTTTGGTTTCTCAAACCTCAACACTGAAGTAAACTATTATTTCAATGCTGCTGGAGATGCTTGGGACCCAGTTAAGTTCACATGCGAAAAGTTTGAATGCAAGAGAATAGAAAGCAGACTTGCAGTCTATATGTTGGACCCAGATATTTCAAATGCTTTAGCTGCCAAATATATTGCAGTTCCACTTATGTTCCCTATACACCAAATATCTGTCAAAGACTTTGCAGGTGAAGTTGGAAACCAAAGTGCTGACCCAGGTGCAAGAACAGATATTGCTTTAACAACTGCAATGAAACATGCAGATACTATGTTTGTACTGTTCAGACGAACTATAAATGACTATTCTTGTTTCTACAACCCCGGTATTAAATATCATATAAACATAGATGGCAAATATTATCCAAGAGAAGAATATTCTACAGTTGAGGATATGAGGTCATACAACTTGACATTAGATGCTATGAACTTTAACAACAACTTCACAACAACCATTAACCCTGAAATGCAAAGTTCTATTATGCCATATGTGAAAGTATGGACTCATACAGGAGGTCAAAAAACTCAATATACAAATGGAGACCGTTCAAACTTTTGGCTTGGCATTCCATTTGCTGACTCAGAAGACTTTATGGGTGGTATTTCAACTGTTGGTACTGTACAAATACAATATACTGGTGACAGAGACGGTCCAGATGAATTGAAAGCAAAGAAGTTTACAAAACCAATAGCACTTTTCACGGAAGATGCTCTTTTGAAGATTCGTTCGATGAAACCTGCTGGGGCTCCTCAGATTGGCATAACGACAGCTTCCATCGAGCAGATTTTGGCAGCAGGTCAGTAAGTTGTTCTTGAACTGACTTCTCTCCGTCAAATATTGACAGTACGCCAGTTTTGACATAATATTGTAAGATAAACTTACCTTTAGAAATATCTGTAAGTTTTGAAGTTATATTTTTGTCTGCTTCAAGAACTTTCACCATTTCAGTTATACCAACTTTCTTTGCTTTATGGAAATATTTTGGTTCAGCAAATATTGCTATTCTATAACATTTACCATTGTTTGTGTAAAGAACTACTCTGTCAATGAACTTGTATTGTTTGTGTGTGTAAACTTTGTTTTGCTTCAATTCGAAGAGATACTCGAATACGTCCATCTTTTTATTCTAAGTAAAATGTCATTTCCGAAAAATAGAAGCGTGAGTGTTTCAAAAGGTTTAATGGCGGTGGCAGATGTGAAGTTAAATTCACCAACTCAAACAAACAGTCAAAGTGTTGTTGTCAATGTCAAAGAAAGAGATGTTGAAGTGGGGAAACCATACGAAGACGAAGATGGTATAACAATAGTTCCTGTAAAAGAACAACCAACATACCCTGAAGTTAGCAGAGACTTAAGTTCTGTTGCAGATATTCGAAACGACTACCAACAACTTAAAGACAAACTTAAAACTCAGGAGAAGATTTGTCAGGCTTTGGGTATAATGTTAAACTTGGTCGAACACAACCCTGTAAAAGTGAACTCATATGTCATTGCACCTCATGAAGTCTTGAAAGAACTATTGAAACTTTTGACAGAGGCAGACGATATAAACATCAAAGAAATAGAACCCGACATTAGTTGCTGTGGTGTTTCATATAATGTCATTGACAAGATATACGTTATGAAAGGAGGTGAAACGTTGATCTTAAAGTATAGTTTCCCAGACGTCATAAAAATATTTGACGACCACAACATTTCATTAAAATTTACTTGCTAAGTAAATGGCAGAAGACATAGTGGTTTATACTATTACGACTAAAAACCCTGAGTCATATAATTCTATAACAACAAACTTACAAAGTCCTCAAGGACGATATTGTAAACTAACTTTAAACACGATGACGACTAAAGCCTGTTTTGCTCTTTTGACACCAGAAGACTTTGTTGTTGTGAATGGTAAAAAATACTTCTTTGAAGATACTTACTCAGATATACCACCAACAGGTTTTGTTGACTTATTTAATACTTTAAGGACGGATGTAACATGTGCTGCAACTAGAGCAGGTTTCATTATGTTTGGATGTCCGACTGAGTTTACTATAAACGATATGAGCTATAATACAAAACTTATATCTGGTTTTTACTACCAACAGTTTTCCTATAACAGGAAAAGGTGTCATACAAGGTTTGTCTGTTCCATTGACTTTAAGTACACCTATTTTATATATTGTTTCAAACTTAGGTTCAAAGTGCTATTCGAATGTCGACAGAAACTACTATGACCAAAAGATACTCATGCGTATAAACAACACTTTCTCTGCTGGTTTGCCTATTGTTCATTCGAATGCAGAGTTTTCAGCTTTAGTAAACTCAAACACTTTAGCAAACATAAACTTAACCTTAGTTGACGCAAACTTTGTTCCTGTAAAACTTTTATGTCCTATGTATTTGTCAATGACGGCAGAAAGTTTCGAATTGGAAGATGCAACTGGTGAAAGTATTGTACTACAAGAACAACTTCAACAACAAATAGCTCAAGAACAACAAATGGAACAAATGCAACAACAAAGTCAAGAATAAAAAAAATATTTTTTTTTATTTTTATAAAAATGTACAGAATAGACGTTTCAGATTTTTATGACTTCCAAGCGTTCAGAAATATGTGTCCATTTAGAGACTATAACAAAGCAGTCGAGAATTTGAAACGTTTAGTCATTTATGTCGACTCTGCCCCAGAATGTTATGTCATGAAAGAATGGGATGTTGTCTTTAACAAACCAAGAGCAACCATAGTTTCAGAACAAGAATGTAGACAGAAACTTAAGAAAATAAAAGTCGTACAAGTTGGTATGAAGATGTTAGATGCTTGGGATATCTTATTGTCAAAGTTAGAAGATTTTTCAGTTCGTGGTATAAAGTTCTATACACCATCTCCAAACTTCTATTCTATCTTCACTGGATATAAATACGAACAAGTAGAATGGAAAGAAAATGTTATAGAAGCTTGGTTAGACCATGTCAAAGAAATTATATGCAATGGAAACGAAAGAGTCTATGAGTATATCTTATGTTGGTTTGCAAACATCTTACAACATCCAAGTGCTAAAAATGAAACTGCTCTCATTATAATTGGAAAACAAGGAACTGGTAAGAACACTTTCTTTACAGATATCTTATGCAAACTGTTAGAGGGCTATTCGAACCCTAATATGACAAACTTAGAAAACATCTGCGGTAAATTTAACTCTTCAATAGAGAATATGAAACTTATAGTATGTAACGAACTTCAAAGTATAGATACAACAAAGGTTTTAAACTCAGATGCTTTGAAGAGTCTTATAACAGACAAAGTTGGAGTTGTTGAAAGAAAATATAAAGACCAAAGAGTTTGTGAAAATGTTGCAAATTTCATCATGGTTTCAAACAATGTTGTTCCGATGAAGTTAGAAAGTTCTGACAGAAGATATGTAGTTGTCAGAACGTCAGATTCTCATATGCAAGATACAGAATATTTTGACGACTTAGCAGAAACTTTGACACCTAACTTTTACAACCACTTGTTCTCATATTTCATGACATTAGATATTTCAAAGTTCAATCCAAGACAAATTCCACATACCGAAGAAAGACAAACATTGTTAGAAGCAAACAAGAGTGTATATGAACTGTTTATAGATGAAACTGACTTTGTGTCATTAGATGAAAGGTCATTGTACGATTCGTATAAACAGTATTGTCAAGAATATGGTTATATGGCAGCTTCTAAACGAACATTCTTGGCAAATGTCAAAAGCCTTTTAGACATACAGAACGGCGTATATACAAAGAAAAATTTTTCTGAGTAAATTTTAAAAATATATATATTTTTATTTTATTTGAAATGTACGCTGAGTTTGTTGGAGAAGACCGTTGGGAAACTTGTTTGTTAGATGAGAAATATGAAATTCACTGTTGTGAGTCATTTGAAGTCAGAAACAAAAAGACAAAAAGAGTTTTAAGCGGATGGGAGGGAAATGACGGATATGCTATGATGAAGATGGGTGGGAAAAACTATTTAAAACATGTTGTCATTGCAACTCATTTTATACCGAACTCTAACAATTTACCTTTTGTAGACCATATAAACCATATAAGAAATGACAATAGACTTGAAAACTTGCGTTGGGTTACTCGTTCTGAAAACAATAAGAACAAAGGCAAATTTGGAGATATAGTATTCGAATTTGTCGACGAACTAGAAGATGAAACAATTGAAATTACAGACTATGGTAAGCATACGTTTGAGTTTTACTACTATAGCGAAGAACAAGACTCTTTCTACTTTTATACCGGCGTAAACTATAGAAAATTACAAGTATATTTTACTAAGGCAGGCTATGCTTATGTAAACACTAGAGATACAGATGGAAAACACGTTCGAATACTTCTTAACAAATTCAAGAAGCTATATGGCATACCATTTTAAAACGTTTTTAAAAAAAATATTTTTTTATCCGATAGAAAAGATGATGAAATTCATCTCAGTCAACAAGTACATGTCAGGACTTAAAGAAGAACTAGACCCATTCGCTTATTTGAATGTTTACTTCTACCATTTTGAAAAGTCTTCATTCAGCAAAGTTTGGAACATCGAACCAGTTAAGTTTGCTATTGTGACTAAAAATGGTGCGAAATTTGAAGACTTAGACATAGAAGGTTTGTTAGCAGTCAAAGAAAGTTTTGACAGAAGGTTTTCAAACCTTAAAGAAGGCAAAGCATACAAACTTGTTATACCTTATGAACCAAAGAAAGCAGACGACTATGAATATTATGAGTCTAAGATAGTTGAAGTTCAAGGTAAATTGGGTAAAAAGATTTTAGAGTCTAAGCCAGTGTTTACTCCTAAAGAGGAAGAGAACATTGACATTGACCCAGAAATGTTCTAAAAATAAAATTTTATTTTTACATGTCAAATTTCTTTTTCTCTGGAACTGGTTCAGGTTCTTTTTTCTCTTCTTCTACTTTCTTTTCTTTCTTCTCTTCTACTTTCTTCTTCTTCTTCTCTGGTGGAGTTATGTCAAACTTCTCAGAACCATATTTATGTAAAAGTTCTTTGTCCTTTAATAGCTCTTCTATTCTGTTTCCTATTTCATCTTCAAGAACAGCGCATGTGTCTTCTTTGCATTCTAAGAACTTTTGTTGGACTTCATCTTTCCAATCGGCGTCATCTCTGTCAACAAGTCTGTCATTGACAAATTTTAAGACTGCTCTGCTTAAGGTTTTATGGTTCTTGTCATATTCCCAGAAACAGAACTTTAGAACAAATTCACCTTTCTTGTTTACACTATGTAAGATTTTATGGTCGACAGATGTTTTGCTGTCGAAAAGCTTGTCTCGAATATAGATAGCGAAATCGCTAGACATTTTCTAAAAGATAAAAATTTTAATTTTTCTAAAAATATGTTAGAAAAAAAGTTTGCTGACATTGACAAGAAATTTGAGAATGTTTTAAATAAGAACAAGAGGAAGTTGGAAAATGCTCAGATAAAACCCATACATGACAAGTTCCTATTTGCTCAGAATGGTATAACAGGTCTAATTGCACCGCCTGGGTCGGGTAAGACTTTCACTTATCTTAAAATGGCTGCACAACAACAAGAACTAGATGAGAAGAACCCATTCTATGAGTTAGTAGTCATTTGTAGTACTTCGGGTCAATTTGACCAAACCGTCAATTCGTTCAAAGATATTATAAAAAAGTCTAAGTTAGTATGTATAAAAGACTCTGAGTTGTTAGATTGGATAAAGAAGTACCAAAGAAGAGTTTTGAAGTACAATGCTATAAATGAGTATATAAACTCGAAGTTTAAAGACCCAAATGAGGAAATGCAGAGAATATTAGAGAAGAAACACTTCAGAAACAAACAGAAAGAGATAGAATACATTTCGAAGAAATTGCAATCTTACGATTGGAAGACTTACCCTCATAGATGTCTTCTTATCTTAGATGACTTTGCTTCTCATCCTTTGTTAAAGAACAGAGAACAAGACATGTGTCGAATTCTCAAGAAGCTCAGACACTTTAACATCTCAGTTGTCATTTGTGTACAGACAGCCAAGAGTTTAAGTAAGGATGTAAAGAGAATACTGACTGACATTATACTTTTCCCCGGATTGTCTGAAGACGATTTCATGGAACTTATGAAAGAGTCCATGGCAGGTAAGTTTGACAGACATGAACTATGGGAGAAGTATAAAGTCATACAAGACCCTCATACTTCTTTCAGAATTCATATCTACGCAAACAAAGTTCAAATTGTAAAAAGTCAAGCTTGAAAAATGTAAGTGTTGAGTCTTAGTCTGCTTGTGGTGCTGGGGCTGTCGGTTCTTCTGGCTTTGGAAGGCATTCAGGAAGAGGAACGTCAGTCATCCGTTTGTGTCCTGTCGGAAGGAAAAATTTTTCCTGTCGGATGGAAGGACTTTTCCTGTCGGATGGAAGGACTTTTCCTGTCGGAAGGAAGGACTTTTCCTGTCGGAAGGAAGGACTTTTCCTGTCTGAAGGAAAAATTTTTTCTGTCGTTCGACCAAAAAGTTCTCAATTTTCGAAAATTTGAATGGTTTACGGACGGACAACAGGAAATTTTTTTCCTGTCTGAAGGAAAATTTTTTCCAGTTGTCGGGAAATTTTTTTCCAGTTGTCGGGAAAATTTTTTCCTGTCGGAAGGAAAATTTTTTCCTGTCGTCGGGAAAATTTTTTCTTGTTGGAAGGAAGGACTTGGAATGTCTGAAGGAAGAACTTGGAATGTCGGAAGGAAGGACTCGGAATGCCAGAAGGATTTGACGAGACAATTTACTTTATAGAGCTACCTGAGCCATCTGAAGTCAAGCTTGAAAAATAAATGGTTCATCTACCCTACTTGTTTGAAGTTGTCAAAATACTCTGTTATTTTTTCCTTTAACAATGGCAAATCTTCTTTGAAGGTAAGTATTGTACAACCTTTCATATCATAGTGTGTTTGAGGTAACGTATCTTGAACTATTTGTTTCACATCTTCATTCGGTGTCATTGAAATCGGTAAGTTTTCGCGATAGAACCAATTTCTGTCAGATTTGTAAATCTTAGCAAGGTCGTAAAAGCTTTTGTTGTTTCTTCTGACTAAATGCAACATAACCATATCTTTATCTTCTTCATTTTCCATCTCTTCAGTATAAATCATATACTTATAGTTCTTTTCCTTTCCTTTTGGTACCGAACGTGGTATTCTTTTCTGAATGCTTTTGTCTTTTGCTTCAAGCTTGTTCTCTAGCTCTTCACGTTCTTGTCTATGAATTTCGTCAAGAAGTTTACAAACATACCAAGCATAACGAGCTGAAGCCCACATTGCTACAGCATTTACAAGAAGTCTATGTACATAATATCCTCTCAAACCGTTTGGCAATTTTTCACGATTTTCATAGAGTTTTGGCGACTGGGTTTTTTTACCTACTCGCTGTTCTTCACTGTTTTCAGAAAAAAGTATGTCTCGCTGTGCTTCGCTCAAAAGTTCTTGTGTGCTTTGGTTCCTAAACCAGTCTTTAGGAAGCTTAGTATCTGGTGCAAAACATGCTGTCAAAATACTTTGCATTTGGTACATATCGTCTTTGACCGAACGAATGAGACGGAGTTGTTTGTTAAACTGAACCCACTCATATTCTTCATTTATAGCTTCATGGACTATAACTGTTGTTGTGTTCTCGGTTGTTGACATATCTGTCCTTACATACAAAATAAAAAAAATATTTTAAAAAAACTAACGTTAACTTTATTTTTTCTATCTTAAGGAAATTCATGATTTCATAGAGTTTTGGCGACCCCGAAGGAAGTCGGTCTAGAGAAATTTCACTGTTTTTCGTACGGAATCTCTATCCTCGGTTTTTCGAGGGTAGCAATCTTATGCCATTTTACTCAGATTTTTGTGCTGAATTCAATAAAAATATATTTTAGGGTAGAAGGTTAGATCTAACCTGTCTTCTACCCTCTTTTCTACCCCAGTTATTTTATAAGCGTTTTACATGGTAAACGTTATTTTTACATGTATTTTTCAGCAACTTCGTCAAATAATTTTATAGCTTTATCTATCTCATCTACTTCAAACGTTTCTTTACCTTTCGTGGGAGCACCATACATTTTCTCAAACTTTTCAAGTAGTTCTGTTTCAGCAGCTCTCATATCGTTAACTAACACAACCTTGACTATATTGACTGTACTGTCATATCTTAGAGTTATATTATATGTCCTTCCTATCTTATATCTCTTTGTATTGAAGTCCTTCGGTTTCTGAACGATGTAAAGTAAGCCTTCACTGCAACGTTCCGTATCGAATGAACCATATGTTATGAAGTTATATCCAACAACTGGGTCTAACCATAACAAAACTATTGGTATAAGACTTTTGTCGATGAGATATGCTGCAGTTCCATAGAATTTTACCGATATCATAAGCTCAGGATTTCTTGTCAAAATTTTCTGAGTAGAAGCAATTTTAACCCAGTGGTTTGTTTTTTTTCCAAATGGAGATAAAATGTCTGACAAAGAATATTTGTTGTATTTCTTTGAGTATCTTACGTTTAAATCACCTATTCTAACCACTTTGGTGTCATTGTCTATCTTTCCAACTGTTTCAAACTCAATGTTTGACATCTCTTTCTTTAAGTCAGCATAGTCGTTTCTCATACGTTCTATCTCTTTGACGGAGTAGTTATATTTCCTCATTGCTGCTTTACATTTTGAACATTGCGGGTTCATTTTTGCGTTATATTCTGAAACCTTACCTGCTAGTATGACTAAGGCGTCAATTGCTCTCTTTAACTCAAAAGTTGCGGGTTTTATCTGTTCATTCCATATCTTACCTCTTCTATCTTTATCTCTTATCTGCCATACACATTCAGCAACTAACGAAACAAAGTTGTCGTAGGTCTTAAACTCCCCAGATTTGTATATGTCAGAGATGTTCTTATATACCATATCGCAATCTTTGTCCATGACTTTGTGGTTGCAATGAAATCCAAGAAACTCATAGTTAACCTTTCGTATGAACTTCTTTATTTCTACTGAGTCAGTTGCTTTGACTTCTATTTCATCGAATTCAGGAATAGTGAGTTTTTGTTGCTGAATTTCAGGCAATTTAGGCAAATGGTCAATAATATCCTGCATTTCATAAAGATACTGTTCATTTGTTTCATCTTTCGCACTACAGTTTAGATCTCCTTGGAGAAGTTCTTGCTTTATCTTCTGGATTTCTGTTTCGAAAGTATATGAAGAAGGAATGAAGCTTTTCATCTCTACTAACATTGAAGTTGGGTTCATGACTAACGAGTTTGGTGCTGTTGTTGCTAACATGTTCTTACAATAAAAATAAAAAAATATTTTTTTAAAAAAACCAACTTTATTTTTTATTTCGGGAAAACTCATGAGGTTAGAAAACATGTACGAAGAAGTCTTGACAAAACATTTACGATGAATTCATGACAAAACATTTACGATGAAATCATGAAAATTCAAGAGGGTAGAAAAGAGGGTAGAAGACAGGTTAGATCTAACCTTCTACCCTAAAATATATTTTTGGGTCCTTTACACTCATTACGATCAAGAAGTCTTGACAAAACATTTATGAAGAAGTCTTGACAAAACATTTACGAAGAAGTCATGAAAATTCAAGAGGGTAGAAAAGAGGGTAGAAGACAGGTTAGATCTAACCTTCTACCCTAAAATATATTTTTGTCGAAAAAAAATGGTTCATTTACTCACAATATTTTTGTACAAAACGACCCCAAACTTTTAACTTCTTTTCTGCAGCTTCTAATGTTATCTTAGCGAGTTCATATTCTCTAAATTCTCTCTTTAAATCTTCTTGTTCCCATTGGTCTAGTTCGTATGGAGAATCTCTATAACCAGAACATATCTCACGTTCATGTTCTATTTGTTTTTCATGCATTTTTCTAACTTCTTCTTCAAACAAAGGTTTTGCATTCTCTACTGTATCTTCAAGTTCTTCTTCATCTAACTTCTCATGAACTTTCTTGTCTATGGAGTCCATAATTTTTCCAACTGCTATACAATATTTTGGAGAAGCCCACATTGCAATATAGTTTACGAGTCTTGGGTCTACATACATTCCTCTAACCTGTTTGATTTCATCCGGAATTCCTGCATGAACTTTGTATAAAAAGCAACCCGCCGTTTTCCGCGGGTTGGTATATTCTTCACAAAATGCCTTAAAATACTCTTCCCAGGACTTATTTTCCAACAACCTTCTAAAGTCTTTCCTAAACTGCTGACACATCTTTGTTGCATTTATATAACCATCCTTGTCTCTACGTAAGACTTCAATACCGTTGTAAGTGCCTTTTGTGAATGTTTCGCCATTAGATTTGTTCGTGAACGTTTTTGCTTCGACTGACATTTCTGTTCTTACAATAAAAATAAAAAAATATTTTTTGGTGGTACGTCGGACATTCGTTTGTGGCTTAACCGTCGGACATTGTCTTGAAACAGTACAAATATTGTCTTGAAACAGTACAAATATTGTCTTGAAACAGTACAAATATTGTCTTGAAACAGTACAAATATTGTCTTGAAACAGTACAAATATTGTCTTGAAACAGTACAAATATTGTCTTGAAACAGTACAAATATTGTTCTGAAACAGTGCAAATATTGTTCTGAAACAGTGCAAATATTGTTCTGAAACAGTACAAATATTGTTCTGAAACAGAAAATTTTTCTCACAAATTGAGAGCTTTTACGGGAAATTTGTTCTGAAAAAGCACAAGTATTGTTCTGAAAAAGTACAAGTATTGCTCTGAAACAGTACAAGTATTGTTCTGAAAAAGTACAAATATTGTTCTGAAGCAGTGCAAATATTGTTCTGAAGCAGTGCAAATATTGTTCTGAAGCAGTGCAAATATTGTTCTGAAACAGTGCAAATATTGTTCTGAAACAGTGCAAATATTGTTCTGAAACAGAAAATTTTTCTCACAAATTGAGAGCTTTTACGGGAAATTTGTTCTGAAAAAGCACAAGTATTGTTCTGAAAAAGCACAAGTATTGTTCTGAAAAAGTACAAGTATTGCTCTGAAACAGTACAAGTATTGTTCTGAAAAAGTACAAATATTGTTCTGAAGCAGTGCAAATATTGTTCTGAAGCAGTGCAAATATTGTTCTGAAGCAGTGCAATGGACAACATCGAGCCACATTCAATACTTTTTCAGCACTTTTCCGTAGTTGTATATGAAAGACAATTCGAGATAAAAGTCATAGTACAATGGAATTATATGCTGCACACCGTTTGTTGTGAACCAAACTTGAAAGTCAGAGAAACTGTTACTAGGTGGTTCGTAGAATTTAGAAGCAAAGTCATAAAAGTCCTTACCGATACATAGAAAACTGTTGTTGCTTGAACTGAAACTTGCATGACACATGACATTTTGAGGGTCAAACACGTTTCTATAAACTGTCAAATCTGCTGGTGGAAGTATAAATTTAAATGGACCATCTGGTGGTAATGGTTCGTTCTGGTTTAGTAACCGAAGAAATTGTGCCCAAGAACGTTTGTCTACTCCCCAATATAAAAACTCTGTATCTCTTGGAGGGTTAATTTCAATCTTTTGAAATGAAACGGTGGAGTTCATCTTGTCGTATTCTAGTTTTAGATAGTATGTTCCATTTAGTAAAGAGTGGTATTTTTCTTGAAATTCCCAGTAGTATTTGTTCATTTGAGTTTGAAAGTCATTTAGAGTTTTTTCAAGACTTTCGTCTGAACGAACTGTAAAGATTCTCATTTCGTCAAATTTGTCTATTAGACCACCAGAACCTTTATACTGCCCATGAAAATATACTGCGAACATAAATGCGTTAGTTCTATTTGAAAACAAAACTCTTCTAAATCCTATTGCCTTTGCATCTGAAGGACTTTGAAGCCAACGAATTGGATAGTCAAACCTGTATGTTCGGGATGAAATTTCTTCATCTGATATTGTCCTACCAGCATTTGTAAAGATATAGTCTAATGGTTTTGTATCTGCTACTTTTGTTCTTTGTTTTTCAACCTGAAGCATTTAATATATGTAAAAATATATTGTTTTAAAATGGTATGCCATATAGCTTCTTGAATTTGTTAAGAAATATTCGAACGTGTTTTCCATCTGTATCTCTAGCGTTTACATAAGCATAGCCATCCTTAGTAAAACATACTTGTAATTTCCTATAGTTTACGCCGGTATAAAAGTAGAAAGAGTCTTGTTCTTCGCTATAGTAGTAAAACTCAAACGTATGCTCGCCATAGTCTGTAATTTCAATTGTTTCATCTTCTAGTTCGTCGACAAATTCGAATACTATATCTCGAAATTTGCTTTTGTTCTTATTGTTTTCAGAACAAGTGACCCAACGCAAGTTTTCAAGTCTATTGTCGTTTCTTATACGGTTTATATGGTCTACAAAGGGTAGATTGTTAGGGTTCGGTATAAAATGAGTTGCAATGACAACATGTTTAAAATAGTTTTTTCCACCCATCCTCATAATAGCATATCCGTCATTTCCCTCCCATTCGCTTAAAACTCTTTTTGTCTTTTTGTTTCTGACTTCAAATGACTCACAACAGTGAATTTCATATTTCTCATCTAACAAACAAGTTTCCCAACGGTCTTTTCCGACAGACTCAGCGTACATTTCAAATAAAATAAAAAAATATTTTTTTTAAAAAATGTTTTATTTTAAAATGGTATGTCATTTCATATTTCTCATCTAATTTCTCATGAACTTTCTTGTCTATGTTTTCTCATGAACTTCTTCATCTAATTTCTCATGAACTTTCTTCATCTAATTTCTCATGAACTTCATCGTCAATGTTTTGTAAAGACTTCTTCATCTATGTCTTCCCAACGGTCTTCTCCAACAAACTCAGCGTACAGTTCAAATAAAAATAAAAATATACTGTTTTCTTTACTTTACATAACCGCCTGATGCGATAAGCCTTTGACGCCAACCCATACCAGCTAATGAAGGTTGACTTGGTTTAGTATTGAAACTAAACTTTGGTTTTGGTTTATCTTCAGTTTTTGGTTTTTCTTCTTCTATCGGTTTTTCGTCACTTTTCGGTTCCTCTGACTTTACCTCACCTGCAGGAACAGTTGTGTTGTCAACATCTTCATAAATATCATATGCCATTTGTTTTTGTTTTCCTTTCAACTTTTTGTGTTTGTTGTAAAGTTTAGAATATTTCGACTCTAAGTCAATGAGATGTTCTATAATGAACTGTTGGTCAGTGAAGTAAACTTTTCCATCTGTTGTCTCGAAAGCTCCTTCAGACTTCAATATTTTATTTGTGAGAGTCTGTTTCTTTTTTGAGATACTAGCCGTTCCATTTCTATGAAAAGTGACTTTGTAGTTAGGGTTTGTATTTCCAGACCTGGCACTTTCTATTATTGAATTTTTCTCTTCATCTGTAAGTTCTTTGACAGGTTTTGACAATGGTTCTGAACTTTTTGTTTGTGGTGTCAAATCTACCGTTTCAACTTCTTCGGTCATTTCATCTCAGTAAAAAATTTTAGTTTGGTTTGTTTTCAACTGGTTGTTGTTGTTTTTTAAGTCGGTCTAAAACTTCCTGAGGTATAGGAAGAACTTGACAAACACGTTGTGTAACTGCTGGAAGTCGACAAATCCATCTTGAACCCATTTGTCTCAATGCTGTATTGTTCATTTCATCTCAGTAAAAAACTTTACATTCCCCACGTTTGAGGCGGTTGCGGTTGGTTGTTGTTTACCCACTGTTGTGCATGGTTATATCCTCTGTTAAAGAATCTTTCACCTTGGTCCATATAGTGTCCTGCTTGGTTATAGTAGTCATTTGCTTTGTTATAATAGTTTCCTGCTTGTCTTCCTACATTGTCCATCCATCCTTGAACTTTTCCTCTTGTTTCAGGATTTGGAATAAGATTTGCTGCATCTCGTGCTACCTCCCAACCTTTCTGTACAGTTTGTATAATAGGTTGTGCTTTCTCTTTCAGTATACCTAATGTACTCAAAATCTTCCTTCCAACTCCAAATACACCTCTGGCTATTGTTCCCACTGCGGGCAAAAATCTGGATGCAACTCCTGCTAATGCGCCAAATAAACCCATTTCTTATGGGGTAAAAAATGACGAATCCAAACAAGGACCCCTATGTTTCTAAAGTGACAAAGAAAGCACTCATGATAAAAATCTTTAGTTCAACACCAAATGCTTGGTTTATGGATATCTTGGAAAACATTCCGAGGTATAGAGAAGATGGACCACCATACTGGCTAATATTTGTCGGTCAAAACACAAGATACTGTGAAGCCATACCATTATGGTCCAAAAATATTTTAGATGTGAAAACTGCTTTGACAATATTCGTTGACAAATACCATCCAACAAAACTGACATCTGACTGTGAAAGTTCTTTCAAATCAGATGATGTAAAAAACTATCTGCGTTCAAAAAATGTAAACCAATATTTCATTGTCGACCAAAACCATTCTGCTCTTGGTGTCATTGACGGTTGTATAAAAATGTTAAGAGACTTAAACCAACCACAAGGTGGTGAAGCAAATGAAATGTCATATGACGACAAATATAGACACTTCTCCATGGCAAAGATGAGACAAGTTTTAAATATTTACAATAGCCGTAAACAAAAAGGTTTGGGAAACCACTCCCCCGAAGAAATGAAAAACAACCCTGACTTAGAGAAAGACTATATATTTAATAATTTAGTCAAAAGAGACAAACAAGAAAGAATGCCGGGCTTCAAACTTCGGAAGGGTGACAAAGTAAAAATAGAAATACCTAAACGCGACCCATATGAAAATACTATTGACTATGACAACAATGGGAACCCGACAGGTACTCACATTCGTGTTCGTAAAAATAGAAGAAAGTATACAAGAGAATATTATGAAGTTTTAGGCAAACATGGCAAAATGTACACACTGCAAGCAGAAGATAAAACTACTATTGTCAGACCTCGTTTCAAACTTGTCAAAGTTCAAGGTGGTATACTTTCAAAGACAGTTCCAAACAAATATAAGACAACTCCTGACGAATATGCTAAAGAAGTTGAAAATGACGACTAAGCAATTCTATACCATGCACAAACTGTCATGTAAGGTGGCATGTATTTTTTACCTAGTCCTGTAGATGTTGTTGTAAAAGTATGTTGGTGGTTTCCTCCTGGTTCAGTTTGTCGAAAAGTCTTTTTTGCTGAATGGTTATAATCTGGAGATAAAACGTCATAGCCAGCTTCATACTCTGAGTTGTATAATGGGTGGTCTCTTAATGAGTGGCTATGGTCGCCAGAAAAGTTTGTTGTACCAGAATGACTATGTGGTGGCAAGTTGTCGACAGATATCGTTTTACTTCCACCTGTTTTCTTTGGAGTGTGTGCACAATACAAAAAACTTTCGAGTATTTGAGTCCAAGTTCCAAAACCAAGTACTACTTCTGGTCTGGTAGAGTTCATTGACGTATAAATAGAACCAACCGGGTAAATGGTTTGAAGTATTTCTGTCTTTAATGTTTGAAGCTCTGTTTTGTCTGCTTTCTTGTCATATAAATCTTGAGCAGTGAATTTAATATTATTTTCATCCTCCATGACATAAACATCTCTACATCTAATGTATCTCATCGTCGTTATGTCGTCATCCGATGTTAAACCTTGTGGAAAGTTAGGAGGTTTACAATATATTGCATCCCCACCAGTTTCTTCAACCGTTCCTTCAATACTTTCTATAGCAACAGTTGTAAAACTTGTATGTGTATGGTTCTTGTCTGCTTTCTTCTCTAACTCATCGTTAACATAAGTTTTATCTGCTTTAAGGTCTAAACATCCTGAAACCCATCCTGTATCGGCTTTACTTTTTAAAATCTTCGATGTCCGTTCATGGTACCAGTCAACCCTTTCTATAATTTCTTTATCTTTTTCATCCACATATTCCTTATCTGCCTTCTTCACTAACACACTAGCCATAAGTCCCTTATCTACTTTCTCCTCTAACTCACTGTTGACATATGTTTTGTCAGCTTTCTTTTCAAGGCTAACGTTTAAGTCTGTTATTTCAGATATAGAATGTGTATGTCCAACGTCACTTTTCCTGTTTAAGGTTTCTTGTAAGTTTGTAATATTTGCAATGGTATGTATATGAGTCTTTTTAGAATATTCGTTTTCAGCTCTTGTCACTTCACTTGACATTTTATTGTCAACATATGTTTTGTCCGCTAGTTCAGGATGAGTATGTTCTTTCGTTGCATATGTTGCATCTGCTCTGTCATGTTCTTCTTGAACTTTTTCAATGACATACTCTTTGTCAGCTTTGTTGTCAACATCTGCTTTCAAAAGAAGTTCATCTATAGGTTTCTCGTTTAAAGTTCCTTTTGTTGGATTTACACAGACAGTATGGTTCTTACTGTCTTGAAACAGAAACTCGTCTGTCATTGGTTTATTCGTCAGTTTAAGTTTCCTTCTTTCAATGACTCAGATATTTAGAATAGTTTTGAAAAGTTTGTTGTGTTCTTATTTAGAGCTTGCAAAATGAGTTGTCGGTTGTGTTTTATTTTCTCATAGACGCTGTTTCTTTCGACATTTTTATTCTAGATAAAATATGCTTCAATAGAAAAAGAAAAATTCAAGAGTTGCTACAACTAAACATTAGATGAACTTTTTACGATGTCGGTCAAAAGTTTGAGACAGAGACCGTAAAGCATGAAGGCTATCGTTTTGACTACCCATTGAGATGGTTAAGAGACCCATCCGTCACAAAAGCTGTTGGCTTTCGTAGAATGAAGTTCATTTCAGAAGCCATACATGGTTTCCCATTTCGGTCGCTTTGAAATTCGATACTATAACAAAGAGAAACGTACGTATGAGAAATTTGAACAGGGAAAACTTTTACAAGTGAATTTTGCTTGTAAACTTAGAAACAACTCTTCAAGCTTTTCAAGAAAAAAATAAACGATATCTATCTCGAATATGCAAAACAGTACAACATTGACGAAGGAGAGTACATCTCGATATTATATATGACAGGAAAAATGCAACTGTTAAAATCAATAGAATAGAAGACCTTGGAGAAGACGTTTATATTTCTACAAAATATAAACAACTTGGCATGGTATAGATTTTTGAGGATGTTAAATCAGCCTGCAGAATATCCAGTACACCCGAACTTTTATGAAGTCGAAAACCCTAATGGAACATATGAAAATGTTTTCGACTCAGATGCTATTATAGTTCATGCTTCATTTTCTGGTGCACAAAACTCTTTTTTATGCTTGGCAAATGACTTTTACGAAAAACCTACAAAGCTATACGAACCACCAAGTGGAAGTATTTCAGACTTCAAGTATGGTTTACTACAGATGGAAGAAAGAGAATAATTCCATTATACCACGCGTTTTACTTAGAACTTAGTTTCATATACAACTACTATCGAACGGTAAAAATATAATTTTTTAATACGGTTGAGGTGTTGGATTTGGTTGCCAACTAGACTGTGGTGCAGGTTCAGGCTGTTGTATAACAGGAGCTTGCTCTTCTGGTTCAGGGTCTTTAGGTATAATACCAACGAACTGACCTACTCTTTTTACCAATATTTTTGACTCCGTTCCAAATTCCTCTTCCTACGGTTTTTATTCCATTCCATATACCTCTTCCAACTCTTCTGAAGAAGTTTCCAATACTACTGAAGAAACCCATTTTACTATATGTAAAAATCTAATGTCGCCTAGTCTCTTACGTTTCCTGTTGAGTTCCATAGCATTCTTTAACTGGAGCTCATACATTCTGTTTCTCCTCTGGTAGAAAATATTCTGGGTCAACTCCTGTGTTCGCGTCATCTGCATAAAGTTGTTTATATCCCACTTCAGGGTTTGTATAAAACTCTTTCCATCTCATATTTGCATACCATGGTGGCAAACCTAACGCAGCGTCATTTGACATGGCAGTTTGCATTTGTACATCTGTTGGCACTTGACCATAGTTTGCCATTGCAGTTTGTATTCTAACTTCATTTGGAATATTCTCTGGGTTTGGTTGTCCAGGTTGCTGTGCATTCGCTAAGTTCTGTGCGTCCATTTAATATTAGATAAAAATATCTCTTACGAGTACATATGCTGAACATTTGCAGCATTGGTTCATCTTCATATTCTATATCTTTTCCACGTCAAATAAGTAAATGACACAATGGAAAAAACCTAAAACAAGTAGTCCTATTTCAAACCACATTTACTTACCAATAAAATTTCTTTGTTTGACACTTTTTCCGGTTTATAGGACCTCTCTCATATTCTATCTTATCGTATCTAAAATCATAGTCATGTACGTCCTCTAACCATCTCATAACGGTTTCCAAACCACTTTTATCGGATGTAAAGTAAAAGCATGGATGGTTGTAAAACGTCTAAAGTTTCTAAAGAGTCTCTCAAAGTCCAGTCTACTTGGTATTGAAAATCCCATGTGTTATAGAAACGGCGGGTCCACTATAAAGAAAACATTTTCCTTGTCTTTATATTTTTCATACAACTCTGTCCAATGACATCTCACAAACTCTATACCCTCAATATTTTTCTATGTTCTCTTTGAAAAATTTGTATAGTTAAGATATAAAACTTTTGACATAAGTGTTTCAATGTCATGAACTCTTATAGCACCACTATATAATAGTCTAGCAGATATACTATCCCAGTCAATATACTCTGCCTTTTTCAAAACCTCTCTGACAGTATTTTTCTTATCTAATGGTATACGTTCCATCTTACCTATAGGTATCTTTTCTTTTAACTCTTTCAATATTTTGTTTGTGTCTGGTATATGTTTGAGACGGTTCATATAGTGTCGAAGTCATTGCATATAATCTTTGAGTCAGGAAATATTGTATGGCACAAATGAGATATATAGAAACTTCCACCGAACAAGTCTACAAATGTTAGACCATTCGGTAGTTTCTTAAGTTCTCTCAATAGAATATCTTTACATCTACTCTTATTTCCAAAGAAGGGTAACGGTGGTTTTGTAAAATTCATTTTATATATAATAAAAATGTTTTTTCCTGAAAAGTGACAGAAAAGTGACGGGGGGCTAGAGGGCACGAAGTGCCTGGAAGCCCCACTACCTTTTTTTTTTTTTTTTTTTTTTTTTTTTATAAAAATCGAGATCATAGTTATCATTTTCAACTAAATAGCAAAGATGATGAGTGTATATTAGATCTGCAAAACATAATCCTAAATCATAAAAAATGTTGAAATAATCATATCTTTTGTTTTTCAAACTGTCAGAAATTATTGATCTATTAGTTTTATTTCTTGAGAAATCTAAAGATTCTTCTTGGAATCCAATGTGCTCGTATCTTGTAAAAACTTCAAGAACAGATTTAAATTTACATTCATAATATAATCTGTAGAGATTAAAATAATTGTTGCAAATATTGTTCTCTAAACAGAAAATGATGACTCTAACATTGGAAAATTTTACATGATCAACAATTGATTGTTGATAATTTTCAAGAAGCCAATCAAGTAAATCGAAATTTCGAGAATTCAAAGCAAATGGTAATGTATCATCATAATTAACACCTTGTCGTTCAAGTAATCGTATTAATTCTGTGTTTCCTGATGAAACGGCCATCATTAACAATTCTGGATTGAGAAGTTGTTCTTTATTGTACTCACTGTCTGGGTCTTCGTTAAGAATAATGTATTTGATAATGTTAATTGATGGTTTCACAAAAATTTCGCGGAGAACATAATATTAAGGTTTTGAATTGTCATTAAGAATGTATTGTTGAAATTTTGACACATCATCGTTTCGGATTATTTGTATTAGTTCGTCTGATATATCATTCTCTTCGTCATCAGAGGAATCAAAAATTTTTTCTTCCTCTGGATATGAAACATCTATGCCTGCTTTGCGTGCCAACTTATAGTTATTCGTGTTGTTCGTACTTAGTTCAGGTTTGAAGATCTTGCCGAGAGTTTGAAGAATCCGAAAGTATAAGATATCAGAATCTGATGAATCTTTTTTGAAGAATTGAAATATGTATTGGAAGTTATCGTTGGGTGTTTCTCCTGGACCTTCACGGATAAACTGTTCGAAGAATTTAGTTGTTTCTTCAAAATTTTCTTCGTTAAGTGAATAAAAATGATCTTCAAAAGCAAGCAGTGGTTCAAATGCCTTCGGAATAACAATATTTTTAATGCTTTTGATCTTTAGTTTTTCATAAATAATGGGTTTTTTGTTCATTTTTTCAAATTACAAATTCTTCGCGTGACTTTTTCCCTCAATTTTTGAAAAAGTCGGCGCGAAAAATTTGATTCTTTTGATCTTCAAAATTATTGGAATCGAATTTTGTAAAATTCGATTCCAATAATTTTGAAGTGAAAAAAGAATTTTAATTTCTATGGAAATAAGTTTACCCAAATAGAAATCCATCAAAACGTGTTAAATTTATTTTTAGAAGTCAAATTTACTAGTTGTCGTATTTTTCAAACTAAATAAGGAATTTTTAAAATCGAATAATTTTATTTACTAATTAACTTAACAAAATCAGGGTGGATATGAAATGTTGTGATATCTTCTTCTCGAAGATCAAGCTTTTCATATCCATATTCAAGTAATATATGAATGATTTCTGAATTACAATGAATGGCTGACCAAAACAAAGCATTGTTGTAATAATCGTCAAATTCATGATTAATTGGAACTTTGTATTCAATAAGGATTTTAATGATTTCTATGTTATTCAGTTTAGCAGCATGAAGATAATAATCAGGCAATTCAATTGCACGATAAAAACAAACTCTACTTTTGGGCTTTGGTTTGAAGTATCCTTCAATCAAATGACTCTTCTCCATGATTTCTAAAAGCAATCTAAGGCATTCTGGTATGTTCATGTCTACAGCATTAATTAGCCAATGTTCTGTATCTTCTGGAAAATCTTTGAGATTTATTTTGTCTGAAATCTCTATATTTTTCAAAATGAAAATACAAACACTTTCATTTTTGACTTGGAAAGCTCTTGACAAGCATTTAAGAAGATAACTTGGAAAATAGTCTTTGATTGAATGATTTCTAAAATAATAAATGAAGCCGGATGGACGTGTATCTTGATTAATTAATATTTCTAGACTGTCTTCTAGTAAGAAATCACCTGCATGATCAATCAAGTAGTAAAGAGATCTATCATCTTTACAATCATAGAATGTGTTTTTTGTGATTCTAGCACCATAATCAACAAGAATCTTTACAATTTCGAAATTTCCTTTCATAGCATGGTAATCAAGAAGAGAAACTGTATCAATATCTCCTTTAGCTCTTGCCTTTCCACCATTGTCCAATAATAATTTATAAGCTTCAGCATTGGTATGTTTAGCCTCATCCATAACATTATGAAAAATATATCTTGGATCATCAAATTCATCTTCATATGATTCTTCTTCCTCTTCTTCTTTAGTATGATTGTAGTAATAATAAGATTCTCTCGATTTTTTCTTGTATTCATAATCTGGATTGGCTTCTTTTCTGATTAATGTTACGCCTTGATCAAGAAGATATTTAATTAAATCGATTTATCCTTTAGAAAATGCATACTTCATTAAATCAAATCCATCTGTTTCTTTAAGATCAATTTTGAAGTTTTTAAGAACATAATCAACCAATTCTGGTTTTAGTTCCTCAGAAACATAACGCGAAAATAGTGATAGAAAATCCTTGGCAGTAAAAGATACATTATGGTTGAAGAGAAATTTCATTTCTTCGATGCCACAGTATGACAAGATCTGATCAAGCCTAGCAGAAAAAAATGTTTCTTTGGTAGAAAAATTTCAATAATTCCATATTTGACAAGATTTCTTTGACATCATTTTTTATTAATCTGAATTTGGTTGATGGGTTTCTTAGTGGATACTGATAGATCTTTTCATAAAAATCTAGATCGTAGTTCTTTGCTTCAATAACATATGAAATTGGATGCCTAAAAGTTTCAGCAGGATATCGTAATCCTAACTCATAAAAAATATTGAAATAATCAAATCTTTTGTTACTTAAAGCATGAGAAACAATTGATTTTTCTTCATCACTATCATTTGAATAACTTTTAGGTTCTTCATGAATCAAATTGAGTTTGTATGTGGCAAAAAATTCAAGAACAGATTTGAATTTACACTTATAGTAAAATTCATATAAATTATAATAATTTGTGCAAATATTGTTCTCTAAACAGAAAATAATTGCCCTTATGTTCGATTTTGTTAAGCTTGATATCTTTTCATGCTGATAATTCTCAAGAATCCAATCAATTAAATCTGGATTTCGAGAAATTAACGCGTCATATAAACCATTATCATAATTAGCACCTTGTTGTTCAAGCAATCTTATTAGTTCAATGTTTCCTGATGAAACTGCAATAAAATGATATTTATTTATTCCAAAACATTCTTCTTTAAATTTTCCTGCTAAATCTTCGTTAATAAGTATGTATTTAATAATATTCATAGGTTGCTTATAAAATATTTTAATCATAATAGAGAAATCAAATTTTGATATGTGATGATCATCAATAAATTGCTGAAATTTTGATACGTCATCGTTAAGAAGGAACTTCGTATTTGATGAGCTCTTTTACAATTTCTGTGTTATTCATTTTAGCTGCATGAAGGAAATAATCTGGAATAACAAATGAGGCAGGTTCAATATCATTATCTTCATTGTCAGAGTAAAAGCCACAGTAAGCTTCTTCTGGATCGAAATATCCATCTAAATATCTAGTTGTTTTCAATGCAGCCAAAATTAATTTCACACAGAAAGATGAGTTTATATCTACAGCTCTAATAAGCCATGAATATGCCTCATCAGGCATAGAATCGATATCTTCTTCATCTTGAATCACAGCATTATTCAATATGTAAATACAAATTGCTTCATTTTTAACTTTCAAAGCTTTCGTCAAACATTTAAGAAGTTTGTATAAAGAGATTTCTTTGATTGGATATTTCTTTGTGAAATAAAGAAATCCGGATGGTTTTTTATCATCTTCAATCAATTCTTCAAGAAGATCTTCAATTTGTTCTTTTTCCGAATTCTCTATCAAGCAATTCATTGTTTTAGAATCTTTGCAATGATTAAATGAATATTTCGTAACCTTTGTTCCATGTTCTAAAAGAAGTTTAACAATTTCTGTGTTTCCTTTTGAAGCATGATAATCAAGAAGAGTTTTGCATTTTCCTGATCCTTTTGCAATTGCTTTTCCTCCTCTTTCTAAGATGAGTTTATAAGCTTCCAAATTATTATGTGTTGCTCCATCAAGAACATTATAAACTTTAAGTCTTAAATCATCGAAATCTTCATCATAAACTTCATCTTCATCTTTTTCATCACCGAGATGAATATAAACAGTTCTAGGATTATAAAAATCTTTGTTTTCTTCTTTAATTACGAGTTTAACACCTTTATCAAGAAGACAATTCATTAAATCAATGTTTTCCGACGAAAAAGCAAACTTCATTAAATTAAATCCATTGTTTTTCTCTAAACTAACACTATTGTTTTCAAGAATATATTTAATTAATTCCGGTTTAAAAAGTAAAGTAAATTGATCAAAAAATGAAAATAATGAGTTAAACTCATTGACATCGAAAGCATGAAGATGAGAAAAAGCATAATTCATTTCTTCTATACCACCAGATGAAAGAATTTCTCTTAATCCAATGTCAGTAATCAGTTTCTTTTCAACAAAAAATGTCAAAATTTCTAAATTTGACAAAATTTCTTGAATTGTTTTTCTTGAAAACGTGAAACGTGTTGAAGGATTTCTTTGTATGAACTGATAAACTTTTTCATAAAGTTCAGGGTCATAATTCTCAACCAAATAAGTTAAAGGTTGCGTAACAAATCTGTCTGGAAAAATTAATCCTAAATCATAAAAAATGTTGAAATAATCAAATCTCTTGTTTTTCAAAGTGTCAAGAACTATTTCAGATGAATCTATTTGTTGGAAATCAAGTTTGTATGTAGCAAGAAATTCAAGAATAGATTTGAATTTCGATTCATAAAAAATTTTGTAAAAATTATAATAATTCGTACAAATATTGTTTTCTAAACAGAAAATAAGGGATCTAAGGTTCGAAATATTGATCTTTTTGACCTTTTCTTGTTGATAATTCTCAAGAATCCAGTTAATTAACTCATAATTTCGAGATTTAAAAGCATCTGATAAAAAGTTGTTGTAATTAGCACCGTTTTGTTCAAGTAAGCGTATAAGTTCGATGTGTCCTGATGAAACTGCTTTGCTTAAGTTAGATTTTTCAAATAATTCTGATTTATTGAATTTTTCGAGTGAATTTCCGCTGATCAATATGAATTTGAGAATGTTTAATGATGGTTTTTTGAATATTCTCCTCTTTAATGTGTAAGAATAATCATAATTGTGGGTTTCAATATATTGTTGAAATTTGGAGACATTGTCGTCGTATATGAGCTGTGTGAACTCATCTGGTTTGCGTTTTGGTCCAATTTCTTGTTTAATTATACTTTCCCTAAGTTCGTAAGGAATTGAGACATCAATACCTGCATCAGAGGCTTTCGAATATATAAGTATGTCATCTGATCTGATTAGTGGTTTGAAAATTTGTCTGAGGGTTTGGATGATATTAAAATGTAAATTATCTGTATGAGATTGCATTAATTTTCCATTGACAAATAATTCTAGTAAGTATTTGAAATTGTCATTTTGAGTTTCACCGGGGCCATCTGTAATAAATTTTTTGAAGAAATTGATTGAATCTTCGAATTTTTCTTGGTTTAGGTTAAAATAGTGATCTTCGACTTGCAATAATAGCTCTAATGCTTGAGGGATCACAACCTCGCCGAAGTTTTTGATCTTTAAATTATCATAAACAATAATATTTTCACTCATAAGAATTTGATTTAGTTCATCAGGAAGAAATTACTATATGATAACAATATGTTCATAAACAATAACAGTTGTTAAAATAAACTTAAAAATTCTTTTCAGTTGATTCTTATAACTCAAATATCATAAATTGCAACTCTCTGCTTCAATAAAGACGTTTGTACAGGAGAAATTGAATTCAATTAGATAGTCTAATGGAAATTTGGAATTTTATATTTGTAATTACAAATTTAGATTATCTGGACAAGAATGATAAATTTCTATAAACAAGCCAATGTTTGTTCAAAAAAAAAATAAATAAAAAAATAAATAAAAAAAAAAGAATTTGAGATGAAATTAACGTTCTACTCAAATTTTAGAACTTGTTATTCTTTCGGCAGAATAACTTTAGTCCACTTAGAAGCGAAGTTTTCTTCTGATGGCTTCCTTACCAGCTCCGATAAGGATTGGGCGATAGATTTCTGTCCAGTCACTGTTTGTTTCTTCCTCTTGGAAACCAAGCTTCTTTCTGAGGGCTTCTGTAACAGCATCGATAACGATTGGGCGATAGATTTCTGTCCAGTCACTGTTTGTTTCTTCCTCTTGGAAACCAAGCTTCTTTCTGAGGGCTTCTGTAACAGCATCGATAACGATTGGGCGATAGATTTCTGTCCAGTCACTGTTTGTTTCTTCCTCTTGGAAACCAAGCCTTCTTCTGAGGGCTTCCTTACCTGCTCCAATAAGGATTGGGCGGTAGATTTCTGTCCAGTCGCTGTTCTCTTCCTCTTGGAAACCAAGCTTTCTTCTGAGGGCTTCCTTACCTGCTCCAATAAGGATTGGGCGATAGATTTCTGTCCAGTCGCTGTTCAATTCGGATACTGGAGACATGACCCATGGTTTTCGGTAAGGAGGCATGACGCATGGTCTTGGGTAAGTCCTTATGACCTTTGAAAGGCTGCTTGTTGTAAGTGCAAAGAACATTTTGATTTTATTTTCCTCAAAAAAATTCAATATTTGAGAGGTGATAAATTAAGATAGAATAATATTGATTCTTCAGCAAAAATAAAGAAATTTACGAAAATAAGATTTTGTTAATATTGTCAGCCTGACGTCATTTGTCGGCAAAAAATAATCTGAAAATTTATTCAATTAAATTGTTAAACATTCATTTGGTCTAAGGGTTTCGTTTTGCTAAAATTGTCACTTTTATAGCATATTTGTTTTTGGATGTTTTGCGAAACCAAAAAAAAAACTATGATATACAATGTGTGTGTAAAGAAAATACTTTATTTACTAGTTAAAAAATCATTTGGTATTGATCAAGTTATTTTTTCTGGATAAGATATTATATGGATAATTGGATAGAAAATACAATTATATAATCTTGTACCTGGTTTAATTAAGCTAATTGTCATCAGAAACTTGTAATTTTTATGAATTTCAGATTTTCTTTTCATTACTGCTTTTCTTAATAGGTCAAGTTCTTATTTACGTTATAAAGTATGATATTTACAAATATCAAGTTATCATGTTTTTTGAGAAATTATGAGAAACAAACAAAAATGAAAAAGATAGGAATAGCAATGAATAGTGATGTGGGTATAGAAAATGTAAGAGATATGAATGCAAAGCAATCAGTATTTAGGATATTGACCATAGATTTCGAAAAAAAATGCTGCATATTGAGCGAAAACTATGATTATATTATAAGGCTGTCATTTAAAGCATAATGAAACTATTCCCTTTTCATTTTAATCGAATAAGATAGTAAAGATTTTTGAATTAGCTAGAAACTGATGAGATGTTTTCACAAATCAGATTTTTAATCTCTATAATGCATAATTCACTCAATATCTCAATTTTGATATTGCGAGATATTTTTGCTATCGGTTTCGCAATTTTGACACAATAGCAAGAGGGTTCTATAAGCATTATTATCAACGTAGAATCTGAATATCATATCAGAAAATGTCGCAAATCCGACATTTACCCGACCAAATAGCAAAAATAATTGAATACTTTTCGCAAAAACTTTAAAAATCGATAAAAATATGAAATATAGATATTAAAGAGACTTTTTATATAATATTCATAAAGATTTTCCAAAAATATGATACCGCAAAATTAAAAAAGTGACGTCTTGAGTGGAGTCAAAGGTCGAAATTGCTAGCTAAATGTTTTTTAGCGAAATTGCGTATTGTACGTTTTTTTCGCAAAACGAAACCCTTATTTGGTCATTAATATTATTTTATAATCAGTGCAGTTATTCGATAAAATAGCCATGATCACGAAATAAATCTGCCTGACAAAATCAACCAAAACCTTAGTATGGAAAATCGTTACTACATTTCTATTGAACAAGTGTTTGTCCAACTGCGGCACATGTTCGTTTTGAACAAAGTGAAAATTTATATAATGGTATCGTTAAATTCATTATAAAAAGTTTGTTGTATAGCATCGAACAGCTAATTTATCCGTGCAAATGCATTGTTATTGCATAAAATGCCATTTTGTAACTAAAATGTTCAAGAACAAGAATATATGTCTATTTTTTCAAATTTAATAAACTAACTTTCATTGCTTAAGTCTCTAGAGCTTACTTTCTCCAAGAAATTTGGGGAAATCTCCCTGAAAAGTTTGGAAATTGGAAAAAAAAATGTAAATTTGAGTTTAAGAAGAAAGGTAAAGTTTGAATAGAAATAACTAAAATTATTATTTAAAAAAGCGAATTAAATAAAACAAACAAATAAAAAATAAAAATTAAATATAACAATTTCCTTAATCTGGATTAGTATTAATCTTGAATGGCATCTTCTTTGGAATCAACGTCATTCTTCTTTTGTGAACAAACATAGATGGATCTGTTTGTGAGAAAGCAGGGCTTGAACCACTGTCAAACCTTGATACAGTCAATCTAAACATGCTTGTGTCCTGTTGCGAAGGTTTGAAGGCTTCGGAAGGAGGAGAATATTCCGAAATTTCGAAAGATTCGGGTCTTGCTGACGAAAGAAGCATTGCTATATCATCTAACTTCTTAGATGCAGCAATAACGTAAGGTTTAACAGCTTCTTCGACCATTGGATTTGCGCCATAAGTTAATAATGCGTCAACAACGTAAACGTGGTTATAAAAAGTGGCATAGTCAAGGGCTGTCCACATTCCTCTGTCCATTTTATCGATCATTTCTGGACAATTCATGGCAATTAAGCAAACAATTGGAGGAGATCCAACAATTGAAGCCGCTTGCAAGGCTGTAAGTCCATCGGGTAGATCTTGATTAATTTCTCCGGTCAAAACTGCTTTAAGGATCTGTGGTGCCACTGAATTTTGAATTGCGGATCTCAAATCAACGGGATCCTTCGAGATAAACTCCAAATCAACGTATTTTCTCTTAATGAATGCTTCACGCTCTTCCTGTGTTGAATCCGGATTGATTTTGTCGACAACATTGGCTTCAAGAATTTCATTCAGTCCTTTGTTGCCAATTGCTTTAAGTAATTCCATGCAATAAAGATCATTGGTGTCCATAGTCAACGATCTGATCCTTGAAACCGACATTGGAAGAGATCTATGAATTCCTGCACATTTAGAACACAAAATCGCTCCTTTGTTGGTAATAATCCAATCAGAATCCCTTGCACCACAATCTGCGCATGTAGAAGTGTTGTTTTCTTTAAGACGGGCTGATTCCATATCTTGTGACATGAATTTTGAGGAAATTTGCGATTGTATGGTAGCTATCCATTTATCGCGATCGTATAATGATGGTGCTTGTAACACAATGTTCTTGTTTTTCGAGATAATCGTTAAACAGTTTGGTTTATCGTCTAAATCGAATGGTTTGACGTTGCAATACTCGAGTTGGAGGGTCCAGAGTGGTTTGGCGCATGTTGCAGGTGATGTGGAAGCTGCAAAGAAGCCATCTCTGCTCATACAGAATAATTTGTCCCAAGAAGATCCGAAAACGCTTGTTTTACGCCATAAGTAACCTTGTATTTCGGATTTAGGTGTTCCTTGGTATGGCTGATCAAGAATTCCGTAGTATTGAGGTATTAAATCTTCCACAGTTTGATGGAAAGCTGTATTTTCGAACATCTTTTGCGCAATGGCTTCATTTGATTGGGTGATCTTCTCGGAAACGATTTGGATGTCTCCCATCTCTAATTTCGCTAAACGATTGATTTGTGAAGCTAATTCGTTGTATACAGAGGCGGAATAACTTATTAGTAAACTGCCAATAAGATTCGCATATCTCGATTCTGTTACATCGAGCTGCAAAATGTATTCGCAAAATGCGTGAGAAGATTGCTTATGTAATTCCATTAGCTTCTGACGCTTATCTGTAGTATCACGGCTTTTCTTTGGCGGGTTTGCTAATTTATCGTAAGCTTCGGTAAATTTCCCATGAATTTGAACATACGAAGCTTTGGACTTCTTCATCATCGAAATATCGTGTCTAATAAATGATTCAACTGGTATATGCATTGCTGATTCTACGTGATTTAAATGGCTCAAAACAATTGAGTTCATTGTGATGATTGAGTTACATAAGCTTGAATATTGAGCGTTAATAGCAACAATATCAATTTGAGACATTACATTATGAAGATCTGATATGGCCTGTGCAAATTTCTTGCCAGAGGAAATATAATTTTTTATAAATTTTGACATTTCTTGAAGTTGTGTTGTTGTTTGCTTAATTCGTTGATATCTATTAATTTGCTCATTGTCATAAAGTGGATCCATATGTAAGTATTGTGGGAATTCTATCTCGTTTGTATTTGCATTCATTTTTTCTGAAAAAAAAAGTTTTTTTTTTATGCACCTTATATTGGATATTGGAATATTATATTGGTTTCAGTATATATAGCATATCACTAGTCATTTTATGCAGAATTAAAAAGATTTCACAGTCAAAAAGCTGAGTCTTCATGGCATCCTTCTCTTTTTGGAATTTCGGATTTAAAGAAGAATGGAATTTAGAACGAATCTCATAACAGAGAGACCGAAACTATCAGATTTTTATATGAATTATTAAAAATTGCAGCATAAATCTATAAATCTTCTATTGTGTGGTTTTGTATGCACATTGTGTGGTATACGTGAGATTGTTCATTTAAAGTGTGTAATTTCAGAAATTATGGCGTTAATAGCTATATTTCTTAGAATGTATCGTGTTGAATGGTAAAGCAAACATCTCTATTTTAAGGTTCAAAGACTTAGAATCTTAAATCATTAGTTCATTCCAGAAATTTCAAAAGACTCAACTTATTCGTGATAGATTCCAAGCTTTGGAAGATTAAGATGGAATTACCTCCTAGCAAGCATAATTGTTGCCGGTATTAAATTCATGAAAAAGGATAAAAACTATTCCGAAAAATCTTAATTTGCATACAAATCATTTATGGTGATATAAAATATTACCAAAAATAATTGTTATAATTTAAATGAAGAAGTAATTTAAAACGATTTTATTTATGATCAAATTTTATATATTTTTTTGGATCAAATCCATTTTAATAGAATTTATATACTATTCATCTATTAGTAAACACTACCGTATATTATTTTTTAAGCTATCTTATTTTTTGAAATTTTATTCAAATCTTTGGTCGCAAGAAGAATTGCATGATAAATAAAAACATTTAATCAAAGTCAATTTTATTTTTCATATTCAAATGGACTGAGTGTTAACATTTAACATTTTTTGCTAATTGTCGTCAAAAATTAGGCGTGAAGCAAAAATTAATATTTCATATGGTTTTATGATAGATAAGCATTATATTCCCACTCATTATATTCGTAAATTTTGAGGTTTATCCTTCGCTTTTAAGATCATTGAATTTGATTTTTATAGAAAATAGTTATATATTAGAAAATAATATGAGTTTATGTGATATTATTTTTCAGAAGATTTTGTGTTCTTCTTCAAAATTTTATTTTTTTATTAAAAAGAATCTTTACAAAATATACATTTACTTTAATTAATATTTAAAAACGTGCTCTATCAAAAGTTCCAAAAATTCAATATTTTAGCTTTTCTGAGGTGTCACTTTTGATGAATTTCTGTTTACAATACCTGTTTTGGCCGCCTTAAAAATTGCTAAATTTACAAGAAAATTTTGAGAGAAAAAATTGAAAATTATCGTTTTTTCATCTGACAAAACCGTCACCTTTACTTTTCTTCCGCATTTACTTGGAATGTGCTCGAAGTTTTGCAAGTCTATGATCCAGACATACGTTTCTGCAGCTCTTGGTTCTGTTGTCTCAAACGCTGTTGTTCGTGGCATTTCTGGTGCCCAAACACCAATTGATTGGGCAGGTGTTGCTATTGGCGGCCTTCAGACAGGTACAGCTTTCATTTCATACCCAGTTGCTCTTAAGATCCTCTCTGATCACTGCGAATCCTTCAAGAAGGATCTTGAATCACCAAATGGCAACAAGGCCAAGGTTTACATCCTCGGTGGTGCTCTTGGCGCTGCTATCATTGCAGTTGTCAACTTCCCACTCAGCAAGCTTAACCAGGCTCGCCAAGGAAAGTGCGAAAAGAAGGGATGCTGCGCTTGCAACTTCGCAAAAGGAATGGCAGGAACATTCGTTGATCAACTTGGTGCTTCGATTGGCTTCGCTGCTACAAACAATACATTAGGACCAATGATTCCAGTTCCACACAACTCATTCCTTGCCTACCTCCGTGCTAACTCACTTGTTCAGATCTCCAACGTCGGTGGCAAGTTACTTTCATATCCAATCCTTGCTTATCGCCATGGAGCAACACTTCCAGGATTACTTGGCGGATACTTCAGAACAGCACACGGACCATGGATCACTGGTGATGCCTGCAACTTCTTCAAGGGAGTTTTCACATGCATTCTCGAGTAAATTTATAATTTTTAAAAAATTGAAAATTAAAATGTTTTTTATTTTATATTGTATAAACAACACAAAATCATGACTCTATGTAAAAGTACATTGAAAAAAAATAGAATTTTAAATTCTCACCGACAAATTATAAAAAGAAAGTATTTGTATTGATTTCAAATAATGCATATCATTCAAAGATAAAAAGAATAAGCTAAAAATGATTTATACATTTAGTCAATGAGGGTTTTGTATTTAGCACATTGTCAATGAGGGTATTTTGAAAATTTATTCATTTTAACTTTATTTTGAACTCTGAACAATATCTGCATAGTATCAATGTCTTTGCAGAGTATAATCCGTGATGTTAAAAATGTTTAAGACAAGGCTATTGATGAATAATCAATTTAAAATTTATTTGATTCTTGAAACCCTAATTTGTCATGATTATATACTTTAAAATTTCTCAATTATAATTGACTCTTAGAATTGATGCAGCAAAATGATAAGAAATTAGATCTTTAGAGATAATTAGATTTAGATATTTCAAACAACGATACTATAATTGTCCATTACCAGAAATGGTTTATGTGAAAAATTCAATTTAAATAAAATCTTCAAGTAACAAATAATGAATCCAAAATTTTTGAATAACTTAGTTTTCTCATGGTAATATTTGCAAATTGACCAATATTAAAATAACTAAATAAACAAATATGAATATTTTAGATCTTGAGTCATTTCTACATATGTTGACTACATTGATACAGTTCCACTATTGACATTGTTAAAACAATTAGCAATAAGGTTGTGAAAAATAGCATTTGTTATGATAAGCTTTGTTTGTACTCTAGACATGTAGTAAATAATAGCTGTATCATGAAATTGAATCACAATTCGACGAAATATTTTATGGCGATCTAAATTTATTTTGTCAGAAAATTACGATCAAATTGTGGAAATTTGGAAATTGCTTGTTTGGGGTGATAATATAAATAACAAGTTTAAACAATATGGTACCTTACTATCAAATGGTTAATTATCGGAATTTTTCAAAGATTGGTTTGAAAAGTGGATCGAACTTTTTTATAGAGAAATTTTGTAAACTTCTCAATTATATTTAAAACCTATTAAAATGAAATCATCTTAAATACTCTGTTGTTGTGATTTGTTAAAAGTTGGATCAAAATAATAATTGAATTTACGATATTTCAATAGTCTTTTTAATGATTTTGAGAGAATAATTACGATCATCAGATTTTTGAAGAATCATATTATTTTATTATAACGTTAAGTATTGGAATATAATGCATCTAATTTTTTGATTTGATAAAAATTAATTTAACCGTGCATTTATAAAAATTTTGAGAAGAAATAAATCTGAAATAAAAATACTTCATTTTAGATAAATAGAGAATGAGTTGCTGCTCGTGCTTGGCAAGAACAATAATAGGATTAGTAAACTTGATCATCCTAATAGTGATGGCTGTTATCCTTTACTTCAGTTGGGATCAGATTAAACAAATCAAGATTGACGAGATCAAGAGTTCGAAGAAAGTTCTCATATATCAGGCGATAACCCAAAAGTCGAACTATCTCAAAATTGTTTTGTGTATAATTGCAAATTCAATAACATGAAAGAGAGAGCAATCAGTTTGAATGAAAAAGCCAATTTCAAGGTTCTAATCTACGAAAATGTTTTTTACAAAGGCTCTGGTACAATGTTCTTCCATGATGTATATGACAGCATTGTTGTTGTTGATAAATTCTGTTCACTCGAAAATTATAATCTCACTGAAGGCCAATTTGTAGATTTTCATTCAAGTATAAACGCTACAATCACCCGAGGATCAATTTTAAATGGAGGGAGTACAGCTACTTCAACTGCTATGATTGTTCAAAATTATGGCGATTCAGTCCTGTCGTACACAAACATAACGCATTGTTACTTGAAACAAGATGCTGCTTTTGTTTATGGAAACGTTCAGAGCTCAGCCAATATTTCGTACTGTCAAATTGAAAAAATAGACTCAGACGATAGGTTATCAACGATAGATAATTGTTTAGGATATATTGAAAGAAGCCATTATTTAAATAACACTCAAAATGCATCAGATAAAGGAATAATTACTGTGAATATACAAACGCTTGAAATCTATGATTCTCTTTTCTTGAACAACCAACAGAATGAGATAGGTTATTTATTTGATGCAGATGATTACGGAAGTATTACTATTTGCCGATGTTTTATTCAACAAGATATAAATTATTGGAATGATAGTAGTATATGTGGACGGGTTGTGTGACTTTTTTTGTAAACGTAAGAATTCATACAATATTGAACGATTTTGTATCATTTTTTTTAACATATGAAGTAAAAAATGTAAGATTCTTACAGTTTTTATTCTTACGTTTTTGAATAAATCAAGATTTAAAAATTGACTTCTTACGTAAAATTAAAACTAAGTTAAATTTATTTTTTTATTTTTTTAATTCGTAAGAAAATGAGTGGATCAAGATTCGTAACCATCAATCAATTAATGGATGTTCTTTCACCAATTCTTGAAAATATTAAACAAGTAGATGTTTATTTCGATGATTATGTAGAAAGTTTATATTATAAAGGTAAACATAATATTAAACCCATTGCTTTGCATTTGAAATAAATTAATTGAAAATGCAAAAATTTGGGAATTAATTCCAGATATTGAATTTATAACAAATATTAATGATAAATGGTTTAAACGAATTCGAACAAAAGTTCTTTGTAAATTAATGATCAAAACTGAGGAAAAAGAATTTAACGGGTTTAAATATCATCCAAATAAAGTTTCAGAACTAGAAAATGAAAAACTTCAGAAAAATTAAACGATAGACTTTCAAATGATCGTATTGAAAAAATAAATAAACTAGCAGAAGTTGCATTTAATAATGAAATATTTGATGAATATAACCTTGAACTCAGTGATGGGTTTTAAGGACCCGGGCTCAACGAGCCATGATTTATGAAATCAATTATTTGATTCATTCTTTCTTCAATAATTTCTATTCTTTTTGTTAAATCATCTATTTTCATTAATGAGGTGATTCTTGATTGAGGAATAGATTTCAAACTAACCATCCTTTTATTTTTGAAATTTTGAATCCATCAACTTTAAACATTTTATTCAATTTACATGTTGTCAATTCTTCAAATAATTTTTTATTATTAGCATAATAGTCATTAAATTCTTCAACAGATGAAAAAATTTTTTTTTTTCAGTAATTGGTTTAACAACGTTTATTTTTTGTTGAACATTTCACTTTATTTATTTCTTCCTCCTCTGTTTCATTTATTTTTTAAAATCGGTTTCATTTATCATTAAATAAAAATTAGAATATAAGTGATGAAATATATTTTTTAATTAATATTAAATCAGAAATGGCTGCAGGATTCTTTAAAAAATTATGGGATGGAATTAAGAAAGCTGCGGGTTGGGTTTATAAAAAAGGTTATTAAACTGTTGCAAACTTTTTGGCACCAGTAGCGAAAACGGCAGGAACTATCATAGGTGGAGTATTAGGTACAAAAAGCAGGTAATCCAGCGATGGGAGCACAAGCAGGTAACGCAATTGGTGGAATAGCTGAAGGAATACTTAATAAAATAGGAGGTAAATAGTGGAAAAATAATATTATTTTATCTTAGTATCGGTTGTAGTCTTTGATAAACTTTTTCTCTCTTTATTTAATATTTCTCTTATTGGGGCGGCTTTTGGTGTTATTGATTCAGCAATGTCACTAATTGCTTCTTTATTCTTAAATATCCAATTTGCTCCTTTCTTCATTGTTTCCAAACTTTATGCGCTCCTCTTTTTACTTTATCCCACAGTTTCTTAAATACCTGCAGCCATAGTTGATTATTTCATTAAAATTAAAAATTCATTTTCATCTTTTAATTTTGATTTTTTTATTTAATAATAAATGACGACTAACTATTTGGTGCCAAACACTAAACGATTAATGGAAATGTATTTCATTCATTCGAAAAGATAAATGAAATATTTGCAAAGAATGATGGTAGAAGATATTATAGAGAACTTGAAAGTTCATGCTATGACTCTGATACTCCATATTTTGATGATAAACAAACTCATTTAAGAATTACAAATCCAGCTCATGATGTGAACCAATTAGGTGACACATATATTAAACGCAAAGTTAAAGCAACTCTAGTTTCAAATAAAGCTTTCACATGTGATGCCGCTTTTAATGCATGCGTTTATTCGTTGGTTACAAATCATCAAATCAAAGCTTTAAACAATTAGAAGTAGAAACCGAAAGAGGTGATGCTGGTTATCTTCAGATGGATTGCGCCCGTGAATCTTTCGCATTTGCAACATATAAACCAAAATCAGAAAGGAAAGTTAAAAAGTTTGTTCATTCATTATATATAATGTTCAAAAATATGATAACTCGGTATGTGGTAAATATATTGACCCTTCAGAAGTTTTCAAGAAAGCAAATGAAGAAGTTGATATCACTTTTGATATGATTATTCGGTAAATGATTTGTTAGCATTTCAGGCGTTCGATGATTATCCTAAATCATTTGGTGATATCATTCTTAAATATTATGTTTTCAGGGATACTTTAGTATTTTGTCAGGTTGACCCGTTAAGAGTTGCTGATTTACAAAATTACGTTTATGAAAAGATAACTGATGAAAATTATGAAAAGATTATGAATCATGTTTATAAATATGATCGCAAATTCCAACAAATCGGACTTCCTGCCAAATTAATTACAAGCTTAGCCGCTACATCTGCTGACGCAACAGTTGATGACGTTATTATTTCATGCACAAAGATGGAAGTTTTAGAGGATAAATGCATTACACCAGGATACGGTTTTAATTGAAGAATCAGTTAAAGCAATACCACGTTTATTCAGTAAGGAAGATCCATTCATGATTCCAGCTCAACATATTGACGTTCGTTCACTAAATGGAGGTTGCATCACTCCTGAAGGTATTAGCTCAGATTTCTCATACGCTCTTCATAATGTTACAGATGTTGTGTTAACATTTCCGAAGAATGCAATGCAAAGAACGGTTTTAGAAAATCCAATGCTTCGAGGTCTTCAGGTCACTATAGATTCCAGAAACTTCCCCGATCAAGCGATGACCACAGTGGGCGACATATTCTTTACACGTATGCTTCAAGCTTCTGATTTAGATGGAGTGAATGAATGCACGGAAGAATACGAGGACTCATTAACTAGACCACTGAATGATGATGATGGCACGCCATTAGCTAGAACATGGAAAGACCAAACTTCATTCTTATGCACTATTCCAGTTCAACGTGATGGAGCGGGTATATTTCTTTGATGGATTAGAAACTTTCAACTCACAAGTTACAGTACAAGTGAAAGCTTATCCAATCATTCAGGGTGTAAATGACACTTACTGTTCAAAGGTGACAAATCCTCCTCAGGTTTGGTTTACTAGGACTACATATTGGACATGGACACCGGACGAAGGTTTGAAATATCATCCAACAGGTAACCACCAGTATAGAAGTTCATATGATGAAATATTGATGAATAGAAATGTTTAAAATTATAAATTTATTTTTGATTAAATGGATTTAAATTCTGAAGAATTAGCAGGAGTATATAATACATACGTAGATGATATGATTAATGAAGCATTGAGTGATAATAGAAATGCTCTATCTAAGGAAATTAATGAAAATTCCATATTCTGAATGTTACTTAAATTCAATCACTGCAGCAATTGGTAAACAAAATAAAGGTAAAACATTAACGATATTAAAACAAATTATCATTATTGCTAACACTTCCCCCATTCACATGTGTTAATTTATATCAACCGTTCAGGTTCACCTTCAGATGATACATTTGAATCTTTAAAGCATTTAATCAAAATTCCAATTATTTATTTATCACAAGAAGAAGCAGAAGATTATTTAAAAAACTTTTTAATGTATAAAGAATTATATAATACAATCAAGAAGCAAGGATTAGAGGATAAAATTATTGATAAACAACGGGATGAATTATTTGAAACACTTTCTATTTCAAATTTTGATAGAGAATTTTTGCATTCACTCATTTTTCTAGATGATGCAGTGAAATCAAAACTAATAACAAATGAGAAATCATATTTTAATCAATTATTAACTCAATGTCGACACATTCAGTGTTCATTCTTCATGGCTGTTCAATACTTCAAAGCATTAAGCACAACATTAAATCAAATCTATCAACACTTTTCATTTTCAGTGGGTTTAGTCGTCAACAGTTGAACGTTATGCTTTATCAAGTGAATTTACCAATGAGCATTAATGAACTTTACACACAATATCAGCAATTAGGTGAACATGGAAAAATAATAGTTGATTTAAATAAAGGAAGTGTTAAATTTGATTAACTTTTTATAATTAATTTTTATTTTTTATTTATAATTAAACATGACAGAAATAGCAAATCTTCTACAGGTTCCATTAAAACAAGGGACAAACAGAAAAGGGTGCATATTATAATAGAACTATGAAAGTTCCAGATGGAATGAAAGAATTAGTTCATATTGTTGCTGGTCTTCAAAAAGATGTTAAACAAATGAGAAACGTTTTAACATTACCAGAAGCTCAAGCATATGCAAACGTCATGGACCAAATTGGGAAGCACATGAAGCAGACATTACGGGTCCAAATGGAAAGCCTGATGGTATAAATGAAGTTTTCGTTACTGATGGTCAAGGTAATATTAAAGTCATAAATGGGTATAAATTAACTGTATCTGATTATCCTAAACGTAAAGCATATAATGAATGTTATCCTATGCAATTTGATGAAAATGGAAAAGCTGTTAAACAATACATTGGAGAAGGTGAAAATGGTCCAATTAATTCATACCGTTATAATCCATATTCTTATTTCAATGAAGAATTAAATGCTGTTGAAGAGGGACCGGATGGATTACCACGATATGTTAATCAGTTTGATGGTCAATATGCAAATATTAGACCTGAAATTTCAGCTAAGAAATTCTTTAAGTTGCTTTATTCGATCCAGTGTTCAATGAACAGAAAGAAGCAATGAAAGCAGAATTTAAACCAATTCAAGTGGCAAGAATTTCTTCATCTTCACTTTCAGAAGCGTTCAAGGAATTGATAAAGAAACCACTTTATTCTCAACAAGGTTATAACTTTGATTTAATTAAAGAAAGTGATAAACGTAAATTAGAAAAATCAGATGGTTTTAAGAATGCATGTAATGAAATGATTAAAGATATTGTAAATGATAAATAAGACTGGAAGAAACTCAAAGCAATATCAATAACATAATTGGTGCAGTTACAAAGAAAGTATAAGCAAACAATGATGAACCTTGGATATTACCGTAAACAACTAAATAAAACTTTAAATATATTTTTCTTTTTTTTATTCAATTATAAATGAGAAGACGTTTCACAAGTCAAAAGAACACTAACGCAAAAGCAGAGATTACGGTTGGTTATAACGTAAATGATGATAAATCACGAATTATTCAAATGTTAAAGTTAATGTTAGTCCTGAATTAACAAGGTCAGCAACTCAACAAATTTATTAACTCGTGACTTACCGAAGAATGAAGAGAATGAAGAAAACCATGAGAATGGAGACCCAATCATTTTATCTGAACCCGGTAAAGAACCTGTTGAAATTCCCACTTATCCAACATACCCTTCACCTCTTGATAACCCATATAAAATAGACATTAATTCTGAATTAATGAAAATTTACCGTGATATAATAATTAATAATTATGATTCAATAATAAATTTAATTGACCAATCCGGTTTAATTATTTACCTTATGAATCATTAATTCACATTATCGCCATTCTTTGTGATGTTCAAGATTCAGACGTTAAGATTCAATTTTTCATAGATGATGAGGTTTCATGCTGCGGAACAGTTGCAAAATAAATCCTATAAAGGATATTAGCACAATTAAGATATCAAAGAACGGAACAACAACTGAACTTCATTTAACATATAATGATATTTATAATAAATAGTTGATGAATATAAAATATCACTTGAAAAATTCTTTGTTAAGGCCATTTAATATTCAAGCATTAACATTATTGAATAATAATCCTTTGAATCATAATCAATAATAATTGACCTTTCACCAGTTTCTATCGTTTGTTTTATTTCTTTTTGTTCCCCACTATCTGGATCGGTCATTGTAATTGTTTTTGTTATAGTATCAGCTTTATCTTTAACTTAATCTTTTTTCCATCAGGATATTTAAACCAAAATTCCAAAAATTCGATATTGTCAATCTGTTCATATTTTAATCTATCAATTACATTTTTAATACCATCTGAAATCTTATGAAATGGTCATTATATGGGTTTGATTGAACTAAATTTGAATGAAGTGAAATATAACCCGATGATGAATATGACATTGACTCATATTTTCTGAAACACTAAAATTTATAACATGAATGAATTTCTTATTCGTTGAATTTATGAATTCTTGAGGTAATCTTATCCTAGTTTTATTTATCACTGGAAATAACGCTTTACCATATTTTTAATCGTAATAAAAATGTCAATTATCAATATTATTTCGAATAATAACTGTGAATTAAATTTAACAGTTAGCGGAATTTATAATGTTACTCTCGTTTCTGTGAGTGGTAAATTTAATCCCATTCTTTTAGACCCTTCAGATATATATCATTTATTAAAGATGACCATGAAAAAACGTATGATATGTATATAAATAATGTGATAGCGAAATGGGATATTAACATGATTTTAAGTTATTTAAATGAATCATTTATCGTATGGTATGAAGAAAATTTTAAATCAAAACCTGATAAACTTTTTGAACTTGATGAAATAAATAACCTTATTAAATTCCCACTGAAAATTAAATTTTGTACTCCTCATTTTCGTTCATTGTTGGGGATATTAAATTTTGAAAAAGATGTTGGGGATGTTTTGTATTCTGACACTGGTTCCAATTTCATTTTAATCAAATGTGATAAAGTTAATACCCAATGAGATTTTCACATCAAACATTAGACCCTAACTCTTACCCATCAATACAAAACATTTTATCCATCAACTTAAACATATTTTCTTTATCATATCCGTTTCAATTATCCGGGAATTCATTTATTCTTCATTCAAAAGATTTATCAATATTAAATTTAGAGTAACTGACCTATTTGATTGTGATTTAGAATTCATGAATGAAATATTATGGCAATTTCAAATAGAAAAAATAGGTGATGAGATAACGGATTAAATATTTATTTTTAAATCATAATAAATGATTAAACAACAGCAACCACAACAACTTAAGGCACAAAGCACTCAGGTCCCTCAGACCATTACATACGCCATATATGCATATAATTCAAAGACGGCAGAACAAACGCAAAGGTTGAAATATGGAGATTTGGAGATATAGGGTGTCCAAAGGTGCGTTTAGCACAGCGCTCTATATGAGACTATTAAAGGAGATATATGCTGATTATAAATATATAATAAAAAATATGAATATATGTATATGATGAGTATGTTGTATTTTGGCGCCATGCCGGGATATAAAATGAATTTTGAGACTAGAGGCGGTTTCGCGGGAAATTTTGGCGGGATTTTTTTCATTTTTTTAATGAATCATAAAAGAAAACATCCTCGCTCTGCAAAAAAATGCAAAGACTGTAAAAAAATCTACGAGACATTGGTAAAATGCTTCGGTATGGATGCTCCTAGCTATTCCACTGTAACGTATCATGTTAGGATGTATCACTTCATGAACAAAAAGGCGCCCATCATAAAAATTGACAAAAAAATCGCCGGATCAAAGAAAAATCAAAGCAATTCTTCAAGCGCTAGATGAAGACCCAAGAGCATCACTCAGAAGGATAGAGGAGATGACAAAGATACCACGTAAACAGTCAGTTATTATCTGCACAATTATTTGAACTACAAAATATATACAGGTATCCGCACAACCTTAATTCAGTTCAAAAAAATCTAGAGTCCAATCTTCGAAAGAGCTCCTCTCTATTTGGGTGCGTATCAATCCAAGAAGTTTCGCTTTTTAGTAACAGGGGACGAGTCTTGGTTTCACTATGCAACAGAAGCCAAAAATCATTTGGATCCGAAGGATGAAAATCCGCAAACATTCCCGAAGAAAAAAATTGACACACCAATGATGATGTTGTCGGTTTTTTGGGGCGTGAATGGCATCATCGCAATTGATATTCTTCAAAACCTAATACGATGAATGCTCAGTATCGAATTGACAATGTTCTTACTCAAATTATCAATTCTGATGATTTGAGAAATCCAACAACAAAAACAAAGTTTTGCAATTCATTTTGATAATTCAAGAGTTACAAAAGTCATAAGGTAATGAATTACTTGGTGGAAAACAATGTCAAAGTTGTTCCAAAACCCAATATTCACCTGATATATGCACCCTGACTTTTATTTATTCGGACGCTAAAAAAGAGAGCTGAAGGACGCGAATTCGCGAGTCCAGATGATCTTGAAAATTTTGTAAGAGAGCAATTTGAGCAATTTTCTCATGATGATTTAAAGCGTGTCTTTCAAGCCTGGATCGATCGCTGCGAACGCGTGATTGAATCCAATGGTGATTATATTTAAATAAACTTTATATATATGTAACTTGTTTATTTCTATTCGCAGTATTCAGGTTTGTGCTAAACACACCTTTGGACACCCTATAGTATTGAAAAATGACCATTTCGAATTCGTTTGCAAGGGTGGTGCAGTGATATCAAATATAAAAGAAATTTTATTTATGAATTCAAAAATTAAAGGAATAACGGATGATATAACATCAATTCCACCAGAAGAACAAAGATATTACGCATTAAATGCATTTCCTAAAGTTTTGAAGATTGGAAGATTTAATTTAAATGAGGAATTCATAGAAGGTTTCCTAAATGACATAATGGAGAAAGCAGATAAGGAATGTGTTGCTGCTGCGTTAGAGAAGAAAGCGGATAAGGAATATGTTAACGAAAAAGATAATGAAATTAAAGAAAGTGTTGAATGGTATCATGAATGGATATCAAAGATTTTAAAAACTAAAGCTGATACAGGATGGGTTTCAGGATGTTTAGACCTTAAAGCGGATAAGGAATATGTTAATGATGAATTAAAGACTAAGTTAGAGAAGAAAGCAGATAAGGAATATGTTAACGAAATATACCAAAGTTTGATAGGAACAACGAAAAATATTGAAACTATTGTTGGCGACTTTTCTGTCAATGAAGAAAATAAATATTTTAGATGGCAGTTTGTACACTCCTTAAAAAATGGTATACGGTGGAAACTCATTCCGAAAAATAACAATGAAATGTATGTAAGTTATAAAAAGAATGATGACACACAAGTTAAAGTTCCATTAGACAACAACTGCTACTTAAACTTATATGGAGACGAACAAAAGAAATATTTAAGAGTTTATGAAATGGTAGATATGACATTGCCTGACCCAGCTCCAGCACCATATTATTATGACTATGGAGATGATGTCAGAACACCACATGTAGATGAACAAAAGTTAACATTATATTTAGATTATTATAGATATAAAAGATATAATGCAATAGAAAAAACGAGAATAGTATATTATTATACAGATGACAGAAATAAATATTATAGTCAAGATTTTACCTACCCTGAAAACATAAGATTATATTATAAAAAATATTCTGACACAAACCAGAAGAAACCTGAAATAGTTACACTATATTTTAAGTTCAAAAGAGACAATCCTATAATATCTCATATGTTTGATTTAATGAACCCAGTAGGTTCTATTTATACATCTATGGATGCAAGAGGTCTCAAGTAATGTTTGGTGTTGGTGCATGGGAACAAATAGTCGACAGGTTTTTGTATTGTGCAAACTCTTCAAAGGAAACAGGGGGAAGTAAAACGATTTCGGGTGAAAATTTACCTGCACACAGTCACTACATAGATTTAAGTACATCTCAAGCAGGTTGGCATAAGCATAGATATTGGGATTGGTCAGGAATGACAAAAGGTAAAGGATATGATGTTAAGACGACGTTAAGTTTGCTATAAATTGTTACTGGGATGACACTCAGGGAGAAGGAAACCATACACATCACGTTTCAGGATATACACAAACAACGGGACAAAGTAAAGAATACATGCCACCTTACATGACAGTTTACGCATGGTATAGAGTTCAATGAATGAACTAAATATATTTTATGTCTGTAATTAATTAGGTAATGAAGTAATGGATGAACTACAGAAATAAATGTTTACGTTAATGTTTATGTTAATGTTTTCAGGTCATTCAATAATTAATTATTTTTGAAGAACTGAAGGTGTCACCAGGTCACCATGTGTCACCAGGTCATTTAACTTCTTTTAAAAAATGAGACAACATGACATTTAGACAACAACACAGGAGGAAGGCAGTTATGACTTATTTTTGAAGAACTGAAGGTGTCACCATGTTACCAGGTAATTTAACTCATGACATTTTGACAACACAGGTTATTCAATAATTAATTATTTTTGAAGAACTGAAGGTGTCACCAGGTCACCATGTGTCACCAGGTCATTTAACTTCTTTTAAAAAATGAGACAACATGACATTTTGACAACATCACAGGTTATTCAATAATTAATTATTTTTGAAGAACTGAAGGTGTCACCAGGTCACCATGTGTCACCAGGTCATTTAACTTCTCTGAAAAAATGAGACAACATGACATTTTGACAACATTTACGAAAATTTGATGCAGCCCAAAAATAAAGTTAGTTTTAAAATTATTTTTATTTTTTTATTCCTATATAAATGACAGCAACAAACAACAACAACTATATCGTTTCTGATGAACAAGTTATTGATTCATTAGCTGAGGAATTAGTTGTGACAGAAACTAAAACCCTCAACGAAAGAATTGGTGAAAACAAGATTGATTTACATAACTACCTCAAACATGATGGAGGAAGAGGAAGGAAAACTGGTACAGCTTTATTAGTAAATAAAATTTCAAATTTACGATTATAGATGTTGATATCAATAAATCATACAATGATGAACTTAAAGAAACAGTTAGAAAAGACATTTTATCAAAACTTTCGGATAAAGATGTTATCGTTAAAACCGCTTCAGGAGGTCTTCACATTTATTGCAACAACTAATTTCTTCTATGCAGTTTCGAACAGAATGATTAAATGTTATTCCTGCAATGATTATGATATTGACATAATGACTTCTATTGATGATTCAAAGCGTTCATTAGTAGTTATGGCTGATTCAAGAGTTCGCAAGAATGCATCAGAACCAATCAATACATACTCATTCATTCGTGGAAGTTATGATTCAACATTAACCAGAACAGTAAACGATATATTAAATGATTTGAATATTAAGGTAAGAGTTGAACAGAAGAGCGAAGAAATAAAGAGTATAATGAATGAAAACAAAGATGTAAACATTGACGATAAACTTGCCCAGAGCATAGTTGATGGCATCTGTGATTTTGAAGTACATAATGATGGTGGAAACATGAATTTAGAAAAAGAAGTTACATTATTCACACTGTTTCAAGCAATTAATTCGTTACCTAATCATTTAATTAATGAAGCATACGATAACGTTTATAATTTCTGCAGCTTAACAGAAAATGCAAAAAGTAATTTTGAAAAAGCACGTAGTAGATATGCACATTTAATGACTTCTCCATTTGTTTTGGTGAAGATTCTAAACTTTATCAAAAGGAATATTATGATGAATATGTTTTACCTTTATTACGTAAGCCAAAAATAACATTTGATATCAAACTTGATGACTCGTTTTTGATAACAGATATTAGACGCAAGGCTGAAAATCATCAGTATAAAAACAGTTCTGAAGTAATTGAGGATTTATCACGTGTAATCCGTTTTGTAGATTGTGGAAATAAATACTTCATTCAGAAAGATTACAACATACACGACAAAATGAATCAAATATCATTCGTTCTTCAATCAAACATGAAAGAGTCACTCAAAATGATTAAATTATTTAAAGAAGAAGGTAAAACCATAACAGCATGGGATGTACTACTAAATCAATTGTCTTCATTAACCGTTAAGGGTGTTTGCTTTAAATCTGATTCCCCCGATGTTTTCTCAACGTTTCAGGGTTATAAATACAACATTCTTGAAAAGCCTGATTACTCAAAAATTGAGATGTTTATGAATTTCATTAAAGAAGCCATTTGTGATAATAACGATGAAGTGTATAAATACCTTCTCGGCTGGATTGCATCAATGATTCAACATCCTGGAATCAAGAATGAAACAGCAATTATTTTGAAAGGACTTCAGGGAACAGGTAAAAACAGATTTACAGACATTATTTCTGAACTTCTCGCAGGTTATTCATGTAAAAACATTACTGAAATAAGTGAGCTAACGGGTAATTTCAACTCAGTAGTTGAAAATAAAATGTTTCTTGTACTTAATGAACTCAAGAATGTAGGTGAAGACAGACTCGCAAACTTCAACGCTTTGAAATCAATTTATAACGGATAATGAGATTAGAATTAATGAAAAGAATCAACCCAGAAGAACTGCTCAGAATGTTGCAAACTTCATTTTCGTAACTAATAACGTTTACCCTGTCAAAATTGAAGTTGGAGACAGAAGATACGTAGTTTTAAGAGTTAATGGTAAATTCAAGGGTCAATTTGATTACTTCAAGAATTTAATGGATTCATGCACAAAGGAATTTTATGATAACCTTTTAACATATTTTATGCAATATGACCTTTCATCATTTAATGTACGAATCATTCCGATGACTGAAGCCAAACAAGATTTAATCGAGTTATCAACAAATCCTTTAGATGTATGGATAAATACACATTATGATGAATTGTGTGCAGGTATGACGTGTAAAAATGCTCTATTCTGCAAACCATCAGACATGAAAGACAAGAATTTCCAAATGAGCATTAAGGATAAATGTGATAGGAAACAGGTAAGAATAGATGGTAAACAAACATGGTGTTATGTTTTGAAAGAAGAAATGAAAGGATTATATAAACAGGTTGAACCAAACGATAATGAGGATTCATTTACTGACGATGAAATACCTGTAAATGATGCTTTATAAAGTATGATTGGAATTTATTTTTGCCTTCCTCTTTTTCGTACTTGTGTTGTCAAAATGTCATGTTGTCTCATTTTTTAAAAGAAGTTAAATAACCCGGTGACATGGTGACATGGTGACACCTTCAGTTCTTCAAAAATAATTCATAACTACCTTCCTCCTGTGATGTTGTCAAAATGTCATGTTGTCTCATTTTTTAAAAGAAGTTAAATGACCTGGTGACACATGGTGACCTGGTGACACCTTCAGTTCTTCAAAAATAATTAATTATTGAATAACCTGTGTTGTCAAAATGTCATGAGTTAAATTACCTGGTAACATGGTGACACCTTCAGTTCTTCAAAAATAAGTCATAACTGCCTTCCTCCTGTGTTGTTGTCAAAATGTCATGTTGTCTCATTTTTTAAAAGAAGTTAAATGACCTGGTGACACATGGTGACCTGGTGACACCTTCAGTTCTTCAAAAATAATTCATAACTGCCTTCCTCCTGTGTTGTCAAAATGTCATGAGTTAAATTACCTGGTGACATGGTGACACCTTCAGTTCTTCAAAAATAATTCATAACTACCTTCCTCCTGTGATGTTGTCAAAATGTCATGTTGTCTCATTTTTTAAAAGAAGTTAAATGACCTGGTGACACATGGTGACCTGGTGACACCTTCAGTTCTTCAAAAATAATTAATTATTGAATAACCTGTGTTGTCAAAATGTCATGAGTTAAATTACCTGGTAACATGGTGACACCTTCAGTTCTTCAAAAATAAGTCATAACTGCCTTCCTCCTGTGTTGTTGTCAAAATGTCATGTTGTCTCATTTTTTAAAAGAAGTTAAATGACCTGGTGACACATGGTGACCTGGTGACACCTTCAGTTCTTCAAAAATAATTCATAACTGCCTTCCTCCTGTGTTGTCAAAATGTCATGAGTTAAATTACCTGGTGACATGGTGACACCTTCAGTTCTTCAAAAATAATTCATAACTACCTTCCTCCTGTGATGTTGTCAAAATGTCATGTTGTCTCAAACTTTAGAACGGCATAATTTAAATTTTTATTTTTATCATAAATGAATACCCCACAAGCTCAAAATTTACCACGAATCATAACAAGGGAGGAAATGATAAAAATGATGCAAGAACATGTTAAAAATAACAAACCACTAAAATTGAGAAAATGTGGTTATGCAGTAATGATGGAAAGAGAGATGTTGTCGAAGAGGAATAAAAATTAAATTTGGATTGAGTTTAAAAATTCATCTTTATTAAATTCATCTCTTCCAATCAATTTATTTATTCTATTAAATTCTTTTATTTTTGCTTCACTCAGTTTAATGATTGAACGATAAGTTTCTAATTTTTCGATTATTTCTTTATCGTTTTCAACCTCACTGCATTGTGGCTTCTTTTTGTAATAGCATATTTTTGATTTAATTCTGTTTAGTTTTTTTTATATTCATTGTCTGGACTCTTGACTGCTTTGTTGTCACTCATTTCTTACGAAATAAAAAAAATTAAATATTATTTAAATATAATGGAGTAATAAAATAAATCGGAATTTCTATTAATTTCTTGTCAACTTCAACTAATGCATTGCCGTTAATATATCTAACAAATTCAGCTATTGTGTCAAATCTTCGTCTTCTTTTTGTCATTGATTTATCAGTTTTTCCATAATCGAGATGAATTAAAACTTTATCCCCTTGTTTAAAATTCATGAGCTCCGAATTAATTTGTTCACGTTTAACATCATTTAACTTTTCCATTTGCTTTCTAATATAGGGTGTCCAAAGGTGCGTTTAGCACAGCGCTCTATATGAGACTATTAAAGGAGATATATGCTGATTATAAATATATAATAAAAAATATGAATATATGTATATGATGAGTATGTTGTATTTTGGCGCCATGCCGGGATATAAAATGAATTTTGAGACAAGAGGCGGTTTTGCGGGAAATTTTGGCGGGATTTTTTTCATTTTTTTAATGAATCATAAAGAAAACATCCTCGCTCTTGCAAAAAAATGCAAAGACTGTAAAAAAATCTACGAGACATTGGTAAAATGCTTCGGTATGGATGCTCCTAGCTATTCCACTGTAACGTATCATGTTAGGATGTATCACTTCATGAACAAAAAGGCGCCCATCATAAAAATTGACAAAAAATCGCCGGATCAAAGAAAAATCAAAGCAATTCTTCAAGCGCTAGATGAAGACCCAAGAGCATCACTCAGAAGGATAGAGGAGATGACAAAGATACCACGTACAACAGTCAGTTATTATCTGCACAATTATTTGAACTACAAACTAGCGTATACACGTTGGGTTCCGCACAACCTTAATTCAGTTCAAAAAAAATCTAGAGTCCAATCTTCGAAAGAGCTCCTCTCTATATTGGGTGCGTATCAATCCAAGAAGTTTCGCTTTTTAGTAACAGGGGACGAGTCTTGGTTTCAATATGCAACAGAAGCCAAAATCATGTGGATTCCAAAGGATGAAAATCCGCAAACATTCCCGAAGAAAAAAATTGACACACCAATGATGATGTTGTCGGTTTTTTGGGGCGTGAATGGCATCATCGCAATTGATATTCTTCAAAAACCTAATACGATGAATGCTCAGTATCGAATTGACAATGTTCTTACTCAAATTATCAATTCTGATGAGTTTGAGAAATCCAAACAACAAAAACAAAAGTTTGCAATTCATTTTGATAATTCAAGAGTTCACAAAAGTCATAAGGTAATGAATTACTTGGTGGAAAACAATGTCAAAGTTGTTCCAAACTCAATTTATTCACCTGATATTGCACCCTCTGACTTTTATTTATTCGGCACGCTAAAAAAGAGAGCTGAAGGACGCGAATTCGCGAGTCCAGATGATCTTGAAAATTTTGTAAGAGAGCAATTTGAGCAATTTTCTCATGATGATTTAAAGCGTGTCTTTCAAGCCTGGATCGATCGCTGCGAACGCGTGATTGAATCCAATGGTGATTATATTTAAATAAACTTTATATATATGTAACTTGTTTATTTCTATTCGCAGTATTCAGGTTTGTGCTAAACACACCTTTGGACACCCTATATATTCCCATTCTTTTGAAATATCATTTTTCATTTCCACTGGTTTCATGTTTATAGTTCTATGCCATGTATTATTGTAATAATATACTAACTGCTGTATGATGGAGTCATGATTTCCATCCCAGTATATCTGACCGTTAACCCCTAACGCATCTCTAAGAGTTCTCATTACCGCATCAACTATTTTATTATGAAACGTATATGGAGAGGATGAAAAGTAAAAATTAATTTGTGGGAAATAATGAGTCATAGCTGCCTGAAATCCTTTATCACCATCACCCCTGATATTATCTACTCTTTCATGATCTAGTAAGTATTGAATAGCTCTTCTTGTTTCCTGTTCTGTTTTCCCTTTCACCGGAATGCAATATAAATATCTAGTGTTAATGTTAATGGCAAATAAATAAGTAACGTTTCCTTTTGAATATTCCAGATGATCAATTTCGTATGAATATGGATATGGAGCAAATGAAGGTCGACTAAATTTTTCCTTTAATGGTTGAATTTTCGGGTCAATTGGTTTATTTAATATCTTGAAATCCTTTTTAAAATCTTTTTGCTTCTTAAATGTTTGAAATGGATATAATAAAGTGAATGATGAAGGATTAACTGAAGGAGGAGGAGGTACTGTCGTTGGAGGTTTTGGTGTTGTAAGTGGTTTAATTTTATCTGCTTTGATTTTGGATTTCATTCCTTCCTTCATTAATTCTGGATGTATTTTATTCATTTGTTTTAAATATGCTGTATATAAAGGTTTGATATACTTTCCCGCTTCGAGTTTATGTTGAAGGATGAATTCCAAAAGTTGATCTTCATTTAAAAGTCGGGCTGAATATGGTTTAACTAATGAATCATAAATTAAAGCTTGTGCATCATTTATAGTCTGAAGGACCTGGGTGTTTTGTTCCTTTGGTTTTTGTGGCTCAGGATTATATAAATTATATAATTCATCAATATCTTCTTCTGTTAATACTTTATTTTTGAAATCTTTCAACTGTTTAAGCTGTGATTTAGTTTTTCCCTTTATATATTCATTATTTTTAATTTTGTCTTTAATTTCAGAAATTATTTTATTATGATATTTCAAAATTTCATTTTTATAATATGGATAATAATATTCCATATCATCACCCGTTATATTATTATTATATTTTTGGAGATATGCTTTTAAATCATAATAATTAAAAATTTTTGATTAAGTACTAAATCAGCAATTAAAATTTTTAAATCTGTGTTATTCATTTATATAAAAATAAAATCAATGTTTTAAGGGTGCCCACCTCTTTGATCAAGAATCAAAACCATCATTAACGGTTCCTTTTGTCTCTTCTGTGGTATTTTATTAAATAAATGGCATACAACATCCATTTTCACAACATACAGCCTTAGTGTGTGCTCCTGTTAATGCAGTCTTACCAATTGTTAAGCGAGTCATTGACCCATTTTTAAGTTGTAAATTAATATTCTGACCATCAAATATCAATTTATCATTTATTATATCCAAATAATTTTTAGGTGTTAATTGTTTATTTTGTCGTAAACTAACACCTTTCATTTTTTGTGCAATCTTTTTAAAATCACTTCCATCAATTGAACCATTGAATGATGTATAACACTTAGGACATAAAGCAACCATGTTATCACCTTGTTTCTCAATTGCTAAACCCAATAACTTCTTCTCATGTGCTTTTTCTTCAGCTTTATTCTTTAATTTAGGTTTAAATTTCTCATCAAAACAGAAGAAATCAAAAGGTGCGAATTTGAAAATGTTTTTATCATAAAATTGTTTATCGGTAACAATTGCTTGAAATGCTTGAGTGTTAGGAAGATTTGGGTCGCCAGCGATTGCCCAATAAGATGAATCAGTATCACCTTCAATGAAATGAAAACGATTAACATCCATGCATTTATACATAAAATCATAAATGAAAACCAAATACCAGTATTTAGCATTATCTAAAGTGAAGAATGCCTCTTGTAAACATGTATCACATCTATAAAATCTATCTTTGAGCATCAGTTGATATGTATCTTCACCTATTTCTCTTATGTTTTTAAACTTATTTGACATACATGCAACGCGAGCCTTCTGTGCATTCATTATTTTAGTCTTTGCGTAATTTTGTGTATTCATTGCATCGTAACCATATGATCCATTAAGTGAAATCTTGCAAAATAAACTTTTTCCTTTATTTCCTTCTAATTCAGCCTTTTGTCTTTCGTTCATAAATTTGTTCGCAAATTCATTAAAACAAGTGTTTTTCGTAAATGTTAAAATTGATTGAATGTCATCAATGATAAAATGAAATCTGTCTATTAGATACCAAAGATAATAAGAAGAAAATGGTTGATATTGGTTGTGTGTTGATGCTAACTGAGTTAATTTCCTCTGTTTCTGGTCAACTGGTAAATTGTTTGATTTCATGTAATTATACATAAAACTGCCAATTGTTTTTTCATCTGTGATAATATCTAAGTTTCTTATTATCGGTAAAAAGTTTATGTAATCATTAATGTATTTTTCATCAATATGACCCTTTACTTCAGCCACGAATAAAGTATTTTTCTTCTTAATTATTCCCAGTGCTTTTGCTTTCTTTGTTGCTGTATCACAAATGATAACACCATTCAATCTTCCCGGCATATACATTTTATGGTCAGTATATTGAATGAAATCATGAGGATTAGATGAAAATGATGAAGGATATAATGAATTAAAGTCAACTCCAACGAAATGAGTCATAATGTTGGTGGTGTCCTCATTTGATACAGTTTTAGTTTCTGGATTATATGAAAGTTTATTAATGTGCGTGATTCCTTTAAGATTAACACGATGTTGAACATTTGATAGACCACCAGTAATTCCATTACGGAGAATGTGATAAGCTTCAACTGAATCTAAAGTCATTGGTAAATTATTTTTTAATGCATAATTTCTTAAATTGATTCTTAAACGTTGAACATCTTCATCTTTATTTGATTTTACGACATTGCAATAACAACACATTAACTGACAATTTTCTTTGGTATGTGGTTTTTCATTATCTATTCTATCCAATGTTGGTTTATTTGCATATGTAAACGCTTTACCACACATTTTGCATTTAGATGAAAGGATTAAATCGTGATAGTATTGATAGTCATCCATTGAAACATTGTTTTTAGTATCCCTTTCGCTTTTTCATCTTGTTTCTTATATGATTCAATTTTATATTTCCAATACTTTTTTGTTAATTCAAAACTTGATTCCACATTTTCTTCTTCTGGATATGTTTCGTTAGGATTGAAGTTCTTATATGCTAACGCGTAACGAATCATTGATGCATTCGATGATAAAGAAAGATTATGAAGCATGTCAATTTTATAAACAAATGTTTCTTCGATAATTTTATCAATTGGGTCAATCATAATTTCAACATCTTTATTGCAATAATGAATAAAATATTCTAATCTATTCTTAAAGTTTTTAGCATCATTGAGATATATTTGATAATCTGAATCGGATATTGTTTCTTGTGTTAATGCTGAATAAAATGAATCTTGAGTGAATGGTTCCTTTTTATATAATTCATCTTCGTAATTCTCCCATGTGATGAATTGATAAGGGAAAAAGGATTTAACACGTGATTTATTGTTTCCGAAATCTTGAGTGAATTGGTCTAATGTTCCACCCGCTATATAATTTCTGATGTCAATAAATCTTAATTCATATGGACAGTTTGTTTTCTTTACTATGACTTGCTTAAATTGAGAAGAAGAACCCAGCATTGATTTTATCTTCCATTTTGCAGTATTTAAATCACGAAGAATTAAATTTAAATCAAACTTTCCTGAATTAAAACCAATGATATTCACTTTATTAAATTCTTCATCTAAAAGCTCTTTCATTGCTTCCTTTTGTTTCTCATTTAATGTATTCATTAATTCTTCATATTGTTCAATATTTGATTTAGCAACTAATGAACAGGTTGAAAATAAAAACTCAATCCAATCAGAAATAAAAGAATCACTCGAAGTTAAGCAAAAATTCCTCGTATATGTTTTATCATTTAATTTAACCGTTGATGATACCATGAATGGTTTTAAGTAAGCGTTTAAAGTTGCACACTCAGAAAGTTGTAATTCTTCTTTAGTCTCTAATGTTTCGAAGTCAAAAGTAATATAATATCTTGTTGGTTTATAATATTCCTGCAAATTATGTGCTAATAGCCATTGATATATCTTCTGTTTCGTAATATGTGGTGCATATGGTTGTTGTGTGTTTTGCAATTGAACGTCTTGAATTAATCTTCCATTATTTTCTTTACATTTCTCACAATGTTTTAAAAATCTTCTTTGGTTTTTCCTTTCTGGATCATCACGGATAGAATATACTTCTTCTTTGCAAAAGGGGCAAACTTTATATCCTGTGAGTGCTTCAACGTCTGTTATTCTGTCAGCGTGAAGTTTTCCACATGGACTCTGTGTTAATAAAATATTTACTGTTTCAAATTCTGGATCTATCATTATTGAATCCACTAATGGAAAGTCTACCTTGTTAATGTCTACGTCTTCTGGTTGAGGATCACAATAATAGAAATCAATATTAACATTTAACATTCTTGCTAACCTCTCACTTTCTGATGAAATGTCAAATCCTTCATATGCATCTATGGCTTCATTTAAATAACTTCTACGAGTTTTAGGATTAACACCATCAGGAATGTTATAGAAGCGTTTAAATAACCTTCTACCTTCGGCTCTTATTTGATTATCATTCATTTTAGCTGTTCCATTTTTGTTCATTTATGTAAGAATAAAAATTAAAAAATAAATAAAAATAAAGTTTATTTTTTTAAAGTCCGAGACTCAGAGAGCCCAGGGCTAAAGTCCATAAAATGAATTAAGAACACATAAATTTTTATCATCTGCGACGTGACGAATACATTTTAATTTACTCAAGAATGCGTACCCTGATACATTAAATCTAATTCCTGTCTTATTTAATTTCACAACTTTGAAAAGGAATGTATGAATAGCTATAAAATGATGAGATGATGTTTTATGGGTTGCTTCCATTTTTTCTGAAATAAATGAATAAATATAATGCATACGTTTTCATATCTTTTATATTCTTAATAACGAATGGTATAGACCTTTCAACTTCGTCTTCCTTCGGTGCTGTTCTTTCATATGAAACATTATTGGTATCTTCAATAATGAAACCACAATCACATAAAATTTTATAGGTTCCAATTGTTTCTTTTGATATTTTATCTAACAAATCAAAAACTTTATCAACACCTGTACATTTATTTAAATAATAATTTGTGTAAATATCATGGTCTTCTTTCTTAATCGTATTTGTTGCATATGTTACATTTTTCAGTGCTTTTTTGAATTTTTCAGAATCAAGAGGAGGTGAAAGTAATATACATGGATAATCTCCATCGTCAATAAATTGTAACTTATGTTTATGAATAAATTTTGTGCCTTCTTCTGAAAGTGTTTCGTCAATATCACCATCTAATAAATTTTTAGTAGATTCCAAAAAGTAATTTTTATATCTTTCCTCATGTGATTTTTGAACTTCTGATTCTGAAGCTGGGATATTCATTAAACCCTCTACTTCATTCTCAGCATTTCTCAATTCCTTAATTTTTTCATCTATTTCATTTCTTAATTGTTCCAATTTCTCAATCTCATCGTTATAATATTCATCTTGTTTAATTTTTTCTTCAAAATATTCAGGGGGTGTTTCAAGGCTCTCTGAGCCCAGGTCCTCTGGACCATAAAGAGGAATATTCTCCTGTTTTTCAACTTTTTTGGGATATAAATATCTCATTATAGCCTTTTTAGTAATTGGTCCGTTATATTTAAATTCATTCAACAATCTGGAAAACTCTTTCACATTCTGCATATATGTTGGATAAGAACCGTCTCCAAAATTTTCTAAAATATTTTCTAATTCTGAATTAGTGAACTTTAAAGATTTCAATGAATTAGTTGTTATACTCATTTATCATTAAATAAAAAATAAAAAAATAAATTTAACTTAGTTTTAATTTTACGTAAGAAGTCAATTTTTAAATCTTGATTTATTCAAAAACGTAAGAATAAAAACTGTAAGAATCTTACATTTTTTACTTCATATGTTAAAAAAAATGATACAAAATCGTTCAATATTGTATGAATTCTTACGTTTACAAAAAAAGTCACACAACCCGTCCACATATACTACTAATGATGAAATAAGCGATAAATTTGAAATAACTGATAAAAGACCATGAAAATTTACTAATGACCTTTGGTTTGATGGTGCAATTACTTGTTATTCACCAATCAAATATAAACAGAGCGAACAAAAGAAATTCCGGGACATGCATGCAAAGGCTGCTTTGTTTATTAGCATACGCTTTTCTTCTTCTTGAAATTGATTTTAATAAAAATTATTGTTTTTTGTTTCTTATGCAATGCTTTAAACAAGCTCGAAGTCCTATTAAATGTCTATATTTAGAGGGGAAAAGTGAAACTAACTCTAAATTCAACAAAAATATATATTCAATTTCAGAGTTTAAGTCTTTAAAACTTATATTCCCAAATTATTATTAGAACATAGCAGAAAGTTTGAATTGGAGACAAAATATGTATTTGATTCAGAATCATTTTAAAAGAATTTATAGATGTAATGTTTTGGTGAAGTAAATGTTTTATGTGTCCATTTATATTGTATGAGTGGATCTCAATTAACCGAATTTTGAATTAATATGTCTTGAAAAAAAGTTCAAATTAATTTTCCCAAATTTGTAAAAGGTTTGAAATCATAGTGATACAAACATATGCTAAACAAATTAAATCATAAAAGATTTTTCTTTGATTCCTTGATAATAAGCAAATTTTGAAATAATAATTATATAAATTTGCTCCATTTTGAATAACATTGGTTGCCTAACTCTAACTACTTCAAGTCATCATGATAATATTATTTAAAATGCAAAATTATGTGCTAATATTATTATTTCAAAACAAATACAATTACCTTCTTATTAACAGTAATTGATGAAGTATTAGATGTATTTAGCTGATTCATCTAATAACAAAGTATTATGCATTTTGTAAATAAATCATTTTTGGGGAAAACTTTTATCAGGAAACTGCATTTTCGATCGTATTTTGATAATAAGTGAAATAAAATGATCACTGTCCATTGTCATATTAATACATGTTGGTCATAAATTTTACTATCAAATGGTTGATAAAGAGGATTTTTCAAAAGATATCATTGAAAAATCGATCGATAAATTTGAAAAAGAAAATTGTAAACTAATCAAAAGGATTAAAAAGATAAAATAAAAGAATTTGTTGGGAAAATAATTTTTTGGATATTAATTCAAAAATCTAAGAAATTGATGGCAAACCCAAATTTTAGCTAAAAGTGACAGGGGAAAAAACGTTTAGTATTAAAAAAAAAGACCGATGAGAGCTTCGTTCGAAATATAGAGGGAACTGAGAATGCGCAACCATTCTCAGGGAATATTGGATGCTATTCCCGTTCCCTCTGTATGGAAAATTGAGGTTTTCAAAGGGAGTTAAAATAATATCAAATTTATACTAATTTACTTCAAAATACAAAAGTATTTGACAGCTAAAATTAGTTACTTTAGCAAGCCTATCAATACCCTTTTACGATTATTGTTACTTTTTCGAAATAAAAGTAAAAACAAATTTATAATAATTTACTTCAAAATACAAAAGTATTTGACAGCTAAAATTAGTTACTTTAGCAAGCCTATCAATACCCTTTTACGATTATTGTTACTTTTTCGAAATAAAAGTAAAAACAAATTTATACTAATTTACTTCAAAATACAAAAGTATTTGACAGCTAAAATTAGTTACTTTAGCAAGCCTATCAATACCCTTTTACGATTATTGCTACTTTTTCGAAATAAAATAAATTTATTATCAAAAACCTTTTTTTAGTAAAAATAAACGAAATTTTTTACCTTATGAACTTTTGATGGAAATATGCAAATTTAAAATAATAAAGAAAGCCGCGAGCGAAGCGATCGGCTTAGTTCGAAGATTTTGATTCAAATCTTTGCTGATCTGTAATTCGCGGAAGCCGCAAGCGAATCGAGCGGCTTAGGTCTAAGATTTTGATTCAAATCTTTGCTTATATTCCTTAAATTCTTTATGAAACTCGCAACAGCTCCATAAAAAATTTTAAATTCTAAACTGTCGAAATTACCGATCGGTAATCACACCCTTCACGGGTGTGTCACTTTTAGCTAAAATTACCCCTACTCGAAATTGATTTTGAGTATCCGATAATTCATAAGAATTTTATTTTGAAAAGATATTTACGATCATGAATAACATTTTTTAATGTTGAAACTCGCCGCATCTATGAATGATCAGATGTATAGCATTATAATGCTTTGAGGTTAATAAAGCACGTTAAAATTTAATTTTAAAAAAAATTGAGAAGAAATAAAACCGAAATAAAAATACTTCATTTTAGATAAATAGAGAATGAGTTGCTGCTTGTGCTTGGCAAGAACAATAATAGGATTAGTAAACTTGATCATCCTAATAGTGATGGCTGTTATCCTCTACTTCAGTTGGGATCAGATTAAACAAATCAAGATTGACGAGATCAAGAGTTCGAAGAAAGTTCTCATATTCGTCATTGTTGTTGTTGCGATAATCGCAATAACATGCATCATCGGTTTCTTCTTGTTGTGTTGTGATAGCAAGTGTTTCAGGATGACGTATGCAATATTATACTTCATCATCGTCATCGCTGAGATCGTTTTAGTCTACTTCACAGTCAAAGCATTCCCAAAGATTATCGATGACACAGAAGATTGGTGGAACGAGAACAAAGGGAAACAAAGTGTCAAAGATATTGAATCAGACTTAGAATGCTGTGGATTCAAGACGGCATACAACGCAGCCGAGATGGCAAACTGCGGATATCAACAAAACAATACATCAAACTCGACTGATAATAACATAACAGATACAAACTCAACTGAGAATAACACAACAGGAAACGTACAAACTTGTTATAACAAGATTGATGAAAACTTGAACAAGTCGAAGAAAGGCTTGAAGATTGCAGGAATCGTCGTCATCGTTGTTCAAGCACTCCTCCTCATCTACTCAATCTGGTATGGCTGCTGCTACAAACGCCACAAGAAAGACAAAAGCAGTTCAACATCTTCTTCATAATTAACTCAGATGAGTTAATGTATTTATTAAATATTATATTTAAGAAAAAAAAAAGATTTGATTTTTCATTATTGATTCGGAGAATTCCAATGTATAAGGAATCAAATCAATAAAATAGTAACCCAAATAGCATGAAAATTTTAATAATTGAGAAATAACTAATATGTCTAGTTATATAGCACTTAATTTTGTTGTAATGAAATATTTATATTGCACCTTCACATGGATAAATTCCCATAAATTTTATATCATTTTCGAATGAATATATCAAATCACACTCAATAAATTTGGATTATTAATAATGTTAATTGATGTTTTGACTTGTATGTATTGATTTAAGATATATTCCAGCATAAATTGCATATATTTACTGAAAAAATTCCATAAAGAAGATCTGGATTTTTGACTTTGTCTTTGGGGGGCGAGCTTGCGAGCCCCAAAAAAAGAAAAAACCGTAACGGTGAGCTCACATTTCGGCATAGTTTAAGTCTAGGTTTTGCATTTTAAAATGTTTGTTACCTTATCTTCTTTCAAAAAGTGGCAAAAATTTGTTTGAAATTTGAAAAAGATATTTTTATTTGCATAAATGACATTCAACTAAGCTGTAGCATGATTCTTTTGCATGCTCTAGTTTTTTTCTCAGTTCAATCTCCTTCCATACTCTTGCTTTTACCAGTAAGATCGCACCAAAATTCTCAAAATTTAAGATCTCCAAATTTTATGTCCAACTCCAATTATCAAACGCCCTCATTAACGCCACTCATAGCCATCTTTCATGCATGAGAAATTGTTATGAGAAGATTTTTTACGGCTAATTATCTGATTCAATTCAGATCAATACTCAAAGCCCCATTATTTATTTATAAATCCTTGTTTGTCGCCTATGCGAATAAAAATTCTTTTTATATTTTAAACAATTTTTTTCACTTTGGAAGGAGAAAGGTGACTAACATTTTAAAAATGCAAAAACCAACTAAACTATTCCAAAATATTATCTTCAATAGCAAACAATAATCCGTACAAGCATATTATATACACCTCCGTGGTGAGTTATAGTTTTTGGTGCATCTAATTTGTGCTTATCTCTTACTTGTGATGTAAACTTCTCAAAATTTGATGTAGGCAAGACGATAAGTATTTTTTGATAACATGTCAAGTTTTGAGCAATCAAGAAATGAAATTGGATGCGTTTTTAGGGACATTAAGCCAATTGAAGTATTTGAATACCCAAATCAAGCATCTAAAATCATTTGGAGTGTAAATTCCAATAATATTTTACAAATATCTTCACAAATTATAGAATTCATTACAAATAACAAAATATCTATTCAAATGTCGCTTCGCTTGATTGATGGTATTTCACTTGTTCGTGTTAAAGATATTAAAATATTAACAGAACTTTACCAAAAGATATTAAACGAATTTTCATGCATCATCAAACCAAACAATGAGAAATTGGCTACGCTTCTACACTATAAAGGTTTCAAATTTGAAAACTTCGAACCTAAAATGAAAGAAGAAGAAATTATGAATTTATATTCAACAGAATCTCCTTTATACTATATTGCATGGGATAAAGTCGATGATCTTAAATCTAAATTCCCAAATCTTGATATTAATAATGTAATAGATCATAAAATCATTCCACTTGATTGTGCAATTAAATATGGATCAGAACTGTGCTTCAATTTCTTTAAAAATTTAGGTGCTGAATACACTAATGAATCGGAAAAATATGCAGTTCAAGGCGGAAATGAGAACATTTTTATGCAAATGATAGAAGATGGCAAATCATTTAATAACATGATTAGTACAGCATTGGATTATCGGAACTATGAAATTGCTGAATATCTTAAATCAAATTTTGCACAAACTCCAGATTCAATAGCAGAAAGCATGTATTTCGTAAATTATGACGTTGCATCTTATTTACTTACTAATGGAGAAGATATTAACAAATGTTATATTCTCTTTCTTTTCCTATTTAACATTGATTTATTGGATTCTCTTTCTTTTCATATTTATCATTGTTTGATATTATTCTCTTTCTTTTCCTATTTAACATTGATTTATTGGATTCTCTTTCTTTTCATATTTATCATTATTTGATATAATTCTCTTTCTTTTCATATTTATCATTGTTTAATACAATTCTCTTTCTTTCCATATTTGTCATTGTTTTGTATGATTCTCTTTCTTTTCATATTTATCATTGTTTTGTATGATTCTCTTTCTTTTCATATTTATCATTCTTTTATAGAATTTTAGTTCTTTTCATATTTATCATTGTTTAATACAATTCTCTTTCTTTCCATATTTATCATTGTTTAATACAATTCTCTTTCTTTCCATATTTATCATTGTTTAATACAATTCTCTTTCTTTCCATATTTGTCATTGTTTTGTATGATTCTCTTTCTTTTCATATTTATCATTGTTTAATACAATTCTCTTTCTTTTAATATTTATCATTGTTTTATTGTATTCTTTTTCTTTTCATATTTATCGTTGTTTTATCATATTATTCTTCTTTTCATATTTATCATTGTTTTATCATATTATTTTACTTTTAATATTTATCATTGTTTTATATAATTCTCTCAATATTAATGAATATCCTCTTAGTATTGCAATCAAAATGAATTCAATAGAAATTGTCAAACTCTTAGTTGAACATGGTGCTGATGTTAATATGAAAATTATTCTTTTTCTTTTTAATATATATCATTGTTTTATGGAATTCTTTTTCTTTTCATATTTATCATTGTTTTATGATATTATTTTTCTTTACATATTTATCAATGTTTAATATAATTCAATTTCATTTCATATTTATCAATACTTTATGGAATTCTCTTTCTTTTCATATTTATCATTGTTTTATTATATTATTTTACTTTTCATATTTATCATTGTTTTATGATACTATTTTTCTTTTCATATTTATCATTGTTTTATGATATTATTTTTCTTTACATATTTATCATTGTTTTATCATATTATTTTACTTTTAATATTTATCATTGTTTTATATAATTCTCTCAATATTAATGAATGTCCTCTTAGTTTTGCAATCAAAGCGAATTCAATAGAAATTGTCAAACTCTTAGTTGAACATGGTGCTAATGTTAACATGAGACTGATTCTTTTTCTTTTAATATTTATCGTTGTTTTATCATATTATTCTTCTTTTCATATTTATCATTGCTTTATCATATTATTTTACTTTTTATATTTATCATTATTTTATGAAATTCTCTTTATTTCCACATTCATCAATGTTTAATATAATTCAATTTCATTTCATATAAAGGTAACTAAACTCCTTTCGCCGATCCGATTTGCTCCATATTTAAAATATAGCTTGCATATGTAGAAGAAAAGCTAATTTTGAAGTACGCCCGAAATCCACCAACAGGATTTCGAGCTACTAAAAAGGTACTTTTAAATGTGATTTTTTTTATAAAAAATTAAATTTATTTTAAGATCAGACTAAAAACTAATTTTATGGAAAATCTATATCGACAAATTTATTACTTATTGGGTATATAGATTTTTTGATTATGGCGATTATGTCTGATATGCTTCCAATAAGCCAAAACACATTTCATACAGATTTCTATAAAAGGTATCTTTATTATAGAAGTGTAAGCTATATCTGTTTGTTTTTTTATTATAACAAATTCAAAATTCTCTTATAAGGACTAGATGAAATCTGTATTATTAAATCATTAGCTAAATGAAGGTTCAAATAGAAAGTAAATATCAATTTATATGATACTGAAACCAAATAGTTCTTTTAATAAAAGATAACACGCTGAAAATTATTGAGTATTTGCAAATCTCAAAAATCTATTGGTGAATTTGGCTCAACTTTTAAAATTATAACATCCATATCAAATCAGAAAAGCAGACAAAAATTAAAGCCAAACCTATCGGCCAATTTTTTTTGATATTTTGATTTTTGAGGTATACTTTTAAAAGTGGATTTAAAGCACTTATGAAAAAACATTAACTTCTGTCGTTATGATTATTGATTTAGACAATAATGATTTTAATCTTTGATTATCAAAACACTAAAGTCATCTTTTTAACATTTGCTTGGTAGCATTAACTCAAGTCTAAAGTACTATTTTATGTGGCACTCTTAGAATTTTTGTATTCATTGTACACGCTGAAATAGTACCATTAAAGTTATGGCGGACTTTCAAAAAATAGTTTGGTCACCTTTTTTCATATTTATCAATACTTTATGGAATTTTCTTTCTTTTCATATTTATCATTGTTTTATTATATTATTTTACTTTTCATATTTATCATTGTTTTATCATATTATTTTACTTTTAATATTTATCATTGTTTTATGATATTATTTTTCTTTTCATATTTATCATTGTTTCACGAAATTCTCTCAATATTAATGAATGTCCTCTTAATATTGCAATCAAAATGAATTCAAAAGAAATTGTCAAATTCTTAGTTGAACACGGTGCTATGAATATTGATGTAATATATTGATATAAAATATCGTAATGTCAGAATTAGTAGTGAAAACTTTTCGATTTTGTTAGGTCGGCTTTTTGCAATTTCTTTTCAATGCCTTCATTCGACTTTGCTTATTTTGCGTTTTTTTGGGCCTATAGATAGTTCAAAATCATTATAGCGCATTCTATAATATCAAATTATTATAAAATCTCTCTTTCAATTATATTAAGCTTGTCCAGAATGTCCAAAATAAAAAGAATCCTCACCTAGAATCTTCGGATTTATCAAAATAATTATTTTATTTCATTATTACTTGTAAATTTGTTAACCTTGTCAAGTATAGCAAAGGGTATTATTATTTTAGTAAATTTGCATGTTAATTAGTGCAGAAATAAAGAAATGATGACAATTCTTTTGTTTCATACAAAAACTAAATATATGGTAGATGCTATGCGTATCACATCAATATAATAACAAAATTTTAAAATATACTCATATATTCACAAAAATTGTTATCTGTAAAATATAATGATAGTGCTTTAAAGATATGAGCAGATAAATATGAAAAAAAATAAGAAATAAGAAATAATAATAAAAAATAAGGAAGAAAAAAAGCCATTTGAGGACTGATTGCCTCTAATTATAAATTGATGTGTATTTTGTCCGAGAGCGATTTGAATAAGATGAAGAAAGGCTTGATGATTGCAGAAATCATCGTCATCGTTGTTCAAGCACTCCTCATCTACTCAATCTGGTATGGCTGCTGCTGCAAACGACTCAAGAAAGACAAAAGCAGTTCAACATCCTCTTCATAATTAAATCAGATGAGTAAATGTACCTATATTAAATATTATATTTTAAAGAATACTGAATTTTTCATTATTGATCCGAATTTCCCATGTATAAGGAATCAAATCAATAAAATCTTTATTTTAGAAGTCTAAATGGCATGAAGACTTTAATAACTGAGAAATAACTTATATGGCGAGTTATATGGCATTTAATTTTGTTGTCATGAAAGATTTTTATTGCACCTTCACATGGATAAATACCGATAAATTTTATATCATTTTCAAATGAAGAGGTCAACTTATACTCATTGATATTCTTGTCATGTGTTGCCTTCCCAGAATTTTGATCAAGATAGCATCTTTTAATGTCCGCCTGGCCATAAAATATATATTGAGCTCTATTAAGGCGGAATATTGAATCTAAAACTTCATAACCACATTGAACAAATGTAAGTACTCCAGCAAAAATATTTGCCTGTAAATTATTTATATAATTGCACCTTTCGGCCCGCCCATGTACAAATCTAAAATTAGAAACTGTATATGGTGAATCCAATTTCTCAAAACAACAAAATGAAACATTATAAAATGGTTCACATGATTCAATATTAAAAGCTGTTGTACTGGATGATTCGCAGTTAGTAAAGTTTGTATATGAGAGAGATGAGTTACCTTCATACTGGTAAATCATAGCATAATATATGGAGCTGTGACCGCCATTACATATTGATCCCTGTTGTATTGTACTATTGATGTTGCCACTGAAATAAGTAAATTGTCCTGAAGCAGGACTATAACTTTCACATGAGCAGAATTTATCGATTACAATGTTGTTCTGATTATCACTTTTAATAAACACTGTTCCTGGTCCTTTGGAAAAAGAGTTTTCGAAGAGTAAAATTGAATAATCTGAAATATTTTCGAATTTGATTGCTCTATCTTGTCTTTTAGTGAACGAACAGATGTATGTGAAGCATTTGTTTTCTGAGACTGTAATAATCTTGTTCTCACCTGAAATGACTTCAGGAGCTTCGATGTTTTTATAGTAAAGAGACCAAATATCTGTGACATTTTCTCCTTTATTAAGATACCGCCCATATATTATTAATTTTATGGCTTAAGTGTGCGCACGCTACCAATTCCCAATAATAAAATTTTGACTATTCAATTTTGATATACAACCCCCTCTCAAAAAAATTATATATACTACGATTATTTTTGATTCAAATGCTGTTCGGCATTAGAAGCAAAAATAATCATAATCAAGATAATTCCAATTTTATATACTTTTTGGGCGCTAAAGCGCCTGTAAAAAAGTATACAAAATTGTTAAATTTGAATAAATGTAAAGTTTATTCATGTAATTTTTAAAGGTACAGACACTTTATAACCTTAAGGTTTCAAAAATGTTGAGGTATTTTAAACAGCCCTAAGTGATTATCTATTGTCAGAAAAGTATTTTAAAGATCAAAATATATGTTATTCCTTGTTTTTCACGTTTTTTTCAAAAAACAGGAAGATATAATTCGAATTTAAAATCAGACTCGCTCTTTTGACAAAAAGCTTGGCAATCATATAGGCAATATTCGAAAAGTATATTATGTATCAGAAAATCAATATGTTAAAATCCAAAATTTCAAATCTCAAAATCTGTTAATCAAATCTCCTTGAAATGCCGCACATGTATCACCACATCTATGTATACATGCATACTGAAATCTAACAAGAATTGTTAAAGATAATTATTAGATTTTAACTTATTTGAGGTATTTAATATGAAAAAAGTTTTGTTTGAGTGTAACATCAGCATGCATTGTATTGCATGATATGATCAGAAATGTAGCCGCATTTCTCCATCTGAATATAATTCTTGATTCAATTATATTTTATTTTGAATGTCATTTCTGTTAGTGTTATGCGATAGAAAGCTTTAAGAATGGAATATGAAGTATAAGACACATGTTTGAATGAATTATTGAGAATTTGGATCACCCCTAAATTGACAAATTGTGAGCAAAATTAATTTATATGCTAATAAATATGCATTTCAACCGTTATAATTTCGCAAAATGAGGCGATCTCAAGCCAAAATTTAATTACAATGATTTGTGTAATAACAATTATATACAAATGTGGATATTATCTTGCTTAAAAATTCAAGAATCATCATATTTTTGAGATTTCCAAATTATATTATTTTGCAGAATGGAGTTAGAACCTAGAATTCATAACTTAAGCTCCTTATATGAATCGAAGAACATGTATACAAATAGTTTATTTGTATTCAGACTCGTAAGAGTCGAATAGCTTCTAATCAAGGTAAAATTTTTCTGAAAATTATTCAATTTTAATAATTACATAAATAAGCATCTCATTACCATATTTTTCATTTTAAACAGCATTCAAAAATATTCTAATCAAACGATTTTCAAATTGAATTTTTGAAAAGGAAGAATTGAAATTTTAAAATCATATTCAAAGATACTTATTTATTTGCTATGTGTGCTTTCCTCAAAATTAGTCGATTAATAATACTGACTCCTTCTGAAATTTCAAATGAATTGAATCATTTTGAGAGAGTCTTTACGATCAACAAATGCATAAATTAACGTGTTAATTACTGTATTTTAATATACAGGTTTGAATATGCACAATCACAGTTTCTTTCAAATGTCAAGCGTTCAAATATAATCCACTGACTTCACTTTAAATCAAAGCATGGGTTGCTGTTCGTGCTTAGCTAGAACAATCATAGGATTAGTAAACATGATTGTGCTTATTGTAATGATAGTTATTATTTGCTTCAGCTGGGATCAGATAAAGAAAATCAATATTGATGAAGTACATAGCTCTAAGAATGTACTCATATTCGTCATTGTAGTTATTGCTTTCATTGCGCTCACATGCATCATTGGTTTCTTTATGTTTTGTTACAATAAAAGCAAATGTTTCAGAATCACATATGCAATATTGTACTTAGTTGTAGTTATCATTGAAATCGTCTTGATCGCTTGCTCAGTGAAGGATTATCAAACAATTTTGGAAGATGCTGAAACGTGGTGGATCGAAAACGAAGGAACACAAGATGTAAAAGATGTCGAATCGGATTTGGAATGCTGCGGATTCAAAGTGCCATATAATGCTACAGAAATGGAAAACTGTGGATATCAGCCGACTAATTCATCAAATATTGAAACTTGTTACAATAAGATTGACGAAAAGTTGAAAAAGTCAAAGAAAGGCATACAGATTGCAGGAATTGTCATTCTTATAATACAAGCACTTCTTCTTATTTATTCTCTCTGGTATGCCTTCTGCTTTAATTCTTGTAAAACTGAGAAAGTTAGCTCATCATCTTAACATGCACTAAACTGCATCAATGATTAAAAAAAAGTTTTTTATTAATAATTTCTTTTTTGTTATTAACTTTCTATTACCTGGCACAAGTGTTTTATCTTTCTTTTCTTTCATCTAAATATCCTAATATTTTCTTTTTTAAACAATAATTGCTGGGATAAATATGAATTATTCTTTGAATTTATTGAGAACCTAAATATTTTAAAGATGATATCCCAGAATTAATTTTCACTTTCAAAGAATTAAATGTATAAATTGAAGCAAATGCTAGAGAAATGTATGCCATATCTTTATATTCATAATGAATATAAAACCAAAATTACTAAATAAAAAAAATAATATTTACAAACAAATATAAATAAAAAAAATATAAATATAAATTATGTTAGAGAGTATTCAATTATCTTTCCAGTTGATGTTGCAACGCAAACAAGAGGTAATGTCTGATGGAAAGACACGATGCAGCCATTTCCTGATTCCTTCAAAACACTGATTACATCACCATCAAGAGTCAACAATTTTGGTGGAGATTCCTGAGAAGAAATGCACATTACAGGGGAATATCTATGGCTGTCGAAAGAGAAAACAGACTTACTATCTGTTGAGTAAACTTCATGGAGATTTCCAAGATTATTTCCAATAACAACATGACCTTCACTGTCGCATATAACAAAGATATTTGAGTCATCTTTGTTTGTAGAAACAACAGAGTTTATCTTGAAAACTTGTTTCTGTTGAGGATCAGCAGTTATATCCAAAACCCTTGACGACGAAGAAGTATCAGAAGAAATAGAAACATCCAAAACAATTAATCTTCCATGCGAGAAACCAACACAAACATTTTCACTCATACAAATCACAGACATTGCTGTAGAATGTTCATTATCATGGTTACTTAATGTATTCCATTCTCCTTTCAACAATTTAGTAAATGGATCGAAACTTCTTATCGATCCGCAGTTTCCTCTAATACTTACAATGTTTCTGCCGCAAATATCAACGAATTCTGGGATGTGGCTATTCGCGTATCCATCAGATCTAAAACTAATCATTGGATAATTCGTTTTCATGTTCCATCCGTAAATACTTCCATTATCTACACCAATAAACAAATAAGTATCATTCTCAAATGTGTTATTCGCGAAAGAAAAACTCGTAATTTTAACATGCCCGAGTTCCAAAACTTTTTCAACATTGTTTTCATATAAAACAACTACTTTTCCATCCTTAAAACCAAGTGCTAAAACCAATGTCAATTTATCATAACATATAATTGTTGGCTGCTCATTAAATTCGTATCTATGCTTACTAACAACTTTATAATTACTTAAATGCTCAACAGCAGCAGGTGGCAATCCACACAAACCAGTTTCTTCGAAATAAATCGGATGCAAACCTCGTTTCGAAGTTTGTTTCATAAACAACTTATATAATGAATCTCCTCCACTTTCTATGGAAGCTTCTTTCAGTTCTTCCTCAATCTCCCTTTGTATTAAAATAGGTGTCGGCGGCGGAGAAAATGAAGGAAAATTCAAAGGAGCACTGCTACAATTTTGAGAAAAATTGTGAGTTTTCGGTTTGATACAAATTAATTTTGATGTATTTGTTTTCAAACTCTGACAAACTTTTGAAACTGAAGGATGCGGGTCATCACTTAAGAACTCACAAAGAAACAAACCACTGCTTACGAATACTTCCAAATATTCTTTATCACGTTTAACTTTGTTCAAATACTCACAAACATTTTTGAAAATATTAAATCTTTCCAAACCAACGTTTTCATGATCTTCATCAAGTTTAAACCATCTAGAAAGTAAAGAACCAAACAACTGATGCGCCATTAAACCATTAGGAATATGATCTATTACTTTTTCCCTGTAAATCGATAAAAACCTTGTCAAAAACAAAGAAAAATTATATCGAACTAAATAACTACAATCAAAACCGCATTTCACGGATAATCCGAATAAATCAACATTAATAAAGTCTTGGCCACTCTGTAACAAACAAGGTAAAAGAGATAATGATGCTGCACGTACATATTCAGAGTTATGATAAACAAATGATGCTGCTTGTATATGTAATCCGAAATTATAAAATGAATTAATGTCTAAACCGTAATTATCGAACATTCTTCTCTCTAATATCAATAACCACATCGTTAAATCACTGTTCGATGTTTCTAGAAGGGTTCTTAATTTAATTAAAAACTCATTTCGTGTGGAAAACTGGCGAACACAGTCATTATGAGGGAGAAGTGTTGCTACAATGGATGCTATCAATGGTTTGATGTCTTTGTCGGTGATTTCATCATCAAAAAGTACTTTTTCAAGGATAATTAAATCATTTGAAGGAGATATCTCTAAAATATAGTTCTGATTCTGTTCAAATAGAGTGACAAGTAAATAACTGATCGATTTGAACGTGTCTGGATCAGATTTGTAATCAAAATTAATGAAATAAGAAAATAAAATATCAAAATGCGCAATTTTCGCAATTTCTTCTCTGTTTTGTTGCGACAATGACGCGTAGTTGGCAAGAAGCCTGATGGATTGGTTCTTCAGCTCTTTGTTCTCTGGAAAATGGAATAATAATACTAAATTCGCAATACTTGACTTTTCTTTGGTCGGACACTGAAGAATATTCGTAAAAGTGGACAAAGCGCGGTTGTATAAGTCAATATCTGAATTCAAATACGTTCCATTGGAAATAATTGTAAGATCTAGCGTTGTTCGCCATTGTTGCCACAAGGGATGGCCGGAAAGGTCCGGAATATGTGGATGGCAGATAGGATGTACTTGGTATAAGTGTAAAAGGTACTGTGCCAATAAATAATTTCGGAATAATGCGGAAGTTAAGGGATCAGATCGGAAATAGCCTTTGTATTGATCGATTGGTAATATATCTGCTGCGATAGCGTCTGTTATTGCGTCTAATGTCTTCTGTAACGATGAATGTAAATTTGATTTCTCATCTAAAAGGTTTAGATCGATATCTCTGAGGAGAAACATATCTGTAACTAACGTAGTCCTGTAATATTGTAGGATATGACAGAGAACTGCTGTTTTTGTCGGTGTCAATAAAACAGATGTCAAAAAATCATGAGGTAAATGGGGATCTGATGGTAAAGATTCGTTCTCCCCTGTAGCACAAAAGCAAATGTAGTCTTTCCATGGATGGTTGTTTGGGCTTTGGCCAAAATGAATCGTTGCTGTTTCTTCTAGAGTCGGTAATACTGTTGCGGCGTGGCTGCAATCAAAGATGAACCAAACTGGAGGTCCGAGATTCTCGAATAATGTCTTGATTGGGTAATCTACGAAAGTATTTGTTTTTTTGTCTAATGCTTTAATGTTTTCTGTTATGCGTGGGAATCCAAAACCTATGTAATGAAATAATATGCGACCTTGACCAACATTTGTCCTAAGAGAATTTGCATTTGACAATTTATCAATTGTAGGTGCAACTTGAAAAAACATTCGTAACACTTTTCGATAGTTTGAATATTTTTCGTGCATGTAATCTTGGAGATATGCTGAGAAATCGCTTGGTAATATATTTGACATATTCCGCCACATATAAAGCATTGGTTTACGTGAAAAATAGTCTGAATCTGGCTGTGGGAAGAGATTGGACTGAGAGCACATGAGGTATACGCAATCAACTTTCTGAGGCAATTGAGGATTTTGTAAAAAAATAGGCTTATTTAAATCCGCAATATTATAATCTTCATCTGATGGCTCAGGATATGTTGTTAATTTTGTTTCTGAAAGATTCTGAAGCTTAAATAAAGAAGTAAAATGATCAATTGGATTGCTGATGATATTATGAGCTTCCAATCCCTCAATATCTGATCCTGAATCACTATACTCCAATGATGAGGATTCACTAAAATCTTGAAGCCCTACAATAGAGCTTCTTGGCAAAGTCATTTTAGAAAAAATTCCCAAGAATAAAGATATCTGTTTTTTATGATGATATCAAGATAATATGCTTAGTAGTTTTTATGATCATCTGGATAAGAAGTCTGTTCCAATTAAAATTAGTGCGGAATTATTTTCATGCTGAGTTGTCAATTTTACTAATGGATATATACTTATCTCATGTTGGGAAACGCATATACATGGAATCGCTGATATTTCTGATATTTCAAAGATTTTTAAAGGTTTTTGACGTTATATATTCATTTATGATATTCTTTTTCTTTTTTACATATATCATTTCTTTATGAAATTCTCTTTCTATTCACATCTCTCATTATATTTATGAAATCTAGTTTATTTTCAGATATATTATTGCTTAATTGGATTCTCATTTCTTTTATATTAATCATTGTTTTATAGAATTCTCTTTATTTTAATATCTGTTATCATTTTATTGCATTTGTATTCTTTTCACATCTATTGTTATTTTATAAAATTCTTTTGCTTTTAAGATATGTTATTATTTCATAGAATCCTCTTGCTTTTCATATTCATTATTGTCTAATTGGGCTCTCTTCCTTTTTATATTAATCAATATTTAATAGAATTCTCTTTAATCTTATGTCCAATGCTGTTTTATAGAATTCTCTTTCATATCATATCTATCATTGTTTTCTGAAATCCTATTCATATTAATGAAAGCCCTTTAAGGGTGCACACGAGAGGATCATGTAAACTTCAGAATTTAGAACCTTATTTTTAGGCATTATCTTGGCTACCTATTTAGGCTCGAAAAGCTAAAAATATCAAAAAATACAACTTGACTCCATTATGACCCTTTCATGGAGGTAGTTTTTATCCGCTAGTATTTTCCCTTTGAATCTCTTTACAATTCGAAATCAAATTCAAAACTCAGTAGAAGAAAGGAAGAATCGACTTACTACGGTTGTAATACGAATAAATACATATATTTAATTATTTTTCTTTACATAATAATTGTTTGAAGCTCATATTCGATCAAATTTTTAAATAAAAACATTAAAATGTTGAAAATGTTCATATATTTTAATAGGGTTTTGGCACTTTATTGAGGAATTACTACATACATAGTCGAACTGAACTTGATATTTTGAAATTTAAATTATTTATCAAAATTAAAATTTAACTTGAAATTTATAATTATTTAGTCATATTTTGCATAATTCTAAGTAGATTTTGTAAAAAATCAAGAAAGAAAAATTTTAACGTGGTTTATTTTTTCTTTTTTATAATAATACATATTATTATATAATTAACATATTCATAATGTTTCACCCTTTCAAAAATATAATCCTCCTCCTCTCAAATAAACGTACATACGGGTGCACCCTTAAAAAAAGTTCCAAAATTAATAAATGTTCTTAAATGTAAATTTCTGCATGATAGAGGCTTGTTTAGACCATGAAATTGATGATAGGTTCAAAAAAATATATGTTCTCTATTAAAATAATTGAAGTTTTTGATAAAATCATCATTAAAGAAGTTTCATTGTATGTGTGGTTAATGCAGTAATGATTAAAAATAGATAATTGCTATTTTTTAAAAATATTTTTAATACAATTAAATGAAACCAAATGTAATTGTTCAGTTCCGAATTGTATAAAATAATATAGAATTTAATTGCTATTTTTTTCAGATATCTAATTTCCTTTAATGTCACTTTTACGATAATTTATATAGAGATAATTGAATATATCTGAATAAAGAAATAAAAATTCAGGAAAAGGACCGTGGAATATTGTTTAGTATAATGTCTAACTTATTGATAAATCTTATTGTGAAAAATTGAAAGAATAAGGATAAATTTTTATACGATTATTGGATAAAAGTTTATGGGATAGTAAAATAATAAGAAAACGTAGGATAAAATTTGATCAAAAGTTTTGAAAGGGGTGAAGTTCAATAATCATGGAAAAGAAATCGTTAGCATAATTAGGATAATTAGAAATTTTAGAGGAGATGGGTTCGGACAGATAAATTTTGAAAATATAATTTGGCTACAATGTAAAATGCTGTTCAGAGATTTGTGATAAAAAAGATAGATATGATCTAGTAATCATAATGGTACAAAAATAAGCCTAATGAGAATTGAAAATTCTCAATAATATTGAAAAGAAAAAATGATCCCTTGTTCAATTTTTGATATCATTATCGTTTATACAATATTATCAAACTTATAGAACTACATGGGTATAGCAATATATCAAAATTTTCAGATATATCTTTTCGTAAAATAGAAAATTGAATCATAGAAAATTGAGAATTGTCAAAACGATGACATTTTATAAACTAAATATTCCATCGTATTTATCATATTCTTTCTTATAGACTTAATTACAATTTAGAATATTTTTTGATAGCCGATTCTATAATCTCATTCAATTAATACATTGAATCATTTCCCAAAAAAAACAAAACACTTTATTATCAATTTCCTCAATGGTAGTTAGACCCGAATTTATTTTTAACAATTTTCAATTACTCATAAAATTTGACAATGCATATCTTTATTCTATCTATAACACTAATGGCATTTTTTACAAATATTCGTCGATGACGCGAATCCGCATATGCATTAATAAATTAATAATTGGCAATATTATAATATATATTTATCGGCAACGAATTCCTTAAAATGGCTTCATCTTAGTTTTGAATTAGTTTGTGAGCTCATTCAATATATTCAATACATAGTAAAATTTATGAGGAAAATTCAATTAGCTATTGAATTGAATTGAATGCTTCTCTCAATCTGACCGATGGCGGTTTTGTTTTATTATTAATAATGAAGGATGAAACAGTCCTGCGTAAATCACATCCAAGGGAGAAATTCACTCATGAAGAGGATAACAAGATCCTCAAGCTTGTACAGAGATACGGAGAGAACGACTGGAAGAAAGTCGCATCCAAAATGAAAGGTCGTAATGTCAGACAGTGTCGTGAAAGGTTCAAAAACTACTTATCTCCCAACATTGATTGGAGTGGCTGGTCAGAGGATGAAGATAAGCAATTAATTGAAAAATACAGAGAAATGGGTCCAAAATGGAAAGTTCTTTCCAGCTTTTTCCCCAAGAGAACAGAGATCATAGTTAAAAATAGAATGAACAAAATTTTAAGGAAAATTAATAAAGGTAAATATAGAAACACCATGATGCCTGAATACTCCAATCCACAGGCTTCTCACCAAGATGCCAAAAGTGAAGAGGATTATGCCTTGAATCAGTTGGAATTGGAATTCCGCAAGGCTAGAAAATCATTTTTCGAAGTTGCAGGTATTACTCGCAATGATTTTGACCCCAACTTCGAAATCTTGGATACTCCAGAATTTGTCTACTAATTGTTTTGTAAATGTATGTCTATTGGTTATATAATCAACAAAATTCCGCTTCTAATAATGTGTCAAAAATATTATTCAAACAAAAAGTGGCAACAAAATTCTGAGCATATTGATATAATCTTTTTTTAAGAGTTTTTTTAAGAAATAAAGGTTATATTCATAAATAAGATATAACTGTATTTTAATCTGAATTATTATGAAACCTTGAATTTCGGGAGAAATAACCGTTTATTAAGTTTTTTTACGAGCTTTTCAGTTATATTTGGTCGGATTCTGGAAGACAAGTTATATATCCGGTCTTACCGTTTGGTAACTATGTAAACCTCTTATTCTGAAAATTGAACTTCAACCTCATCATAATATTTCTATTAGCAAACAGCACCATATCATCATAACAATATCTTACTTTCTGTTATTTCTATAGGTGTCTGTGTTTTTGCTATTAGTTATTTTGAACTCCTTACAGAAGGACAAGAGAAATCCAATCAGAGTGTCGAAATAAATATCTGAGTGTATTCTAAATGGGAATACAAAATAGTTTGATTTGTCTATTAAAAATGCATCCTTTTGTTCTATGCTTTTATCTGATACAAATTTGTTTCTAATCAGTAAACTCTTAAAAAATCGGTATAATAAAATAACTAGAAATTAATTAATATATTGAATTCCAGAAACTTACGCTGCATTTCAGGTGAAAAAAGATCGTTCAATGAAATAAATGTAGCGAATGGGATGATTTCTAAGCTAAAATGCTTTTTTAGACTCAGAGATATTCCATATTGGTTGTTTCGCTTGACCACGGCTCGATCGTTCTAAGCAATGAAATTCAAAATACCGAAAGGTGTTAGTTTCATTAGAAATACTTAACTGTTATATAATAATATGAGATTTTTATAAAGATCTTTTACTTATAGACAATTTTGTTGTAATATTCGTCATCGACTGCTTCAAGCCATTCAGTAGAAGAATTTTCAGCGAAAGGCTGGATTGATATGTGAGAGAACCATGTGTCCTTTCTAGCGCCATGCCAATGCTTTACTTCTGGTGGGATATCCACGACATCTCCTGGTTTGAGAGGAACTACATCCTTTCCTTCCTCTTGGTACCAACCATAACCACTTGTGCAGAGTAATGTCTGTGGAACACCATGATGGATATGCCAATTGTTTCTGCATCCTGGTTCAAAGGTAACATTGAAAATTCCAGCGCCTTTTGTGGATAGCGCACTTACGTAGCTTTGGCCTATGAAGTATTTAGCGTAAGCATCGTTTGGTGCACCCAAATCAAATTGTCCCAAATAAGGTCTTTCCTTCTTTGGAGCTCCTTTTGGTGTATATCTGATCCAAAGTCCGCCAGCACCAAGTTTGTCGACGGCCTTCAGTTCAAATTCAATAGGAGTTCCCTTTGGGAAGTATGGAGATCTTTCAAAAAGTGTCACCGCATCATTAGAGCCATCAGCGACGGCTGTGAGGCAGACAGAGAGCTCATCAACGATGCCCGCATTGAGGAATGACCAGTTGATGATACCGCCGCCTTGAACACTAATGACTTTGATGTTGAATTTTTCTTTCAACTTCTGTACGAGTAATTTCCAATCCATTTCTTCTTTTCCTGCAATGACATAGGAAATCTGATGTCTTCTGAGGTAGTTCTTGTATTGTGGTGTTGCCTTTTCTGTTAAAACTTCGATGATATGAGCTGGAGGGCGAACATCGTATTGAAGGGAGTTCTCTTTCCATGCAAGTCTTCCTGATGGATCAACAGCGACAAGATATTGCTTGTCCTTTGTCTCTGCGACAAAATCGCCATCTGGAACTTCTGTTTCGTTCTGATTTAACTCTGGAACAGCAAAGTTTGTGAAGTTTTCATCGAATGTTTTACGTCCACAAAGCCATGCATCTGGTTTGTAGGTTTCTGATGTCCATTCGTATTCTTTGCCAACAACAGAAGCTGCTTCTGTATCAAAGAATGAGCCATTGATCTTGCCATCTAAGGCTGTCATCATATGTATGTAGATGAAAGGTCTCTCTTCAGTCATTTTTGAGAAATGAGGTGAAAATTTTGAAGATTTTGAAAATTCTACGATGTGAATTCACACCAATTGAAGATGATTTATGGGGAAATGTTTAAATGAAAAATAATATATTTCATGAAATAGTCTTATTGTTGCTACCAATGTTGAAAATAATCGAAAGATTAAAATTTGATAAAATTAATATCGGACATAGACAAGCATTATATGGTCGTATATGTTACTTAGTTGATTTAAACCTGATTGAATGCATGAGTAGCTTCTAGAAAATAAAATTAAACTCGGAAGAGCAAATGGAGAGTAATATAGAAAATTTATAAGTGATCTCATGATGTAATGTAATTTTTATAAGGTCTATAACACAATTTATTTATCAATGACAGAAAGTCTAGCTTGAAAATTTATATCAAGTAAATATGATAATTGGAGCCATGAAATTGCGATAAATATATTTCAAAATAGAACAACAAATAATAGGAAGTGATAAAATTCAATGAATGGCTTAAAAACATCAATATTTCAACAAACACGACATCTATTTGCATGGGTTAGGACATATTAAACAATACTAAGGAGCTAACATATAAATTGGCACTGATTACTGTTGGAGTAATTAAAAAATATAGAATTAAAATAACAAAATATAATTCCCTTATATATTTGGTTTGATTTTCTGTAATAAAATATTATAATTCATAAAAAGAAAACATTCTGTCTATTTATAATTTTATAATTTTTCCAATATTTTTTCAAAATTCAAAAAATGAATTTGATTTTTAAGATTTTACTGTTTAAATTTTCGATTTTGAAAAAAATTTGGAAGACTAAACTCTATCTTTCTCAATTTCGTGGGCGCACTGCTAAAATGTAGATATAGTACATTTATTTCCCAGAGGAGTAATAATGATTATGGTGTGATTGAGGAATATGGATTTGTTTATTCAATAAAATACAAAGGTTTGAAGAAATATGAAACAACAAAAAACTCTATTTTCATTTATTATAGAAGAAAACCAGTATAATGTTCAGTTTGAGCTGTATTATAAAAAAATATTTCGTTACATTAATGAAGAACTTAGTATAATTAGACAATATGGGATATTTCCACCAAGTGAGAAAGCGGAAACTCATATTAACTTATAGATTTCCAATAAGTAAATGAATTATTTCTAGAAATGCTTGGTAAAAAGTAAAAAAAGTAAGTAAATTTGTAGTAATATAAAGACCGAAAATTTAGAAGCACTTGCGGTGGACGATGGATGGGCCAGCCTCGTCGTATTCCTCCTTGGTGATAACCATCTGTGGGAATGTAGCGAGGGAAGCAAGGATGGAGCCACCGACCCAAACGGCGTACTTACGCTCTTCTGGGGCGACGATCTTGACCTTCATTGTTGGTGGAGCAAGAGCTGTGATTTCCTTGTCAAGACGTTCGGCGATGCCCTGGAACATTGTTGTGCCACCAGAAAGAACGATGTTAGCGTAGAGATCCTTACGAACATCGATATCGCACTTCATGATGGAGTCGAAGAGTGTCTTGTCGATACCATCGTATTCCATACCATCGAAGTATGGCTTGAAGAGCATTTCTGGGCAGCGGAAGCGCTCATTGCCGATTGTGATGACGTTGCCATCTGGAAGTGTGTAGTTGACGTTGATGGAGGAGTCTGTAGCGGCCTTCTCCATTTCAGCATCGAAGTCGAGGGCGACATAGCAAAGCTTCTCCTTGATGTCACGAACGATTTCCTTTTCGGCTGTTGTGTTGAAAGCATTGCCACGCTCTGTGAGAAGCTTGACCATCCAGGCTGTGAGATCACGGCCAGCGAGGTTAAGTCTCATGATGGCGTGTGGAAGGGAGTAACCTTCGTAAATTGGAACTGTGTGGGAAACACCATCACCAGCATCGAAAACGATACCTGTTGTACGGCCAGAGGAGTAGAGAGAAAGAACGGCCTGGATGCCGACATAGAAGGATGGGACGTTAAATGTGTCGAACATGAGGGAGATCATTTTCTCACGGTTAGCCTTTGGGTTGAGTGGGGCTTCTGTAAGAAGAACTGGGTGCTCTGTTGGGTCAACACGAAGTTCGTTGTAGAATGTGTGGTGCCAGATCTTTTCCATATCATCCCAGTTGTTGACGATACCGTGTTCAATTGGGTACTTGAGGATGAGGACACCAGCCTTGGAGCAAGCTTCATCACCAACGAAGACATCCTTGGCGTTGCCACCAACTAATTGTTGTTTGTACTTTGGACGGCCGACAACGGATGGGAAAACAGAGCGTGGGGCTTCATCACCAGAGAAGCCAGCCTTGCACATACCAGAGCCATTATCGATAACGAGTGTCTGAACGTCTTCTTCAGCCATTCCAGAAAAATGAAGTGACTTTTGAAATGGGCAATATTCTCACGTCACTTCCATTCAATTTGGGAAACCTTCTGTCTTTTGTCCCATTTAGTAACTTTTGTGACTGGTTACAGTTCAACTTTGTTTTTGTCTTATTCAATTTTGTATTAGAATGATGTCCAGATAAATTTGATCCACTTGATGAACTTTGTTATTGAGAATTTTGATTTTTTACGGTTAGATGATAATAGCAATCATGCAAGAATATTGTGTGTATAAAAAGATCTTATGAAATCACGGATTGAATTTATTCAACATTTTTTCCAAATTCAATTCACTTGAAAATCATATAACATTAAAGCGAACATGAAACAATTTCATACCATAATAATACGATTCCAAAGGTTTAAATGATTTACTGTTATATTGAAAAATCATGCGTTTTCATACATGTATCATATACCAATGATCTATACATATGAAATATAGATTGCTTTTTACAGATGTTAATTAGTTAACCTTCAAGATATACACTTTCAAGTTCGATGAGTAATCAGAACTCTTAAATATTTGACATATTAATCCATACACATTTTATATTCATTTCTGAGAGACATCAGCTTATAATGTGCAAATTTGTATTTCCTTATTTGTTATTGAATATTAAGGTCTAACCAAGACCCCAAAATATAACAATAGTGGTAGGGTATATTACGAAAGTCTGAATGTTACTCTATACCATTTTTTTTTTAAAATATCGACTGACCAAAATTTTATTTGGCGAATGCACATATCACCATATAAATAATCATATAATCAAGAATAGTTTTTCACTCTGAAAGATGAGAATTGCTACTATTTAGTGAATCGGAACAACAAAGTTAAATAAAAACTTTAAAATTAATTAAATATTATTGCAGCATCAGATTAGCACCATATTTTCGATATGATTTCAGAGTGGGAGTTTTTATAAAATTTCCTTACTGATAGTAATTTCAATTGCATATAAATCAAATTGAATTCAATTAAATTTTAATTGCGTAATTATTTAAATTAATTAAAAATACAAATTTCCTTAAAATAAATGCACGTTTATTGTGACAATTCAATTTTCCCCTTACAAATATTTTCTCATCACATAACAATATACAATATTCTGGAGTCAAATGAATAAATTATATTCAAAAACTCAGTTCTCAAAAGTTTTATATAGTTCAAAACCTTCAATTAATTATTCTTTGTCATTGATATTTATATTATAATTCATTAAAATTGCAATAACTCATAATTGAATTGTTCTCTCAAAATGTGAGCCTTTGTTAATTGTAAACCATTCTAAATATTGAGTAACCAACGAAAAAAAAGACACCCAAAGTTTTCCAAAAAACTATAGTTCCATGTATGCAGTAATACAGCCTTTTTTCTTATCAAATTTTTTTAAGAAGGTATTTTCAGAAATCATTCAAATCATTATGGCTGATAATAACAGCGATCAATCATTGAGTTCTCACGATGAGGTTCAAGATCCAGAAACCCCATACGAAGAACCTCCAAAAGAAGAATCCAAACAAGAAGAAAAACCAGACAAAGTCGAAGGTTCAATTGACCAAAAAGAAGAGGATGACTCTAAGAAGTCAGGATTCTTCAAATTCGATAAAATTACTGAAATTAAAGGCGTTTTGACTCTTAATTTCAAGGAACCTGATCCAGCTTATCTCGAATTATGGGGAACACCACGTTCCTTCACAGAAGAGAAATTCGCAAACCACTTCGTTGTCAAGAGAAAATGGACACAAATCACATTCTCTATCGTATTTTGGATTAATTTAATCCTTGCCCTCATTTTATTCGCATTCACAGATCCAGCTGCCAGAAACAAGCCATTTGAATACAAAGGTCAAGTAATCCCAGCTAAGAATCTCCATTTAGTCGCACTTTATAGTGTTGGCACCTCTGTAGTACTTTGTGCTTTCATTATTTGTCTTCTCCTTATCATCCCTGGCCTCTTTATATGGTGGACCTTCTTATTTGCTGTATTTACATGGGCTGTTATCCTTGTTTTGATCATTATTGGCGGAAATCTCGCTAGCCAGATCTCATTCTCCGTCATTGTTGTTGCCTTCCCAGCACTGTTCGTCTTAAAGATCTGCGGAAAGGTCAAATTCAGCACATGTGTCCTCAAATCGGCCATTCTCGTTGCAAGAAAGTATCCATCTACATTTTTATTCACATTCTTAATGATTTGCGCCCAAACAGGTATCAACTACCTTTACGATATTGGTGTTACAGCTGCCTACTATCATAACATCTCTCCTGGGGTCTACATCTACGCTATTTGGTCATATTTCTTCATTACAGCTACCCTTCGTAACTACGCATACACCGTTGTTGCTGGTGTTGCCTCCTGCTGGTACTTCCTTAACGGCAGCCCACACATGCCACCAGCTCCTCTGATTGTCTCCATCAGACACATGACTGGTCCCACATTTGGCCCAGTTTGCCTCGGCGGCCTCATCCAGTCATTCTGCGATACAATCAACCAGCTCAACGATACACCAGGATCCTCACCAATCTACTGCATTGTTAAATGCATCTGTATGGTCGTCAAATGCATGGTTACTGTTTTCATGGGCATCATCAACAGATTCGCGCTCATCTACTGCGCCATGTTTGGTGTTGATACACAGAACGCGACAAAGAGATGGTACCAACAAAAGTCAAGAAAGATGGTCAACCAATGCATTTTACATACAGTTTTACAGGCAACATTCGATACAGATGCATGGATTTCATCATCACTTTGCGGTGCTGTTGCTTCTTATTTCGCTTACAAGAAGTTCGGAAAAGGATCATCAGAGTTCAACTTCGCAACAGTTACAGGAACATTCTTCGGAAAACAGGCAATCACTTTGTTGTCTGCTCCAATCATCACAATGTCTGATGCTTTGTTTGTTGGTTTCGGCGAAGCTCCACAGAGATTGGACTCTGGCGCTTCTGAGATTATGGATTTGTTTGATGAGGAAAACAAGCAGCTCTTCAGAAAGGAAATCGATGAACAACTTAATGGTCCTGATGAGAAGAAGTTCTGCTGCTGCTAAAATCAATAAATTTTTATTTCTATGTCGTTATAAAAATTAGTATTTTTTTTTCTCCAAATGAACAAATTTTAGAAAGGTTGACTTCTATTCATTGAAGAATTATCCTTTTTGACTTACTAATGGTTTTATGTGATTCCCATCACATAAAAATATCACCTTTCAGCTACTACAACACAGCATTTTGATCATTTCTTCCACAGTTTTTTCTTGCTTTCGACATTTTTTTTGGGAGATTGTATGTATAAATTTTTGTAATTTCTTTTTGAGTTTAGAAGTATTTTTTTCCCATCTAAGAATGGAGATGAACTTTATCTCAATACTAGGCAACAAAGTGAAGGTGGATTACAATTAATTCCTTAACACCTTACATTAAACTAAATTACATCAAAAAAATTGCACCATTCATGCCATTATAGCTAGTTATTTTTTACTCATTCAAGTGGATTTTTTTTTAATTTTCAAAATGACTTAACAAATTCTAAGAATTCCTTTGCCTCATATAAGTCTATTACATCATGGTCATATCAATCTAACTCATCTACACGACTCAAATTTCCATTTGGAGGATTATTTTTCATGACATAATCTAAGGGGTACACTAACAAAAAGGATTTCTTCTGCATTCGAAATTTTTTTTTGAGTCGGAAAATTTTAGATCATTGTTTGCTGAAAACTCAGTGTTAGAAGAATATGTGTGATTAGATATTTTAAATTCTTAACAGTATTTCATTAGAGATGAGCTCAGTTTTACTTCAAATTCCTTGAAATTTATGAGATCAAATAAGATTTCGGTCATCAAGATATTATCTTACGCGATTATGCATTAATAGCCTCATATGAGATGATAAAATACATCACATCCCAAAATACTCATAATTTTTTGAGTTTAAATTTTATCAAAAAAATTGCGATTATATCAAAGCTTCATGGGATTAATATTTATTCAAACAACGAAAAATAGTTCATGGGATTAGTACCCATAACTAAATTCTTGTGGATCAGAATTTGAATCATCATAAAAATCAATTGTTGGAAGTGGATTGGAGTTGATACATGAGACATAATCAAGATTTGTCGGTTCATAAGTGAAATCTTGCTTTTGTTCTTCAATTTCGATTTCATCAATTGAACTGTCGACGAGAATAAGTTCAATAGTGTTGGATGAGTTATTGGAGCATGTTCTGATCTCTCCGTTAACAGATTCCATGATATTGAAAGAATTATCTTGCATTCTGTTAAGAAGATCAAGCATTGACTCGTCAAATGGGTTATGTAACCTTTCAATGTTTTCCAAGACCTTGGATAAGAAGTGCGAAACTTCTGGAGAGACTTTGGCTAAAGCTTTTAACATCGGAGAATCAATGTAACTTCTGATCTCTTTGGTTGCCTTTTTCATAACATCTGGCTGCATACTGGCAAAATATGATGCCAATGAACTGATCTCTAACAACAATCTCTTGGGATCATGAAGAAGGAAAGAGTCAAAATTCTTGACAAATAAGAACAAAACAGATGCATGGGTGATGCCGAGATCCGAAAGACTAATGTGATCACTTAGAATTTGTCCATTATAAATAAGAACCATATTTTTGGTTGGAGCTGAGAGTTGGTTGAACATTTCGTCCTTAACCTCTGCTACTGTTAGTGGCTCTTCAAATGGGATGAAAAAATCATGATTGGGGAGCATACGCACGATGTAACAATTCATTGAAAACTAATTTGCAAAATTTTGAATAAAGGTATTTCAATTTTTTGTATTTTTTGTATTTGATAATAATTATTAGACTTATTCCGTATATATAAAAGTTATTAATATTTAAGAGAATTTTGAAAATTTAGGTTCCATTTTGAAAGCGAGATCATATTTTGAAAGGAAACATTACAGTTCGAAATTTATATATATCGAATGCTAATTAATATTTTATTTAATATTTCTAGGTTGGTCACTTTGTGATTGAGAAAAATTGAAAGATCTCAGAATTCTTTTTACGTCCAATTGATTTAAAAAAAATCGAGATATTATGCATTAAAACACGAAGTAAGTACAATCAGAAATAAATAATTCGAATTTTCTAAAATTCAAATGCAGAACAAATTTCCTATTTACTTATATGGAGATAATAGTATAGATTCGGAATTTTCATCCAAATAGAAAATTCGTTCTTATTTCAAAATTTCAATTGTTTTATTTTGCTCAATTGGAATTTCTAAACTCTAAATTTTAAGCAAAGGTGAAATATCAATGAAAAAGATTTCCTTAACTGCAAAAATAAGAATTTTGAATTTTGTTTGAATCTGCTTGTTATTACCTCGAATAATATGCATTGATTTACACTCTTGAAAGTCTATTCATGCAGGAATCTAGACTTGAAATAAAGTTCTAATTGAAGTAATTTCGTATTGATTTCGAGATCTTCTGACTTATAAATTTAAAAAATTTTGGCCTACAAACCGTACATATTGTCCTCTCATTCAACCGAATAAAAATATTAGGTATCATGAAGCTTGTGATTTCTTTGATCAAAAAAATCGATATTAGTTTCAAACATGAGAGTAGAAAAAGAATCTTGAATAAAATTATTAGTATCCTCAATTAATAAAAAAAGTAATCAATGGTTATTAAATATATAACTAATATGACTGTGACTATAATTCATCAAATAATTTGAAAGAATGTTATTCAAAAATTGATTTGATTGAAATTGAAAATCTAATTAATTTAATTATATATTAGTCAATTATTAATAATTTAAGATAAACTTTTTATGTATCAATTTTTAATCAAAATTTCTTTTATGTAAATTTAATATATATAGATTACTCGATTTCAAATAAATTTATTAAACTTGTCGTTAAACATTTCAGATATTTACATTTTATAATTTTAACATTCAATTTTAAATTTGCCAATATTTTACTATTTGAAACATCTAATAATTAGAGTATATTTGTTAAATTTTTTTGATGACTTTCATCTCAATTGTTAGAATGAATATAGTTATATCGTCTAAGGTGTTTATTCATTATTCAACACTAATTTTTTTAAAAAAGATTGTTGTAACGTCGGAAAAATAACTCCGTAGCATAAATTTAACTTGTAGCACCCGTATTTTTCAATAAAACTGGGTTATTTTTGATAGCCATACTACTCTACATCTGTTTATATGCATACAGCCGTGATGATACATGAAAATTCCAAACCTAAATTCTTAATTTCAAGATAATCATCAAAACTCAAGTTTGTATAATAAGCGTAGATATTGCATGCTTATCCAATATCCTCTTAATACATATAAAACATTTTGGTTAACTCGGCAAATTGAAGTTAATAAGAATCTAATTTTTGAGATATCGTTGGTAAAATCACCCCAAATTTCACCAGTGTGGAGCTCATCTGATATAGAGCAAATTCTATTTCAAAAGTTTGCTCATTTGTATTCAAAAATTCCTCTGCTACAAGTTAAAATTCCCACTTTTGGGTTATTTTTTCGACGTTAATCTATGAAATATTAATTAGCTTCAAACAATAAATTTAATTATATTATTTACAAAACAATTTAATTGGCCTCTTCGAATCCAAATGGGGTATCATTAAATTCGTTTACATCCCAATAGGAATCAAGATCGAGTGGGCCTTTAGTTTTGAGTGCATCTGTTATTAGCTCATCAAACATCTTATCTGTTGGCATTTGAGATATCTGGATTGGTAGCTCTGCTTTGGTTAAAATCTCAACCTTTGGTATTTCTTTGATTTGAGCTTTAGGTTTGTCTTTTTCTGCAAGTAACTGCTTACAATGGTTCTTGACCTGGACAACAGTATGGTTAGGGAATGAAGTTTGGATGACGTTCCACTTTTTGCCAAAATCGTGATACTTCTGCATTAATAATGCATTTTCTTCTTCTGTCCATTCTTTGCTTGCAGCATGCTTGCAGAGGACGTGCCGCCATCTATCTCTGCATTGTTGTACATTTCTACCTGGCATCAATGATGCAATTGTTACCCAATTAGTATGCTTACATTCTGTAATTAGATAGGTTAGTAGCTTATCTTCTTCATGGGAAAACTTCACTGACTTGAACTTACGTTTCTCTTCTGACATTAAAAAATTATAATAAAAAGGAGATTTTAAATGATTCAATTTTTTGTGACAACAGATTTTAGATTTTCAATACTTTGATTTAAAGATTTGAAACAAACGTCAAAATTTGTGTTAAAATGTCTTTTAAATTTTGATCGAATGCGGATATTAATAATATGCTACTTTCATCTCGTAGAATCAGAACGATAATTTCGTAAACTTAACAATTTGGAAATGAGAGCTTACGGTTTTTCCCTGCTTTCAATTTTTCATTTAAAATTTTGAAATTGATTTTAAATCGGATTATTAATTAAGTAATATAATTCTTAAAAATTATAAAAATAATTTGTTATTTCTCAAATTATCATGTTATAGACCGAAAATAGATTTTTTCGGTTTTCTCTTCAAATAATTGAAAGAATGATACTATTATAGGTTTATTATATTATATAGCATATAATCATGCTATAGCCGAAAATTATAAGTTTTGAGAAGATTGAATATAACACAAATAAATTTGAATGTAAGTTAAATTGCTTGTTGTTTTTAATATCTATTTAATGAGAAATCCAATATTGCAAAATTCAAATTGAATGATTGAAAGAACAGAAAAAGTCATTCTTTTCAATTTCGAATATGTTTCATTGTATTTATAATTATATGGCAAATAAGATATTTAAACTTGATTTTTGAAGGAAAATTCACAAAATTGAATAAATTTAAATAATTTTTATTCAAAAATAAACTAGTTATTTGAGTTTAATACTAATTATCTATTCAAACTACAAAGTTTGTAATTTAAAATATTTTGTGAGATCAGATTGAATTAATTCAAGGTTCTTTTTAATTAATATTCATGACCATATTACGCATTTTCGAACATTCTAAACCAAATATATAAAAATGGGAGACGAATGTTAAATTTGCTAGACATGGGGGAGTTGTCTGCAAAGTTTTAGCTCTTATCTCTAACAAAAAATTAATTTTTAAAAAAATGACCGAATACGTTTCACAGCGAGAAAAAAATAAAAGTCAAGATAGAATTTTCTAGACATAAAGAAGTTGTTTACCGAGTTTTAGCTCTTATCTCTAACAAAAAATTAATTTTTAAAAAAATGACCGAATACGTTTCACAGCGAGAAAAAAATAAAAGTCAAGATAGAATTTTCTAGACATAAAGAAGTTGTTTACCGAGTTTTAGCTCTTATCTCTAACAAAAAATTAATTTTTAAAAAAATGACCGAATACGTTTCACAGCGAGAAAAAAATAAAACTGTACACTGATTTTCATTTTCATTTCCAGTCACTTTACTTATTATTTTTTCTTTTTTTCATTTTAATTATAAATTATTTCATAATACGTTTATTTACGTTACCATTTTCTTTATTCTTTTGAATTCCATACTAGACACTTATAGAATATTTTGATTGTTAACGTACTTCATTAGAATGAATCCTTACAAAGGGTATGTCGATCGAATTTACCTAATTGGTATTTCCAATCAGATTGAAGAAGGTAAAATGACATGGGAAGAAGCTTGCACCCATGTTCCCATCGCCCCAACCCTTCAATCAAATGATTTCAAATATTTAGATGTTTCAAAATCTTTTTTACAAAATCAATTTAGCTTACAGAATATCCCATTGCCTAAAGGCAAGAAAGGTCGTAGGGTCAATCCCTACGACCAAATCAAAGCTCTTGCTGTGATACATGACCACTGGGCCTTTCCCTGTGGTCAAACAAAACAATGGAAACGTTTGAAATTACAACAAATTGATGTATCTTATAGAGAAGTACGCAGATACTTCAAAGAAAATCATTTCACCAAGACGCGATTAGAGCATGCCGGGCCAGAAACAGCAGTAAGATATTGGGCGCTTTCACCCAATCTTATCTGGCACGCAGATGTTCATTATTTTAGGGGTGTTCGTGGACAGTATATTTATGGCATAATCGACGATTTTAGCCGCAAAGTCCTAGCGTGTATACAAATACCAGATATGCTGGCAGCGACGACAGCGAACGTTGCGGCTTCCGCTTCATTGAATTTGGCGCCCCTTATTGTTTCTGGACCGACAACGGTTCAGAAAATAGGGGCGCCTTTCAAGATCTACTTGATCTTTGGGCGTCCAATGGCGGCATACAGACTCTCATTCTCCCTACCAAAATGGGAAGATTGAGAGATTCTGGCCGACATTGGAGCGCTGCCAAAGCATTCAGGCCATTCCTGCCTTTATTTGGGAGTACAATAATAACACACCGCATGAAGATCTCCCAATTAATCCATTAACTGGAACAAATTACACGCCAAATCAAATGTATCAGCTGAAACCGAAATACACAAATGCAGATACAGAAAGGTTGTGGCAAATATGGGATACAGATACAGGCATGACCGCTGTTGACACATTCACAGCGTAATAATAAACATAATTTTTTAATTTCATTTTTAACAAGTTTTTTAAATGTATGTAATGAATAATTCATTAGAATATGATAATGCACATTGTAACAGAATAGAACAATCACCAAATTTTTTTTGAAATTAAAAAATAAAAGTAAAAAGTATAAAGTAATCTAACCAAAAAAGATATTTAAAAGAATTTTGGAAAAAACAGAATAAGGATAATGATATTATTTTAGATACACAATCGATGTACTGAAGAATAATCCGGTAAAATGATGATATAAAATTAGAATATTTTACAAGTAGCTAAAAGAATAAAACTATAATATAAAATAAATGAAGTTTAATGAAACAATAAAGGTTAAATAAATAATAAAGATTTTTATTTTATATCAGTATTGAGAAGAAGTAACAGCTGACACTTGGTAGACAACTTCTTTATGTCTAGAAAATTCTATCTTGACTTTTATTTTTCTCGCTGTGAAACGTATTCGGTCATTTTTTTAAAAATTAATTTTTTGTTAGAGATAAGAGCTAAAACTCGGTAAACAACTTCTTTATGTCTAGAAAATTCTATCTTGACTTTTATTTTTTTCTCGCTGTGAAACGTATTCGGTCATTTTTTTAAAAATTAATTTTTTGTTAGAGATAAGAGCTAAAACTCGGTAAACAACTTCTTTATGTCTAGAAAATTCTATCTTGACTTTTATTTTTTTCTCGCTGTGAAACGTATTCGGTCTTTTTTTTAAAAATTAATTTTTTGTTAGAGATAAGAGCTAAAACTCGGTAAACAACTTCTTTATGTCTAGAAAATTCTATCTTGCCTTTTATTTTTTTCTCGCTGTGAAACGTATTCGGTCATTTTTTTAAAAATTAATTTTTTGTTAGAGATAAGAGCTAAAACTCGGTAAACAACTTCTTTATGTCTAGAAAATTCTATCTTGACTTTTATTTTTTTCTCGCTGTGAAACGTATTCGGTCATTTTTTTAAAAATTAATTTTTTGTTAGAGATAAGAGCTAAAACTCGGTAAACAACTTCTTTATGTCTAGAAAATTCTATCTTGACTTTTATTTTTTTCTCGCTGTGAAACGTATTCGGTCATTTTTTTAAAAATTAATTTTTTGTTAGAGATAAGAGCTAAAACTCGGTAAACAACTTCTTTATGTCTAGAAAATTCTATCTTGACTTTTATTTTTTTCTCGCTGTGAAACGTATTCGGTCATTTTTTTAAAAATTAATTTTTTGTTAGAGATAAGAGCTAAAACTCGGTAAACAACTTCTTTATGTCTAGAAAATTCTATCTTGACTTTTATTTTTTTCTCGCTGTGAAACGTATTCGGTCATTTTTTTAAAAATTAATTTTTTGTTAGAGATAAGAGCTAAAACTCGGTAAACAACTTCTTTATGTCTAGAAAATTCTATCTTGACTTTTATTTTTTTCTCGCTGTGAAACGTATTCGGTCATTTTTTTTAAAAATTAATTTTTTGTTAGAGATAAGAGCTAAAACTCGGTAAACAACTTCTTTATGTCTAGAAAATTCTATCTTGACTTTTATTTTTTTCTCGCTGTGAAACGTATTCGGTCATTTTTTTAAAAATTAATTTTTTGTTAGAGATAAGAGCTAAAACTCGGTAAACAACTTCTTTATGTCTAGAAAATTCTATCTTGACTTTTATTTTTTTCTCGCTGTGAAACGTATTCGGTCATTTTTTTAAAAATTAATTTAATGTTAGAGATAAGAGCTAAAACTCGGTAAACAACTTCTTTATGTCTAGAAAATTCTATCTTGACTTTTATTTTTTTCTCGCTGTGAAACGTATTCGGTCATTTTTTTAAAAATTAATTTTTTGTTAGAGATAAGAGCTAAAACTCGGTAAACAACTTCTTTATGTCTAGAAAATTCTATCTTGACTTTTATTTTTTTCTCGCTGTGAAACGTATTCGGTCTTTTTTTTAAAAATTAATTTTTTGTTAGAGATAAGAGCTAAAACTTTGCAGACAACTCCCCCATGTCTAGCAAATTTAACATTCGTCTCCCATTTTTATATATTTGGTTTAGAATGTTCGAAAATGCGTAATATGGTCATGAATATTAATTAAAAAGAACCTTGAATTAATTCAATCTGATCTCACAAAATATTTTAAATTACAAACTTTGTAGTTTGAATAGATAATTAGTATTAAACTCAAATAACTAGTTTATTTTTGAATAAAAATTATTTAAATTTATTCAATTTTGTGAATTTTCCTTCAAAAATCAAGTTTAAATATCTTATTTGCCATATAATTATAAATACAATGAAACATATTCGAAATTGAAAAGAATGACTTTTTCTGTTCTTTCAATCATTCAATTTGAATTTTGCAATATTGGATTTCTCATTAAATAGATATTAAAAACAACAAGCAATTTAACTTACATTCAAATTTATTTGTGTTATATTCAATCTTCTCAAAACTTATAATTTTCGGCTATAGCATGATTATATGCTATATAATATAATAAACCTATAATAGTATCATTCTTTCAATTATTTGAAGAGAAAACCGAAAAAATCTATTTTCGGTCTATAACATTAACAAAATTGAATAGAATTGAATTTGATGTAAAATTTTTTCGGATGTCTTATAATTGTTTTATGCTTTATTTTTTAAAATCAGATCTTTAATTTGATTCTACTCATCCTTGCCTTATTTATTTTTCTTAAGGGTGCACACGAGAGGATCATGTAAACTTCAGAATTTAGAACCTTATTTTTAGGCATTATCTTGGCTACCTATTTAGGCTCGAAAAGCAAAAAATATCAAAAAATACAACTTGACTCCATTATGACCCTTTCATGGAGGTAGTTTTTATCCGCTAGTATTTTCCCTTTGAATCTCTTTACAATTCGAAATCAAATTCAAAACTCAGTAGAAGAAAGGAAGAATCGACTTACTACGGTTGTAATACGAATAAATACATATATTTAATTATTTTTATTTACATAATAATTGTTTGAAGCTCATATTCCAACAAATTTTTAAATAAAAACATTAAAATGTTGAAAATGTTCATATATTTTAATAGAGTTTTGGCACTTTATTGAGGAATTACTACATACATAGTCGAACTGAACTTGATATTTTGAAATTTAAATTATTTATCAAAATTAAAATTTAACTTGAAATTTATAATTATTTAGTCATATTTTGCATAATTCTAAGTAGATTTTGTAAAAAATCAAGAAAAATTTTAACGTGCTTTGTTTTTTCTTTTTTATAATAATACATATTATTATATAATTAACATATTCATAATGTTTCACCCTTTCAAAAATATAATACTCCTCCTCTCAAATAAACGTACATACGGGTGCACCCTTAAACGATTATAATTTCGTAAAATTTTCACCAAGTCTCTCATTTTACCACAATTATGAGCACACTGTTTTCTCCATTAGTCATTGATAAAAGAAAACATCTTTTTAACCCATTAATTTCAATATTTTCTTATGATGGTTTTATCAACATTTATTTATTCTTTTATTATTATTTTTTAATTTAATTTCACATAAACTCTCGATACCTCTACGATCAAATCCAAAATATTTCATTTACAAATCTGATCTCACCAAAAGTATTGTATTTTCAACCATATTAAGAGACTTATCAATTCCTTGTTAGCTTGTATTCAAAGATTCACTCTTGATTTCTCGAGACATATTATATCATTTTGAGAATTAACTGACTCAAATGTTCTTGCATAAAATAAGTTTCAATAAACTTATTATGCTATAATTACACCTCATTTGCATATATCTTTTTCTCTAGTGAGTTAATATTTTATTTCTGAAATTTTGAACTTTCAAATGTTTTCCAACTCTTCAACTGATTAACGATTATACTCCAGCCATTCTTATTGAAATGCCAAATAGGATCCTATTTGAACAATCAATTTATTGAACCTTACGAAAAACCATAGAGAATCGTGTGGACTACAGCAATCTTGCATATCGATAATTACATAAGACAAAGAAATCTTAATTCTAATTAGTATCATTCAATTTTCAGAAAGGCACCACTGAGGCTTGTTTGATTACAAAATATTAAAAAGTGACACCGATCATAGTCTCAAAATTTAAAAGGTTTTTGCCAAGCTGTGATGTTTCTACATCATACTTAAGAAATTCAGTTGATCAAAATGAAGCAGTTAATATCACTGGATATAATGGAATTTCTATTGGCTTTTCTCCTATTCGCAAAGGAAATCCATATTTTGAAGCTCAAAGTTATTCTGGGAAAGGAAATTTCGTTGTTGGTTTCAAAATAGGCTCTTCACAAATACTTGTATCCCCTAAGGGAGAAAAGACATTTTATGTATATGATTATGTTTGGAGATTCACTGATGAATCTTTACATCAGAATAGCACAAATTATTATTTCCATCTAAAACACTCATTTCCAACAAATGAGACAATTGGTGTCGGTCTTTGCATCGAAAATAAAACATTTGTCGTTGTACATAATGATACCTTTGAAGTAGTTAATATTCACTATGATGACAACAGCCAAGTGGTCCCTATTGTACGTGAAATACAGGTTGACAATACTTGGGATAATATATCTTTTAATTTTGGAACAAAATTTCCTTTTAAGTATAATTTTCCTGGATTTAGTCCTTTTTGTTTAGCCCAACATTTATGTATTCCGACATATCAAAACAGACTTATTCAATCTTTAAATCTAGGTCTAATTGCTGTTTTTATCTTGTTATAATTTTTTAATCTAAACTTTGTTAATTCCATATTTGTTTTTCCAGTAATAGCCCTTAAATTATCCATTTCTTTTATGTATATTTCTTATTTGAAATTTTCATATTGATTTTTGAATATCAAAGACAATAATATTCATCATCTAATTACTTGTACTAAACAATCAAAGATGAACTTTTTATCAATTTGTTAATTTTCAAATTGCTCAATATTTTGAAAATTTCGATAGCTCATTTGAATGGAAACTTGGTTTCCCAAAAATTAAACTAAATGGATATTCATATATCAAATTCTTCAGGCATGGAGAAAGTGTCAATCCCGATCACGCTCTGAAAATTCCATTTCCCATTACCTTGTTGACGAATCAAAAGGGATTGAAAATGTCAGTATTGCTACTACACATAACACAAAAATATACACATTTTTCAATCCTTGCAAAGGCAAGCTTGATTGCACACCCTACAGAATATATCTCACCAAAGGCGAATACAAATTCGAGCTTTGGGGATCAGGACAAATCAATAATAGTAATGCAGGGTACGTCTCTGGGTATATAACATTACGTGAAGGCAGACAATTTTATTTACTTATCGGAATTCATAACGGAACTTTTAATTCAGTTATTCCAGATAAAATACCAAAGCAGTATGGAAACGGTGCTAGTGATATTCGTCTCTACTATAACGATGATTATTCCTAAAAAATAAACACATGAAAATGCTTATTTCAAAGTGATAAATTTCAAGATTTTAATATTAAATAAAGATAAAATTTTATTTATCAGAGCTATTAATTCAACAGGATAATGTAATAATTTTAATGAGAACAAAAATGGTATCATGCTGTTCCCTCATAATCATATACGAAATTATCATAAGCAAATATGCATCCAGGATGCCGGCATCAAAAACGACACCAAGTTCTGGAATCATATAACATGGCGTATGTCCTTTCTCACTACAATGAAAGCCAATGGAGCCAAGGCAATGAATTTTCATGTTCAGAAATGTCATTTTTCTCAACAAATTTCGATACATTTAAATCATTGTTACTAGATATTTTTCAAATAAATAAATTATTCCAGAATGGGATTTACGATATCATTTTATCAATTTTTCAATTCTCCGATTATTTTCTATAAATTGAATTGACATTTGCCTATTATGAACACAGCATGATGCTAATGGATTGGCAAACAATTTCCAAGTTATTGCGAAAAATAAATAAATAAAATTAATTGTCTATTGATATAAATCCGATCGTCGGAAAGAAACAGAATTTCCTCTCAAAGAGAATTATACACAATTGCTTAAATGGAGATTGATTGAGCTGTTTGGTAGTCGACTTGTTCATAATCCTTTCAACGGACGAATTAAAACATAGCAAATACTATTAGTTGTTTAATCATTCTTTATAAGGAAGTGATTGATCAATGCAAAGTTATAAAATTTACCATAATGATTGAAACAACTTGATAACTTCTACATTAAACAATTTTTTGCATATAAATCATAATGATATAAAGAATCATATCTTTTTATCATCTCGATAACATCAGAAATCCAAGTTGTTCACTTGATTTTTTTTTGGTTTTTTACGCCAAAATCCGTTTTTTATTATCGATTAAGCCCATGAAGACTAATCCATTTTAATTACAATGTCATTTTTGATTCTAAATTTGGAGAACTTTTTATCGTTGATGTAAAAATTTCGATGAATATGTTTTTCTTTCTTTTTTCGTGGATTCAACTTGCAAAATGTGACGACATCAATCCAATGGTCGAAAAATGTGACTTTCAAGCCTTTCTAGATAAAAAATCCACTTCAGAAACAAAACAAATAATAAAAAATTCAATTTTCGAAATGTACAATATTAAAAGTGATCTACAAATACGTTTTATTGGTGATGAAATCAAATTCTTATCTAATGTAGACCGTAAATCATATATTTATTCACTTCATTTATCATCTAGTAATGAAATCGACATCAATGTTACAAATAACATTAACATTGAATTTAGTAGCAAGCATGTATCCCAAACTATCCATGATTTAACATTCAATCTGATTTTAAATTCTCAATCAACAGTTCATTTCGTTGATCAAACATGGGATATACCGAATGTCAAAATTAGCATCAACCAACATAATCATACAAAATACATTATAGATAGTGAAGTATTTCCGTTTGATATCAGCTGTACTCGCTATATGCAAACAAACTTTTCAATTCTGAAGCCTACAATCACTTTTTCAGGACAAATGAATACGATTTGCGATTACAGATTTGATTGCAAGCAACCAAATACAAAAGTAATTTTTAAATCGATTTCAATGGATACTGGTGATAGTGTATTCACTTTAACAAACGGAAAAGCCATTTTCTATGATACCTACATGGTTCGCACTTCAATAATCTTCGATTGTCCGAAAGTTACAATTTATAAATTAAATTCAATTTACTCAGCATTTTACGGAAACATAATCAACGGAGGAGATAAAAGTACATGGATTGTACATGTTGCCCAAGCAAAACTCTATCATTTTAAGGCAGTTGAGATGAATAACGTAAATATCGACATAAACTATGGAGGAGACATAGCGACATTGGAAAGAGGTGATCCTATAAGAGTTATTCAGACAAATAAAACTTCTTCGATAAAATATAACTTTAAATATCTTCCGGCAATGATTAATGGATCAGCTGTAAGATATGCACAAATAGAAGAATACGGAAATATGATCAATCACATAATAAAACCTATGAAACTTTCAAGAAAAGTCGATAATACAAAGTTCTGTGTAGTTTCATCGGATTTACCTACTACGGATATTAATATCAGCCAATACAAAGACATTTGCCCTCAAAATACAGAGATTTTGACTTCATTTGATATGAAAAATAATCCGGATTCACTTTTAGGCTTTGAAAACAACATGATTACAATATACCTTGTACCTAATGATAAATCAGATGTTTTCTATTTCAATAATTTCACAAAATGTTCAAAAAGAATAAATATTCTTCCAGCAAAGAAATCTACACAAGAACTATGCACAATATCAATTGATGATGACGATACTTTCAGTTCTATCACTATTCGCAATTGTAAAATAATTATTCCAAATGTATTACATGTAAACGAAATAGGACTTGATTACTGCAACTGCAATCTCGTTGATCACATTCGTGCCCAAAAATTAACCGTTAATTCCTATTTTTATTTGAAAATAAATTCTGCACAAATTGAATCAGCAAAGATCAAGGTTACAGCAAACAAATTAACATTTACTTCTAGTTATATCGAAACAGACACGTTTCAGGCCTTTATAAGCACTAACAACAATCTTGAACTAATTTTGAATTCAAACTGCGAATTAAACCTTCAAGGCGAGGCAATTGCATATACAGTTCTATCTGCATCTTCCTCTGAACGTAAAGTTTCGTTTGTAAAAGGTTCTGAACTACTTATTTCAAAAGTTGACGTAAAATCAACATTTGTCGCAAATGTAGCCACAAATATCGCACAAACAGTGAATGCCTATGGTAAAATCATTGTTAATCAAGGTCAGAACTTTGAACAAAAAGAAATAATTTTTTATGAAGGAGGAAGAATCAATTCTTCATCGACAATCAAGGCAGAAACAGTTGGAATCAACACACACGCAAGCATCCTTGTGAATCCAGACTCTTATCTCGAATCTAAAACCATGAAATTCATGACAGTTCTACTTTACAACCATTCAAATCTAAAATCAAAGGAATTGAATGTTTTGAAAGGTTCTTATGCTGACATAGCAAGTATTTATGATTTAGAGAGTATAATATTTGATATTACACCTAATTCTGTTCCATTTTTGAACATCCAACAAAAAATTGAATCAAATTCAACAATTTCTATTGATATTCACTATGATGATTCAAATCTATCAACATATAATACAGGAACAGATCCTTTTGTTAAGTTCTTTTGCTTCCCAAGTAAATATAAAAACCAAATTAAGTTAAATTTGTCAACAAAGAAAGTTTTTGCAAAATTTGTTGATAATAATGACCAAACATGTGCACAATTGATAAGTAACACGAAACAGAAGCAGCTAATTAAAGCACTGATCATTTTGTTCAGTGTTGTTGGATTAATTATTATAGTTTTAATTGTTGTTTTAGTTTTGATGAAAAGAAGAGTTTTCAAGAAAGATGATCCTTCAATGTTCCAGTCAATACTCACTGATGAGGCTGGAAATACAGGATCATCAATGCAATATTGATACTTTTTTGAAAAGCATCATTTAAAAAAATAATGTATATTGATATATTTTTAAAGCTTTTTTCAGAGGATCCATTTTAAGATTGCCTTGACGCCCCTATGACATGACATTCAAATCCTTGATTTGAGCGAGAAATTAACGTTTCTTTCCCCATATGTTTTGCTGAAAAAATTTTCGATCTCATTAAAAACTTCTAATCAAAGTTTCACAAATATAAGTTACCTAATATAACAAAAGTTTATGAGTATGAAATCAGAATGTCGGTATCTCCTTTTGATCCCTAGATGCGATGGGGGTTTCCTGCCTCAATATATTATGACTTGGTATAACATGCACATATAAAATAATAAATCAAAAATGAAAAATGTGTTTTATCTCACTATGAAATTAACTTTATAAGTTCGAGAGTGTCAAAAAAGTCAGATCCTATTGACACTTTCCTTCATCCTCTCAATTTTTTTGACAAAAAACTCGCCATATCATCAAATCCTATTAGTTCCTTTTTGAATGTATTGATACATGTGGGCAAATTCCTCTAGACTACAAGTGTAGCTTTACATGGAAACCATACAGTGGTGATATTTTTCATGGAAAAAATTATCAACTTTTTTTTTTGAAATTTTGAGATTCTCAATAGATGGTGCCTACATGTTGGGGCGTTCGTTGAGAATCTCATTGTATTATCTTCATTTTCTACAAAATTAGTATCTCGTTGAAAATTATCACATGGAACTAAAGCCAATTTTAAATTGTTGAAATCAATTTTTTTTATTTATTTTTATTTTGATTGAAATGCAACCTAATTCAAATGATGTTTTTGCTGAAATTTCTAGAGTCAAATTGACTATTAAAGGATATCAGAAACAAATAGCATCAAAACGTTCAGAAATTCAGAAATTAAAATCTCAAAATATAAAATATCAACAAAAACTTCAAAAAACAGTCGAATTAGATATGAACAATTTCGTAAATTATAATATTACCGCTATGGGACAAGCCCATGTTGAAAAATTATACGAAAAGAAGCAGATAATTGAAAATCTAGAAAAAGAATTCAAAAAATTGGAAGAACAATGCAACAATAGAAGACTAATAGTTACACAACATAAAAATGAAGGATTTGCAACAACAAAAAAGATTGATTTTAATAAAACTAAAACAAATACAACAAGAGCAATCAATAATACTTCAAAAATCGAAAAATCTTATGATAAAATACATCAACTAGATAAAAAGATCGAAGCTAAATCAAATTACGTCAAAAATTTGCAATCAAAAATTTCATCTTTAGCAATTCAACAATTTCAGACAAAAGAATCAGATGACCCAGAAACATTACTACTAATAAATGATATACGAAAAGCAAAACTCGAAATTGAAAAAACAAATAAAAATATCGAAGATCTTCAATTGAGCATGAAATACCAGGAGAACCCTCAAGATATTCCAATAGACATACAATATATAGATGAAAATGATGCAGAAGATATTCAAGAACAGCTAAAATCAATGCAAAATGAAATTGATTTTATAGAAAATGAAACTCATCAAACAGAACTTGAAATAGAACAACTTTTGGAGAATTACGAAGAATTATCCAATCATTACAGGTTTATATCTTCATTACCAAAAACTAATAAAAATATTCAAATTAATGAAAATGTAAGCGTCCAAAATTTAGTGAACCAAGTTAAAAAACTTGCTAAGATCAAGTCTACAAAGCCAATTGATTCAAAAACAGAGTTATTAAAAGAACAAAACAATTGTAAAAAATTAGAAGAACAAATCGAGCAGAAGAAGCGACTCCTGACTTACAAAATCGCCCAGCTTTATAAAACAAAGTTCCAGACGAAGCAAAAAATAGAAAATGCAAAAAATAAGATAAAAGAACTTGAAAATAGGATTAAATAGATTAACCGAATCAAGTTAACTATTATATCTCTACCTTTCAATTGATTATGCAGTTTCAAAAACATTTTCTTAGATTTTCAGAAATGTCCGTTGAAGTTGATAAATACTAATGCAGAAATGTGTTGCCTTTGTTGATATTAACATAGTGTTTGATATAATTATGGAGTTAAACAAATTTGTTTCTACTCTTCATTTCATTTTTTTTTTGAGCAATGTTTTTAGAGTTATTTAACCATTTGAAATCAATTGACTACGCGAAATACACATTGGTTGCATATTTTTAAAGATTTTTACATAAAAGAATGATCGCCTCATTTGTGTTGACTTAATTCTACTAAATAGCAATAAATTTATTTTTATTTTTCATTCTGAAATCGCAACCTTTGGAAAGATTTCTTTGAATAATAAGATATCTTCCTATTGCTCGGATTTGAAAACAACAATTACAGTTTGAAGCCTTGCGATTTTCAATATCCCCATAACTTATCGATATTATACATCTCCATAACGTATTGTAAACAGATATATCAATAATAGGGATAAAAAAAATTAATAAATTAATAAAATGAAATCAAAGCATGATTATTAAATACAAATGCAACGTAAGGATTTCTCCAAAGAAATTTTGTCGATTTGAGATATTTGAAATTGAGAGATATAATAAAATAGTTTTCAAATAGATTCATGAAATGTTTAATAAGTAGTTAACAAAAACAATAATATGGATAGTTACGCAGCTAGTATTTCCGAATAATCAATGGTTTCTAAAACAACATGGTTCTTTTTGATTACAATTGAGGGGAGATTTCCTCGCTGGAGGATATCAAACGTATGAGGAATATGACTTTTCATTTTGTTCCAGTCTAGAGAGTTTACAGAAAAGGATATGAAATCTGGTAATTCTAATTGAGCAGGTTTTTGGGTTTTATTTGAATTTTTATAATTTGGCAAAATGAACAAATTGTTGGGTTGAGCTGAGGAAGTCGTATTTTGACCTTGAAAAAAATATGGATTGTTGGCAAAATAAGATGAAGGAAGAGTCATATCAAGATTCGCTTTTGGATTTGAAAGGCTCTTGTTACGCTCATTTGAATCAATCGTTTGAGCTTTTGTTTCAGCCATGAAAAATGAATTATGTAGAACAGCAGTGAATTTTTAAGAGAAAGGCACGTTGAATTTAACAAAGGAAGAATTTTCTAATGTTAACTTTCGGGGTTATCGTATTTGGAAAATTAGTGGCAAATTTTTTGAAAAAACTCTCAAAATATTGAAAGTGTTTATAATATTAATTGTTAGTCGTTTTACATTTTAAATTTTACACTTTGGTTATATAATTATCAAAAATAGAAGTAAAATTTATTCAAATTTAGCGGCAAGCATATGCATTGAAAAATATCAATTATGCAGCGCAAAGATTTCATCTATGCTAGATAAGAACAATTAAAATATAGTTGAAAATTCAAAAAATTAGTTTTCTGAATTTCAATTACAAACTTATTTCCTGTGACCAATTATCATTCATATGATTTATTAATCCATATTTTATTAATTAAATTCATTTTTAATTAATTATTACAAAATTGTCTATGCCGAAGATAGTTATTTAAGTATTTTCCTAATATTACTTTTTTAAAAAACTATTTTAATTAACCCAAGATTTTGAAACTATATCGTTACATATTTTGAGAGCGAAACTTTCCGATTGTGTTTTGAAAATTAATATTTTTGAGAACATCTGTCAAAACTAGTTGTTAATTAATGTTCTTTTAAAAATTATTTTAATAATTTTTATAATTTTCGAGAATTAAGAAAGTAAATTGAATCCAAAAAATCAGAGATTAATTTTAATTAGATCAAGAAACAATCCACTTTCTCTCTATTTTAATTCCAAATATTATTTTCAATTTGTTGAACTAAATTTATTCAATGAGATTTAACAAAAGTATAATAAATGATTTTACGTTACTCAAATTTATAAATCCATTCATATTAATCTTTTCCTTTATTTCGAATAATTCAAGACATTTTTTTCTTTTCAATTATTACATTATCAATAACCATATAATAATGAATTCACAATCATTGATATATCTTTCTGATTCTTTGAGCTTTTAAGATAGAAGATCACTATGCTACATCCAGTCATATATCAACCTTCTTGTACAAATAAATTTATTAAACTAATATTGATAATTTTTTTATTCATTTTCTCAACTGACATAATTTAATTATTCAAATTATAAACATAAGACCCAGTAGAATTACATCTAAAGTTTCGCGCTAACTGCTTGATATTTTTTTTGAAAAAAGGCTTTTAGTTTTTAAAACATTTAAAATTCCTTTTTATGACTTATGTGAACTGTAAAATCAATTTTTACCATTGATTTAATCATTTATATTTTTATTCTTATTGCAACAATTATGTAATTAACATATCAGAATTACCTCATGTAGCTGGCTACGCAAACGATTTTAATGATTATTCCTAATTTTGATTATATCAACATTTTTTAGAACATTTTTGTATTTTTTATTTAACCATGTGGCACTCACGCTATACTACATTTGAGATGATCAAGCACTTTGTTTGCAGAGAAATTTAAATTTCAAATTTTGCAATTCACGATTATACATTTTTGATAAGTTTTCCAGTTACAATTTCGACTGTGATGAACTGATCATACTTCAATATCCATATAATTTTTAGTTTCATTGAAAATTTTTGTATTCAATACTATCAATCTACATTTCATGTTATACAACCTTATGTATATCATTTTATTCAAGAAAATTCAAATCTGATCCGAACATAATTTTGAGAGGAAATCTGATTCAATAAATTTAAGCTAAAATGATTTCAAATATATAGTTTTAATCACAAGATTATATCGTCGGATCAGAAACGAGAGAAAATTGTTAATTTAGAAAATTGAGAGAGGAGTTATTAGCTAATGCCCAAAAATATTTTAGTTATTTTTCACAAATATAATCAAAATTTCGAAAAAAGAGTCTCCCTGACGGATCTTTGGCAGATCGTAAACTATTCAAAAACGCATCCACAAAATAGCAGCATATATATACAGCTTACTTTGTCTAAAATATGATTATTTTCAATAATTTTTACATGATCTTCCTGATTCAAAATTTATTTTTAATCATGGATTCCAAACCAACATTTTGCCAAAAAGGAATTAGGAAGTGCAAATGGACCGAGAAGGAAGATCAAATTCTCATTGATGCTGTACAAGGACAATATAGTTTTTCCTGGGCAGAAATTGCAAATAAGCTTCCTGGTCGTACTGGCAATCAATACAGGGAAAGATGGATTACTAACCTGTCCCCTTCTATAAACAGAAAACCGTGGTCCAATGAAGAAGATTTATTACTTATTAAAATGCAAAATCAGATAGGAAATAAGTGGTCATATATGACTCGTGCATTCAAGGGAAGAAGTTCAATATCCATTAAAAATCGATGGAAATGGATCTTGAGAAATATCATTCAACCAACTAAGAGAGGACAATCGAATCAAACACCTAAGAAGCAGGAAGAAGATAAAGAGATTAATCCCATATTATTAATCCCGCCAATGGAAAAAATACAAAATGAAGAAGATAGTTCGAATGAAATTGCTGTCTTAAAGATACCAGATCTCATCTTAGATAACAGCTCTCAAGAGAAGACACCAAGAAGGTTCTTTAATTTAATTTACTATAGTGATGACGTATACAGACCTCGTTCACTATTGTAAAAATATTATTTGATTGAAACCTTGTTAAAATGATTATTTCTATGTAATAAAAACCAATTTGTAACATTTGCCATTCATATTTTTTATTAAAATAATATTTTCGATCAAATTATTCAAAGTACACCCACCAGCATTACAGCAAAATTCAATTCCACTATGCCCAATAAAAGCTTTTTCATATTTGATAATCCCTCAGGCAAAGGCGGATGTTTTTTTTATTAAAATTTAATCGTAGATATTATTGCTTTGTTTCAAAATTCTGAAAGCAAAATAGCAGAGAATTAAATTTATCTTTTTTTTAAAGGCGTGTTTTCAAATAAAAAAAAAATTATTATTTTTTTTTTAATTTAACTAAAAAGTTAATTTAGAAGTATCTTCTGTCACAGACATGGATTGTGACACCTCTGTGTGTGACCTTGTTAGCCTCACGAGCATTAGCAGTGCAAATGTCAACGTGCTTGCCCTTGATGGCACCACCAACGTCACATGCCCAGAAGACGACTGGGGATCCGTATCTGTAGTATCCATCGATGTTAACGACGGAGCGAAGTGGAATGATGCTTTTATCAACGGCAAGTGAGACATAGTTTGAACTGCCTGCCATGTACATCTGGAGTGTCTTAAGTGGGTTTCCTAAGCAATCGAAATATCCGCCTTCCATTGGGCTATCGTCTGGATAATAACCTGTGGTGTAGTAGTTCGTGTCAGTCCAGCATCCATTTGTAGATGGAACAGCTTGCTTTGGCATTCTCATCTTTCTGGCATGCCTTAAGCTTCTGCAGGATGCAATAGAGAAGAAAATTCCCAACATTGTATCTGACAATTAACCGCCAGATTCAAATAAAATCTGATTTGGATTGAGCTAATTACAATAACCGTTTCAAATAAATTATATCTGCTTTGTTCTATTATTCTGGATTGGTATTTTCATGCTAATAGTCAAATTATTCAAAAATTTGAGATCTGAAATTCTCAGATCTATAAAACTGTTTAAAATATATTCTCCAACTACGTAAGATGTTATTGGCTTTTTTTTTGAGTGAACCTTTTTTTTTGAATAAATTCAATAAGGATACTTGATTGAATGTAGTTCTCTCATAGTTATAATTTATTTCAATGAGCTGATTAATTCCCTTCACGAAAAACGGAATTAACTTAATGTTTTTGAGAAATTATGTTCAATTTCTTATTTAATCATGACGAAAGTGTAATTCAGCTGGAGAGAACTCTACAGTATAGATATATAATCTATAATGATCATTCATTGTGAAAGAATTTAAAAAAATATAATCAAAAATCCAAAAATATTGATCATCATATAATATTTAATATAAACACATTCATTAAAAGGATTTCTAATCTAGTTGTTATATATTATTTTTGAATAATTTCATAATTGAATGCCTTTTATCTCATTTTAGTATGCTTTGAGTCCATTATTACTTATTTAGCGAGAAAATGATCAAATTTTTAATCGTAATTCTTCAAATAAATATGGAGAAATTGCGATGTCAAAAAATCAAATCTGCCAAAAATTAACAATAGAAGCGGTTTAACTCAAAATTTGAGTTTTGAATACATTACACGAATTTATTATCTGCCAGTGAATCTGATTTATTGTTTATATCACTCTAATTAGTAAGATTTATCAATTCAAAAATTAAAAAAAGCGGGATTTCCGATCACAACTGATCAATTTTATATTAATTGCCCTTATTAATTAGGATACTTTCATAATAAAGTATAAATAATGACAATTGTAATTGTCAAAAACTATCCGATCTGATCACTCTAAAGAACTTCGTATTATTACTACAAAGCGTTATTGTAACCTTTAACTATTGTAACGAATGCTTTTATGAATTTTTTTCATTAGTTCATGTTGTAATGAAATAAGCACTGATTCAAATTGAAGTACTGCCTTCTTTATTGATCTTTGCGCAATTTGCAATAGGAAATTCACCAACATATCTTTTATTTATCAATAAAATTATTTTTTATTATTTAAGCACTTCCTATACACACTCACCATATCATCTGTTCCGTAGTAACACCTTTTTGAGTAGTATTTTATACGAATATTTACTTTGAAAAAAATATATTTTCGAAAAATTTGATGGTAAGATTGAGCTTATTTCTCATTCATCTCATAGATTGAGGAAATTGATGTTTATGAAATTAGACATAGATCATTAGAATAAAATTTACTAAAGTTCTAGGTCCTTTATTTCAGAATTCCTTAGCATGCATAAATTATGTGAAAAAGGAATTGGTTTTCGAGTGAACTCTATATGTTTATATAAATTAGTTTTTTTGGGAATTTTCTCAGTCTATATAACTAGTTTTACACTCGAAATGCATAATCACAGAATACAAATGGTTTAACCATTATAGCTCTAGACTTATAGATGATTTCCAAAGCAAAAATCTCATAAAAATTTTTTTTTATTAAAATCAAATTAAATGTTTATTTAAATCAATTATCCTCGCTTTTATTCATCAGATCAATCATATCCTTGCAGACTGCTTCAACTTCATCAACTCTTTCGTAAGGAATGAAGAGATAGTCAAACACGAAAAATGAGCCTTTTTCTGACTCAGAAATTCCACAAGAATATCTTCCAGAAATGTGTGTTAAACATGTTTTTGCTCCCAACTCTTTTCCAACAGCAATCGCTTGTTTTACAGTGCTATGACAGACTTCTTTAGCTTTATCTGCTTTGTCTTCATCGTAAGTTGCTTCATGAACTAATAAATCACATTTTCCAACTGTTTTCACGTATTCATCTTCTTGATTTTTGTCTCCAGTGAATGAAAATCTGTATTTTCCATCAATTTCAACTAATATAGCATGCGAACCTGGACAATGATTAACAGGAATACTTGTTACAACATTATTGCCAACTGTAACGGTTGTTGTATCTCTATTTACGTAATTTACATAAAACTTTTGGTATTTTTCATAATATTTAAGCTCATCTATCAGAATTTGATCTGCCTGAACAATTATTTCTTCATTTGTTAACTTACTTCGTTCAGATAATAATTTATGAACTCCAAAAGTATGATCTCCATGGATATGAGTGACAAATACCATTTTAATCTCTTTAAGAAGCTGTTCTGTAACAGTTTTACCGTATTTTCTGCAGAGTTGGCCATAATAATCTTCTCCAGGATCGATTGCAATGACTCCTGACTTAGTATGAAGCATAAGACCAGTAACATTCCTCATGCTTGATGGTTGTCTAGCTCCTGTTCCAAGGAAAGTGACGCCAAAAGTTTCAAATTTTGGATATTCTCCTTCAACTTCGTTTTCTTGAGTCTTTGGAGCGAATTCAAGTTTCTTCTTATCTAAAGGAGCCAATCTATATACATCTGATTGGGAAATTACTGTATAAATACTAGGAATTTCTTCGGATTTTGATGAAGAAGTCAAAGGAGCTAAGAAATCTGGGTGTAGCTTGGCACACTCTTGGTAAATGTTATATATTTGCTGATAACTAACAGAATTATTTGTGTTAAAAGCAAAATTAGTTTTGACTTTTGAAAAGAAATCTACGTATTCTGGATTAGTCAGCAAATCATTATTGGTGAAGTGAATAACATAGTTGTATTTTGTTAAATCTTTGATGAGTTTAAGATCATTTAATGATCTCGCGTCAATTACTAAGAAATTATCACCTGGCAATGAGTCTGTCATGCAATCAGAAGAATTAATAACAGTGCCATTATCTAAAGTTATTGATTCCCCATTGGCTAATTTTCGGAAAAGAGGACCAGGAGGGACACCAAGTTTTTTAGCTTTATCAGGCAAAAACTTTCCGGGATATGATCTTAATTGGATATCAAATGCAATTGTTTCTGTTAATTCAATAGTTTTTACAGTTAGATTTTCATCAGAATAGAAATCAGATATTTCAGGCAAATATTCGGGTGTATCCTTATATGCAAAATCACAGAGAAGTTGTTCCTTGAGACCTTTTGGACCAATTAATTTTGGAACAACAAAATTTTCAGAGCTAAGCATAGTGAAAATCATGCCTAAAAAGCCACCTGTTGAATTTTCATCCAAACTTGTCATGAAGGCAGCTTTGATTTTTGATACTTTCCATCTATGATCCATGAAAACTCTCTGAGTTCCGTCTGGAACATTAAAAATATATGAACCATTATCAAATTGGATGAAGAAAGATGGGCTCGTATCACTCGTTCGATGACATGCAAAGCATATTTCTATCTTCATTAAAAAATAACCAAATAAAAAAATTTTAATGTTGATAGGAGAAAAAAATGATATACCAAAAAAATTCATCAACATTTTTTCTTTGGGGAAATAAAACACTTGATGTATTCACTTATGAGATTCATTTTAGTAGCAAAAAACATAGTGATGCAATCTAGTGGGTGATGCAAATGCAAAATGTTTTTTTCTAGCAACATAAGATATGTATAGATTTGAAAACTAAGATTTCACTGAGTCAATGACTCATACCTCAATATCATATGATGAGACAAAATGGAAAAATTGAAATTTTCAATCGAAAACAACAATATTTATGCATTAATAATAAGGCATTAATAAAGCAATGAATACCCTGGGTGATTTATAATACGTATATTGAAATCCAATTTTCACCTCATTGTAAATTTTTTGTTGCCGTAAAAGTGACATTATTAAAAACATTGTTTTGAATTTTTTTAGTTTATAATTCAATTGATATATAAAGGTGCATTGTGTTTAGAATTTATATTGAAAATGAATTCAGATAAAATTTCTAAATTGAATTGCTTGGAGAAAAGATGAATCTAGCATATGAAAGATATTTATGCAAAATTTAGACTTGAGCGTAAAAATTTCTCATTTGAAAAAATGTCAAGATTGATTTTTGAAGGCGAAAGATTAAAAGAAAATAGTCTAAAATTTTTAATTAAAAATATATCTCTGAACGAAATGATAACTACTCTATATAATGAAAAAACATGACAAAAATTGAATGTATATAGTTTTGTGAGTCTGTAAGCGGTTTTGTTTTCCTATAATCCGGAGGAAAATACTTTATGCATTAATAAATCAACTTGTCAAGATAAATATTTTGTGAGAAAATTTGCGGTTGGATTTCATTGAATTTATAAATCATGGAAGGTGTAGCAACTACTCGAATTCCTTTCGAATCAACACAGTCTAAGCCATTTCTCAAAACATTTACCTCTAATCCAGCCCAAATCGCAAAACGACTAAACAGGCCTTCGTGTCCTTGTAATACAATACGTTCATTCGTCTCTCCATCAACACATCCTGTCGCTATCCTCTTTAAATCATCATCTAATAACTCTCTTGTTTCTACCAACAAGAGATCTATCCCTATTGTAATTAATAGTGCCTAATTTGTTTATAAATGTTAGTAATTTTGTTGTTTTACATTACTACTTTTTTTCTTTTTATCTAATTTCATTCATTTTTCTTTTATGTCGACTTATTCTTGAAGACTATATCGAATTCTGCAGAATTCGTGAAAAATAATAAAGTTATAGAATAAGCATTTACATTTAGGATCATCATTCGGCTTAGTTTTTTTTAATTCCTGATTTTTTTTTTTGATATAATATTTTTTTGATTTTTTTTTCAATTTATCATTATCAAACAAGTTAATAAATGAACGATTTTTGATTTATAAATACATATTTTCTCATTATAATTACTTTTCTGTGATTTATTATTAAAAATTATATAAAATCTTAATTTTTTAGCAATATTACGAATAACGGTTGTCAAGGACCTAAAACTTATCTCTGGATATTTTCCCTTGAATTTAAATTTAATAAGTTGGAAATATTTTTATAATATCAAAATTTATTACTTTCCAATTGTAGGGCTGTACAAGATTTAAAAAAACATTGCCGGGTTACCGTAGAGGCCTAAAAAAATCGCGCCTCGGCGGCAAGCCGCCTCGGCATTAAGAATGCGCATCTAAATTTTTATATGTCCTTCTTTCTTTTATTTTTCCCTTCCCTTCCTTTTCTTTTTCTTTTTTTCCCTCCTCTTGCTCTCATTTACCTTTTTTTTCCTTTCTCATCATTTTTCAAAATTTAAAATTTTTATCAAAAATCTTGCCTATAAAAGCAGATTATGGAACCTTTTAATGCCTCTTAATCAATATTATACAGCATAAAGCATATTAAATGAAAGTAATTACGTATAAATTTATTTTATTATCTTATTTATTAATTCTTTAGCATGTATTGTTTAATATTAACTTTTCTGTACATTAAATATGATATCTCCAAAGTATGAATGCCTTGTAACGAAACGAAAACTTAATTTTATGTTGAATATTTGTCACAAACATTAGATTATTAAAATATATGTTGGATATCCCTTAGTATGAGACTTCATGACTCTTGTTGTCTAACGTGAGCTTTGGATTGCAAGCTTGCTACAGCACATAAGTATTCTGTGGTTAAAAAACCACATGAGCTTTAAAAACTATAAAACCAAAAATAATTGTTATAATTTAAATGAAGAAGTAATTTAAAACGATTTTATTTATGATCAAATTTTATATTATTTTTTTGGATCAAATCCATTTTAATAGAATTTATATACTATTCATCTATTAGTAAACACTACCGTATATTATTTTTTAAGCTATCTTTTTTTTTGAACTTTTATTCAAATCTTTGGTCGCAAGAAGAATTGCATGATAAATAAAAACATTTAATCAAAGTCAATTTTATTTTTCATATTCAAATGGACTGAGTGTTAACATTTAACATTTTTTGCTAATTGTCGTCAAAAATTAGGCGTAAAGCAAAAATTGATATTTCATATGGTTTTATGATAGATAAGCATTATATTTCCACTCATTATATTCGTAAATTTTGAGGTTTATCCTTCGCTTTTAAGATCATTGAATTTGATTTTTATATAAAATAGTTATATATTAGAAAATAATATGAGTTTATATGATATTATTTTTCAGAAGATTTCATTCTATATGCCTATGAAAAGTACTCTCAAAACTAACTTTTTCCTAATTATAATTAAATCTAAATATTGTATTATGCTTAGTATTATTTCATTTTTCTCATTCAATTTAGAATTTACAAATGTCAAAAAATTGAGAGCTGTCACTTTTGATGAATTTCTGTTTATTACAGCATTGTTATTAATAATGAAAAATAAAGCTTATTTCAATGAAAATTGTTCTGCAAATTTATTTCACTTTTGACCTCACTTTTTCCGTAATTCAATTTTTTTACTTTTAATATTTTAGATCTTCATAATATCATTTGAAAAATTAACCATATAAAAAAATCAAGTTATCAATTCACTTTTTCCGTAATTCAAAAATCAAAAATATAAATAATATATCTTTTTATCAAATATTATTATTATATTCTATGAAAAATGAGGTCCGGAAATTTTGCGGATTCCCGTAACTCAATTTTACGGAAAAAGTGCAGTAAACTATTCAAAATACGGAAAAATTGGTGTAAACTAATGATTTTACGGTAAAATCACGGAAAGTCCCGGAAGAATATATGTGCCTATATGAAATTATACAAAAATGAATCAAACGCATTTTAAAAGATTGTTCTTGTATTATAAATGCTATTCGCAGATTTATTAGTTGAAGAAAATTACCAAATTTTTGCCGATTTACAAAAAATGATTTACAAAGCATATTTTTATAAGGCTTTAAAAATCTTTAAAATGTGACCGGTGACGGAAATCCATGGTAACCAACCGCGGTTCCCGTTTGGAATGCCATATCCAATTGACAATAAATAAGTAAATTTTTAAAGCATAAGCATCAATTCAAGCAGAGATGTATTAAAATCATTTTTTTTAATTTCATTTTTATTCTAATGATTGAACTGAACTGTATGAACCAGAACCTCATGCTGTTGCATGCTAAGTAGTGTCAATGTGTAAACCTCTCAATTTTATCGTCGGGGAAGCAACACAATTCCCTCAAAAATATTGAAAAAATATAGAAAATAAAATGAATTAAGATGTACTTAAAATGAGAAATAGATTATGATATTAGATTTTAGAAAAAACAGACTTTTGATATAACTTTTGAGAATCTCATATAAAAAAAAAGCATTTAAAAATAAATTTAAATATCTTATTTATTTTACTATTGTAAATATATTCTGAGATTTTTAGGAAAAACACTTTTCATAAGTATTCAATATTTGAAAATACGCTCCAAAAAAGAATAGATTCTTTTATATTCGCTTATATAAAAGGAGACTCTCTATCAGATGCGAATGCATGAATTCAGCACCTCTGATAGAGAGTTTCCTCTTATATAAGCGGATCTTTTTCATGAGTTATTGTTAATATAAAAACATAAAAATCTACCAATATGAGAAATTAAACCCTGCGAGGCACCAGTCTAGAACTGGCGCTTCGCAGGGTTTAATTTCTCTTGACAAATGACAAAACTTGTTCGCAATTGTGAACCATTGCGAGCAAGTTTGCCAGATATCTGGAAGGAATTGCTCCTTATGATATATGCATTGTAACTGTATATATCATAAAGAGCAATTCCTTCAATTAAACGCAAAAACTTTGGTGCAATCGTTGCTGATTGCACCAAAGTTTTCGAACTTTCCCGAGGGAATTGGAGGGTGAGAGATACATAGTCTATCTATGTACCTCCCACCCTCCAAATCCCACTCTAAATGGGAGAAACTTTGTTCGCATGTTATCTTATTCAAACAAAGTTTCTCCCATTTAGAGAAGGAATAGGAGCCTACCAGGCACTGATATATAATCAGTGCTTTGTAGGCTCCTATTCCTAATAAAAATTTGAAAACTTTGGAGCATTTGATTATTGTATTTTGTCAAGAGAAATTAAACCCTGCGAAGCGCCAGTTCTAGACCGGTGCCTCGCAGGGTTTAATTTCTCATATTGGTAGATTTTTATGTTTTTATATTAACAATAACTCATGAAAAAGATCCGCTTATATAAGAGGAAACTCTCTATCAGAGGTGCTGAATTCATGCATTCGCATCTGATAGAGAGTCTCCTTTTATATAAGCGAATATAAAAGAATCTATTCTTTTTTGGAGCGTATTTTCAAATATTGAATACTTATGAAAAGTGTTTTTCCTAAAAATTTAATATAATGCTTAGCACAATATATAAAATTAAAATATCTATAATTATTTTCTATATCACACTTTTCATTACACCTTGAAAAGTCTTCTCAAACTCTATTTTTAATTATTTTTTAGATATATCTCAAGTGTGATTATTCAAAAACTCATATAGACTATATTTATTTTTTCCTTCAAAAAATTATATGAGAATCTCAAATTAACTTTCAAATTTTTTATTTTAAAAACATATTAAGAATCATATTTTAAGATACTTTTTCGCCCAAAAAATAATCGTACTTCCTCGACGATTAATAGGCTCTCAATTTCTATCGTTGACACTACTTAGCATGCAACAATGCCACATATATTTTGTTGTAATAGCATTAGTTTCTCATGCTAAACTCTATTTCTTCACTCCTGGAAACTGAGTTTGAATGATGGTTGTGACTGAAAATTTCCGAAACAAAGAAAATTGAAAGACTATATGAAAACTCAACTTTTTATTTTGAATGCTGGCTGAGGTAACAAGCTGCTAAACAGTTAGGCAAGATTTTAATCTTTTTTTCCGGATAACAATATTAACCGCCAAGACCATATCCACCTTCACAATAAAAACCGACTTTTGCCAGTCAACGAAAAATTAAAAATGAAATATTTTTATTAGTTTAATGATAAATCAAATACATGGTTTAGATTTGACAACGGCTGAAAATTTAACCGTAATTTGATCAAATAAAATGTTAGCTTGTCTCTTATGCGTTGCTAAGGTCAAGAGACTCCCAACAACTGATGAATTCCGCCGCAGGATTCCAGACTTCAAGAGGCCACGTATTGATGCCCCAATCCGTAGAGTTCACAGACACCATCATCATCACCATACAGCCCAAAAAGCAGAACAGAACTGGGCTTTACCACCTCTTCCACCACCACCAGTACTCCCACCTCTTCCACAAATCCCTCTTCCACCAGCTCCAGTACTTCCACCACTCCCAGTTCCAAAGCTTCCAACACTTCCACCACTCCCAATTCCAAAACTCCCAACACTCCCACCACTTCCATTCCCAGTTCCAGGCCCAGCTCCAGCCCCAATTCCAATCCCAGGACCAGTCCCAGTTCCAGGACCAGCTCCAGCTCCAGCTCCAGGAATTGTTAATGATGATCAAATGAGAAGAATGGGATAGTCAAATTACAACCTCGGTGGTTGTAACGGAATGAACGCTCTTTGCGACCGCGGTGCCAGCTGCGACGAAGTTACACGCCGCGTCAATGGTGGTTACAACGGCCTTGCTGATCGTCGCGCCAAGTATCAGCTTGCTTGCACCATCTTCTAAAACTATAGTTAAGCTACAACATTTTAACTATTATGACCTAATTATTTTTTCTCTGGAATATATATAGAATTGAAATATCATGGAAATAATTTCAAGAAATATTGCCTTTTCTTTGTTAAACATATAAGGAACCACGGTCAGTCTTCATCATTGATCTTAATTGCACAATAATGTTTCAATATATTTACGAAATAATTTTAATTTACGTTCTATCATTAAGGTAAGGCATATTTATAAGCATCATCTGCCATTGATACCAAATTATGCTTCTCTTATGTTTATATCATCATTGGGCGGAAAAACATTACGTTTCATATGTTAATAATTATTACTGAAAAAACATTAGCAAAACATTGGCAATCAATTTGAGCGAATTCAATCTTTCATTTGATAAACTGACATTATTTGACAATTCCAATTTCAGATTAATAATTGGAAAATAAAGCTCAGATTCATTCAATTAACTTAAATATATCATCTTATATTTGATATATTCCATAAATTCTTTCAAAATATGATCGGCATGACACAAAGTGATTACATTTTCAAATAAAATAAGTTCCTAACACTTTGATATCTTACAACATTTAAATCAATATTGATACATCAATTCAAAATACTCTTATATATATTCAATTGAGTGAACACAATTCAATGAGTTCTATCAAAAATAATAATATCAATTCATATTTATTTCTCCCCAATAAATTACATATTCTCTAACTATTTCGCTAATGAAACTGCTGACAAATGTAAAACATCAAATCGACAAGTATTAACGACATCTAGAAATGCTTATATTTTCGCTTCAAATTTTGAAATTGTAGGAACTAATGATCTAGAAACTTTCGAAGGGATGCATGATGGTGTAATATAGTTAGTGTTTCTGATAATATGCAATATGAGTATCTATCTGATTATCAGCGTCCAATCTTTTTATATCGAGGTTTAATTACTTTCAAATTAAATAATATTTCAAAAATGCAACTTGGATATTGTAGCGGGTTTGCAATCGAATCAGATGTAGATTTTCCTATTGACATTGGCGAGGGCAATATTTCTTATATTAATTTAGTTGATTTATATTCATGGGGAACAATCGTTGAATTTAAGAACATAAATGGAACAATTAAATACATAAATATAAATCATTGCAGAGATGAATACGCAGAAGATCTCAGATATTTCAATCTTGTAAATAGCAAGATTAAATGTCAGTATCTGGCTGTTTATAACTGTTACAATGACTTTAAATGGGATGGAATCTATATTTATAGCTATTCATCTGATACTTCCATTTTGATGGTAGAAAATTATTATCTTCAAGAGAGTTATGTTGTTGACAAAAATTGGGCAACAGATAGAATCAATGAATCTACAAGCTTCTTAACTACTTATTTTGATGATTTCGCACGTATTAAGTTAATTTCTGATTATAATAAAATTACAGGAATGGTAGATGCTAGTTATCCATATTTTAGGAAGAAATTCAGCATCTTCAGAAATAGAAGAAGACAATTTTATATAGGGTGTCCAAAGGTGTGTTTAGCACAAACCTGAATACAGCGAATAGAAATAAACAAGTTACATATATATAGGGTGTCCAAAGGTGCGTTTAGCACAGCGCTCTATATGAGACTATTAAAGGAGATATATGCTGATTATAAATATATAATAAAAAATATGAATATATGTATATGATGAGTATGTTGTATTTTGGCGCCATGCCGGGATATAAAATGAATTTTGAGACAAGAGGCGGTTTCGCGGGAAATTTTGGCGGGATTTTTTTCATTTTTTTAATGAATCATAAAGAAAACATCCTCGCTCTTGCAAAAAAATGCAAAGACTGTAAAAAAATCTACGAGACATTGGTAAAATGCTTCGGTATGGATGTTCCTAGCTATTCCACTGTAACGTATCATGTTAGGATGTATCACTTCATGAACAAAAAGGCGCCCATCATAAAAATTGACAAAAAATCGCCGGATCAAAGAAAAATCAAAGCAATTCTTCAAGCGCTAGATGAAGACCCAAGAGCATCACTCAGAAGGATAGAGGAGATGACAAAGATACCACGTACAACAGTCAGTTATTATCTGCACAATTATTTGAACTACAAACTAGCGTATACACGTTGGGTTCCGCACAACCTTAATTCAGTTCAAAAAAAATCTAGAGTCCAATCTTCGAAAGAGCTCCTCTCTATATTGGGTGCGTATCAATCCAAGAAGTTTCGCTTTTTAGTAACAGGGGACGAGTCTTGGTTTCAATATGCAACAGAAGCCAAAATCATGTGGATCCCGAAGGATGAAAATCCGCAAACATTCCCGAAGAAAAAAATTGACACACCAATGATGATGTTGTCGGTTTTTTGGGGCGTGAATGGCATCATCGCAATTGATATTCTTCAAAAACCTAATACGATGAATGCTCAGTATCTAATTGACAATGTTCTTACTCAAATTATCAATTCTGATGAGTTTGAGAAATCCAAACAACAAAAACAAAAATTTGCAATTCATTTTGATAATTCAAGAGTTCACAAAAGTCATAAGGTAATGAATTACTTGGTGGAAAACAATGTCAAAGTTGTTCCAAACCCAATTTATTCACCTGATATTGCACCTCTGACTTTTATTTATTCGGCACGCTAAAAAAGAGAGCTGAAGGACGCGAATTCGCGAGTCCAGATGATCTTGAAAATTTTGTAAGAGAGCAATTTGAGCAATTTTCTCATGATGATTTAAAGCGTGTCTTTCAAGCCTGGATCGATCGCTGCGAACGCGTGATTGAATCCAATGGTGATTATATTTAAATAAACTTTATATATATGTAACTTGTTTATTTCTATTCGCAGTATTCAGGTTTGTGCTAAACACACCTTTGGACACCCTATATAAAGTTTATTTAAATATAATCACCATTGGATTCAATCACGCGTTCGCAGCGATCGATCCAGGCTTGAAAGACACGCTTTAAATCATCATGAGAAAATTGCTCAAATTGCTCTCTTACAAAATTTTCAAGATCATCTGGACTCGCGAATTCGCGTCCTTCAGCTCTCTTTTTTAGCGTGCCGAATAAATAAAAGTCAGAGGGTGCAATATCAGGTGAATAAATTGGGTTTGGAACAACTTTGACATTGTTTTCCAACAAGTAATTCATTACCTTATGACTTTTGTGAACTCTTGAATTATCAAAATGAATTGCAAACTTTTGTTTTTGTTGTTTGGATTTCTCAAACTCATCAGAATTGATAATTTGAGTAAGAACATTGTCAATTAGATACTGAGCATTCATCGTATTAGGTTTTTGAAGAATATCAATTGCGATGATGCCATTCACGCCCTAAAAAACCGACAACATCATCATTGGTGTGTCAATTTTTTTCTTCGGGAATGTTTGCGGATTTTCATCCTTCGGGATCCACATGATTTTGGCTTCTGTTGCATATTGAAACCAAGACTCGTCCCCTGTTACTAAAAAGCGAAACTTCTTGGATTGATACGCACCCAATATAGAGAGGAGCTCTTTCGAAGATTGGACTCTAGATTTTTTTTTGAACTGAATTAAGGTTGTGCGGAACCCAAACGTGTATACGCTAGTTTGTAGTTCAAATAATTGTGCAGATAATAACTGACTGTTGTACGTGGTATCTTTGTCATCTCCTCTATCCTTCTGAGTGATGCTCTTGGGTCTTCATCTAGCGCTTGAAGAATTGCTTTGATTTTTCTTTGATCCGGCGATTTTTTGTCAATTTTTATGATGGGCGCCTTTTTGTTCATGAAGTGATACATCCTAACATGATACGTTACAGTGGAATAGCTAGGAGCATCCATACCGAAGCATTTTACCAATGTCTCGTAGATTTTTTTACAGTCTTTGCATTTTTTTGCAAGAGCAAGGATGTTTTCTTTATGATTCATTAAAAAAATGAAAAAATCCCGCCAAAATTTCCCGCGAAACCGCCTCTTGTCTCAAAATTCATTTTATATCCCGGCATGGCGCCAAAATACAACATACTCATCATATACATATATTCATATTTTTTATTATATATTTATAATCAGCATATATCTCCTTTAATAGTCTCATATAGAGCGCTGTGCTAAACGCACCTTTGGACACCCTATATTTTTTTCTCTTTTTTCAGATTTTTATGAAGAAAAAAATTAGAGATTTATATAAAGGTATTGTCTTGTTTGTTGTAATGTTGATTAAATTTTATTTGCGGATAATTTTCGATTTCATTCTTTTTATTGAAGAATTTACACATTGATATTGAAATATATTGAAGCCAATGATTAACGATTTGTCAGGAAAGCTGCTAAAACATTTAATTTTTTTTAAAATTTGAAGTAGTAGGATAGGATGGGTTTTGTGACTTTTTTTGTAAACGTAAGAATTCATACAATATTGAACGATTTTGTATCATTTTTTTTGACATATGAAATAAAAAATATATTTATTTATAAACCATTAAAAAAATTAAAGTTATTTTTAAAATAATTTATTTTTTTATTCTTACATAAATGACCCAACAAGTAAAACCAGATAAAATAGATTATCGAATTTTAGAGGATGGTGTTCCTGTTTATATTCAAAGATTTAAAGGGAAGCAATATTATAGAATTGTTAATCCTGAATACATAAAACATTTATTTAAAAAGGAAGACTGTGAATTATTAAACGTTAATGAATATGAAATCAATAAATCAAAATTGAAATATAAATATATTGGAAGTGATGAAAGATGCAAAGATAAAGATAAAGTTTATACAGTTTCATATAATGAATGGAAAACCAATAAGATAAGAAAACATTTAGGAGATTATGGGAAATGTTCTGAATTCTTCAAATCTAGTATGTACGAGAGAGTAAAAGAAATTAGAAATAATTATTTTCATGAATGAAAAATAAACTTTAAAAATTAATGTCTTACATTTTTGAATAATTTTTTATTTTTAATTCGTATGAAATGAGTGAATCTAAATTCGTGACTGTGAATCAATTAATGGATAAACTTTCACCAATTCTCACCCAGGTTAAACAAGTAGACGTTTATTTTGATGATTACATACAAAGTTTATTTTATAAAGGTAAGTTTAATATTAAACATATTGCTTTTGCATTTGATGGTAAATTAATCGAAAATTCAAAAATTTGGGAATTAATTCCGGATATTGAATTTATAACAAATATTAAGGATAAATGGTTTAAACAACAAAACCACCTCACTAAAGTTCTTTGTAGATTAATGATTAAAACTGAGGAAAAAGAATTTAACGGGTTTAAATATCATCCATGTAAAATTTTAGAACTTGGTAACGAAAAACTTCAGAAAAAATTAAACGAAAGACTATCAAAAGATAAAGTTGAAAGAGTAAATAAACTCGCTAAAGGTAATGGTAATGATGAAGATGAATTTGATGAGTTCAACATTGAACTTTAAGAAACTAATGATTATTTGAATTTATGAAATCAATTATTTGATTTATTCTTTCTTCAATCTTCTATTCTTTTTGTTAAATCATCAATTTTCATTAATGAGGTGATTCTTGATTGAGGAATAGATTTCAAACTAACCACCCCTTTTATTTTTGAAATTTTGAATCCATCAACTTTAAACATTTTATTCAATTTACATGTTGTCAATTCTTCAAATAATTTTTTATTATTAGCATAATAGTCATTAAATTCTTCAACAGATGAAAAAATTTTTGTTTCAGTAATTGGTTTAACAACGTTTATTTTTTGTTGAACATTTTCACTTTCATTTATTTCTTCCTCCTCTGTTTCATTTATTTTTAAAATTGGTTTCATTTATCATTAAATAAAAATTAGAATATAAGTGATGAAATATATTTTTTAATTAATATTAAATCAGAAATGGCGGCAGGATTCTTTAAAAAATTATGGGATGGAATTAAGAAAGCTGCGGGTTGGGTTTATAAAAAGATTATTAAACCCGTTGCAAACTTTTTGGCACCAGTAGCGAAAACGGCAGGAACTATCATAGGTGGAGTATTAGGTACTAAAGCAGGTAATCCGGCGATGGGAGCACAAGCGGGTAACGCAATTGGTGGAATTGCTGAAGGAATACTTAATAAAATAGGGGGTAGATAGTGGAAAAATAAATTATTTTAAAATTATTTTTATCTTAGTATCGGTTGTAGTCTTTGATAAACTTTTTCTCCTTTATTTAAAATTTCTCTTATTGGGGTAGCTTTTGGCATTATTGATTCAGCAACGTCACTAATTACTTCTTTATTCTTAAATATCCAATTTGCTCCCTTCTTCAATGTTTCCCAAACTTTACTCGCTCCTCTTTTTACTCTATCCCACAGTTTCTTAAATATACCTGCAGCCATAGTTGATTATTTCATTAAAATTAAAAAATTCATTTTCATCTTTTAATTTTGATTTTTTATTTATTAATAAATGACGACTAACTATTTAGTGCCAAACACTAAACCAATTAATGGAAATGTATTTCATTCATTCGAAAAGATAAATGAAATATTCGCAAAGAATGACGGTAGAAGATATTATAGAGA